CGAGAGAAATCATCAATAAAAGTAACAAAATATTGAAAACCTAAATTAGACTTAACATGACTGGGTCCCCAAATGTCGAGTGAACTAAGGCAAAGGGGGATGAAGCACGCTGGGAAACACTACGAGAAAAGGAAGTACGACTATGTTTGCCTAACCGACAGGACTCACACACCAAATTGGACAACCGGGATAAGCCGGGAACAAGTTGCTCGTAATTTGCGCAGATCGGGGTGACCAAGCCGAGCATGAAGGAGAGAAGGAGACTCCATAACCGTGCCAACATGTGGAGAAGGTTGAAGATAATAAAGTCCATGTGACTCACATCCGGTGTCAATCACTCTTTGCGAGCTCCGGTCCCGTAGGGAAACGAAGTTTTGGTAAAAGAGATAACACAATCAAGAGATCGAGTTAGACGGCTAATGGATAATAAGTTAAAGGGGGACCCGGGTACATACAAAACATTATCAATGGACAACGAGGAAAAAGAGTAACCGTTCCAACACCATGAGCTAAAGTTGTAGACCCATTAGCCATTGTAACGGAGGGTAAATTATGAGAAGAAGTGAAAGAGGAAAATAAGGATTTGTTACCGAGTGATGTGATCGGTGGCGCCGAGTCAAGAACCCAAGGGCCAATAGAAGAAGAGTGAGTCGGACCAGACAAAAGATGTACTCGTGTGGGCAACGTAAGTAGTGGAACTGGAGGGCTTTCGATCCTCATACCATTGAAGAAAATCATTGAAGATAGCAGATTTGTCCGAAGGTACGGACGAAGGAGGATCCAGAGCAGAGGATTATGCGGAAGAATCAGTCTGAGCAACTGCAGCAGATCGGCGAGGATAACCATGTAAAGCATAACATTTGTCAATTTTGTGGCCTAGTTTGCCACAATGGTCACACTTGACACGCCCTTTGCCTGGCTTGTGAGAGCGATTACGATCATCACGGTGAGAGGCCAAGGCAGATGAATCATTAGAAACTACAGGGGGAATATTGAGAGGTTTACATGGCACCCGCAAAAGGGAGGAACTGGTAGCGGTAAAACTGGGTGTAACAGGGGAACCCAAAATCTGGTCACGAACAGAGGCATATTTATCAGCAAGTCCGTGTAACATCAAAACCATGAAAAACTTTGATCGTTGTTCTAATTCTTGGGCAGGAGTCGAGGCAGGGGGTAATAACTCATTAAATTCATGGAGAAGAGCATGGATCTTACCCACATAATCCGCCACAGGATCCTTATCTCGAGGAGTAATAACATCAAGAAGATTGTAACAAACACCATAAAGACGTTGAGTGTCATTGGTGTATAATAATTTGGCTTGTTCCCAAACGTCATAACATGTGCCATACGATCGAAAAATTTGTTTTAAAGAAGATTGGATGGTATTCTTGAGAACCATACATATATGAGCATCAACTTTCTTCCAACGGACACAATCATTGGAAGGAACATCATCTACCTTGGTAGTAAGATGATTAACATACCCCTGACTCTCAAGCCAAAGTCTAATATCAGATGCCCAAGTTGCATAATTCGTACCATCTAATTTATCAATGGGTAAATTCACATTGACATAATTAGTAAAAACAGATTGCTCGGACCCACCGGAGCCGACGGAGGTAACTTCGAGACTGGAAGTGGCAGCGGAAGATGCCATGGAGGAAGAGAGAGAAAAACCCTAAAACACCAAAGAGGTCCGATTGGAGCAGCGAGGACAGATCCGGAGAGAGGAGAAGGAGGCGACGCCGGCGCAAAGATCGGCGGCCCGAACGGCGGCGAGACGCGCGCCACGCGCGGCGGAACGGGAGAAGGTGGCGCGGCTTCGGGAGGCGCGTGAGGGAGCGTGGCTGCTCGATGACCGCGAAACTTCCACGGTGGAGGTCGCACGGAGGAGGCGAGCAAAACCCTGTGCTCGGCGGTCCGAACTGCTACTCTGGCGACGGCGGCGGCGGCGGACGGCGGTGGAGACGGCGGCGGCGATGGAGGCGGCGACAGCTGCAGGTTCAGTGGCAGAGCCGAAAAAAAATCCCAAGAGACCTTAAGCTCTTGATACCATGTTGAATATAGGGAAAAACTGTATAGGGTTAATTTCCCTTATGTGTTTACCACACATAGGGCAGTGTATTTATAATAAAGAAAGGTACTCCTCAAAAGAGTAACAGAATACAAATGGTGTAAATAAAAAGATATTATTTGATATTGTGATTAACAATATCTAACAATATCTCAACAATATCAAACAATATCAACTAATATCTAATCATATCTAACAAGGCCAAATGGAAGTACCATAAATTCATAGTATGGCCTTCAAGTGTGCGGAAAATGGTTTTTGCAAAGGCACCTTCCTTCATTCTGATTTGGTGATATCCTGATCTTAAATCCAGTTTTGAAAATACATGAGTCCTTCTTATTTCGTCCAACAACTCTTCAATTACTGGGATGAGAAATTTGTTCGGAATTGTGATTTTGTTTAAGGCTTAGTAGTTTACACAAAACTACCAACTACCATCTTTCTTTCTGACTAGTATGATAGGACTGGAATAAGGACTTGTAGATGGTCTCATGATTCCTGCTTTTAACATTTCAACTACCAATTTTTCAACCTCTATTTTTTGATAGTAAGGATACCTGTATAGTCTAATATTCAGTATTTGGGCTCCTTCTTTGTGGTGAATGACATGGTTTTGACGCCGTTGAGAAGGAAGGCCTTCTGGAGGCTCAAAGGTAGAGGGAAAATCATCTAGTATATCTTTTAATTTTGAAAGAATTGAATCTTTCCAATCTCTTTCTGTTTGAATATGATGATAATTAATAAGGAACCCTTATCATTGGTGCAAATCTTTCAACATAGTATTAAGTAAGACATCTTTCTTTGAAAGTTCAGGTTCTCCCTTTAAAATCACCTTTCTGCCATCAATCTTGAGGGCCAATGATAGTTGTTCAAAGTTGACTCTAATCTCTCCTAAGCTTGCTAGCCATTTCATTCCTAAAATCACATCTACGCCTCTGAGGCCAAACAAGAAGAATTATTGTTGTACCTGTACTTCTTGCACTTTCAAAGGAACTTCTCTACATACTCCCTTGCATTTGATTTTGTGACTGTCTCAAACTTCGACCACATATGACGGAGTGTCATCCACTTTTAATTGTAGTTTTTCCACCAGTTCCTTGGAAATGAAGTTATGGGTGACGCCACAATCTATCAGTACTATGGGTTTGTGATTATCAATATTTCCCCAAACCTTTAAGGATTGGTGAAAAGTAAATTCCACAATACTATTCATGGATAATTGGGATGTTTCTCTAATTTCTGGTTCAGGTTCCTCTTTCGAGTTTTCATCATCATCTTCATCTATTACTAATATTATCTAAAGTTGTTTATTCCTACATACATGAGAGGTGCTCCATTTTTCTTCACAACGAAAATATTTTTCTTTTTTCCTTTTTTCTTGAAGCTTTACTTCGGTTAATCGTTAAAAACTTTTAGGTCGATTGTTGTTTTCTGGCTTGTTCACAGATGCACTACTAGCAAAAGAATTATAAGGGTTGTTGAAGTAATATTTGTTCCCACCTTCTAAATTGCTCTATTTTTCTGCTCGATCATTAATGTCTTCTTGATCATGATTGATAAAGTGTGGGGTTCATAGAGTTTAATTTCTACCCCAATGTTTTCCTTCAATCCTTCACAAAAATGTCATTTAAATGTTATTCATCAACATATTACAACAAACTTGCAAACCTTTCAAATTGCTCAACGTACTCTTCTACCAGTTTTTCTTGTTTAAGTGCAAGAAGGGTAAGAAAAGGGTTGAGAGTGACTGAAGTTTGTAATTTTTCAAGAATGACAACTTTGAATTCTCCCCATCCAATGTTAGAGTTGTAAGTTTCCCACCATTGGAACCCAGAAAACACCTTTCCATCTAGTGCCACCATAATTGCTTGAATTTTTTCTTCTTCTAGTACATCTCTCATTTGAAAGAAAAGTTCAAATTTATTTATCCATCTATAGGCATCATATTCTCCATCACATACAGGGATTTCCAATTTTCTGCATTGTTCTATTTTTCCTTCCCCGGCGTGATTCTTGGGTGTTTCTTCTCCATTGACGAAACCTTTGGGTGATCAATTTTCTGAATGCTTGGACAAATTTTCTACCATGGGGCTTCTATTCGTGCAATGTGTTTCAAGTTGTTGTCATTTTGCATCTTGATTTTGTCGGTTCACCATCAGCATCTTCAAAATTCTCTCCATTGTGTCATGATTATCAGAATTAGAATGAGTTGTCACCATTGTTAGAAGCAAAACACCTGATCGGTTCTATGATACCAAATTGATATGGACAGAAAAGAACTGGACAAGATTAATAAAATGAATAGAATTTATAAAGATAATTCTGAGAACAAGTTTTCGAGAACCTGTCTCTCCACAATATAATTCCTTCCTAATTTCCTTCGTGTGTTTCCTAATCTGGATTATTTCTATTTATATTGCTTATAACAACCGTTCCTAATTGATACAACTTTTCCTAATAGTTGTATCTCTATTCCAAGGGTTATGCCCCTTGATTCGCATCCCTTGACTTTATATCCTTTGGATGAATTGTAATTGTTGGGTGTTTTGCATCGTTTGAGTGTTGTGTGCCCTGTTGCTCGTGGTCTAGGATTGTTGCTTCTTTTATTCGTTTCTTGCGGGTATATCTTGGTGATTATTCTTATCAAATGCCTATGGCAAGCCATTGTCAACTTTATCTTTTCAACGTTCTCTTCCACTTATTGGACGAACAAGGAGAAGACATTGTTAATAAGGTGCCACAAATTATATGTTAATTTCTTGCTTTGGCAGGTGCTGATAACTTAATCCCAATGGAAATTGCTCTAAAGATTACTGAAAAGATAAAAGCAAATGAAAGATTTGCAGTGTATGTTGTTATTCCCATGTGGCCACAAATTATATGTTAATTTCTTGCTTTGGCAGGTGCTGATAACTTAATCCCAATGGAAATTGCTCTAAAGATTACTGAAAAGATAAAAGCAAATGAAAGATTTGCAGTGTATGTTGTTATTCCCATGTGGCCAGAAGGAGTTCCGACAGGGGCTGCCACGCAAAGGATTCTATTTTGGCAGGTATGATTCAACACACAATATGAAATCCAAGCTTCTAATTTTGGCAAGGATTTGATTGAGCTATTGAGTTGGTTTTAATTGACATTGTTCACTCTTACAACAAATAGCGTGTCTGCTCTCACTATCAAATGGTTCAAAACTTGTGGTTGCCAAGTGTTAAATGAAAACGTTATAACACATGCTTGTACTTGTTTATTACATTTGTTAATATGAAATTTCTTAATTTTGCAGAATAAAACAATGCAAATGATGTATGAGACCATTTCCAAGGCTTTGGTTGAAGCTGGGCTTGAAGCAGCATTTTCTCCACAAGATTATTTGAACTTTTTTTGTCTTGGTAATCGAGAGGTCATCAATTTGTATGATAATGTTGGTGTGACTGGAGTTCCTCCCCCAGCAAATAGTCCTCAAGTATGTTACTAACAACCCCTTTCCCTCATTGCACTCTTCCCAATTTCATTTTTCTGCTACCATACCACTAGGAATCCATATAGATTTCTCTAGAACCAAGTACCGATATTAGGGGATATAATGCTTCCAGACAGGTGTTTAATTTGTTATCATGTAAACTGTCCCCTGATGATTAATAAGATATGAGATAGTACTCTCTTAGCCAACTACCTAACTCAATTCTACAAAACTAATTTAGTAAGATGAGAATTGTACTTACTTGTATATTGTAATATTATCGAATTTTTACTCAAAATGGGATTTTATCATAACTCTCGAAGAGGATTTTTCATCTCATCCACTTATCACTAGGGAGATTTTTTCATTTTATTCTAATACTTATCCAAGTGCAATGATAATTTTCACTAAATTTGGTGAATGTTATTTCGTGACACTCTTTATAATGTTTTTTATTTACTTTTAAAGGGAATGCAATCTTTAATTAGTGAATGCTCAACTCAAACTTTTGTTCGTTTGTCCTCTATTTTCAGCTGGCTAGCCGAAATAGCCAACGTTTCATGATTTACGTTCATTCCAAAGGCATGATAGTTGATGATGAATATGTGATATTGGGGTCTGCAAATATCAACCAGCGCTCCATGGAAGGAACAAGGGACAGTGAGATTGCAATGGGAGCCTATCAACCTCATCATACATGGGCAAAAGCACAATCTTATCCACACGGACAAGTAAGTTTTCTTGATTACTATTTGGCTACTGATATTGGCTCAGATTTTGTTAATATAATCATTTCATGTTTCACTTGTGTTATTCAAGTTGAAAAGATGAAACTGCAAAATTGCATTAAATATCTTCATGCATGAAAAAAAATATTAAATATAATTTCCTCTACAAAATTCCAATTGTGAGATAACAAAGGAAAGAGGGTTAAGTCACTGCCATAAAAAACATTGTTTAAAATGCAGAAGATAACTCACTGAAGTCAGAAATAAAACACTCATCGGTATTATTTTGGGGTCATCAAATGGGATGTTGCATGGTACAAATGAGATTTTGGATGCGTATATCCTGACTTTGGTATACTTAATTTAAGAAGAAATAACAATGATAATATTATGATTTGATTTTTCAGCAAACCATTTTTGAATCCATTAACATGTAATAACCCAACAGTAATTCTTTGTGTTATGCAGATCCATGGATATAGGATGTCACTTTGGGCAGAACATACGGGAACGCTTGAGGACTGCTTCTTGCAACCTGAGAGTCTTGAATGTGTAAGAAGGATTAGAGCAATGGGGGAAATGAACTGGAATCAGTTTTCAGCAAATGAAAAAACAGAGATGAAAGGGCATCTACTGAAATATCCTGTAGATGTTGATAGAAAGGGCAAGGTTAGACCCCTTCCGGACCAGGAAGAGTTCCCAGATGTGGGAGGAAAAATAGTTGGATCTTTTCTTGCCATGAAAGAGAATCTAACTATTTGATGAATCCATTGGTCTGCGTTTTTCACACTGTGCTAGCCAATAGGATAAGATGTATATAAATTACAACATAGAAACAATTTTTGAAATGTATGATAGATGAAGAAACAAAGACCATTACCAACCCAAAATCCAACCAAATAAAGACACTACACTTGTAAAGATCAGGAAAAGATGTATGGAGTTATTGGTTATAATGATCTTTCAGGGATGTTTACAATCTTTGCACGTTTACTTCTCTCATCAACTCCCAAGTGCAACAATTTCGGGCACATCTTTATCTACCATTTGCTTCTCACCATTGTTCACTATATTCCCCACACACCACATGCCCCATTTTCCCCATGAAAGAATTAGTGTATCAGCCACACAATGCTGCGATAGTAATTCCATTCCAATACCGAATTTGTCTTGTACATGTTTCCTTTTCTCTGTATAACACTTGCCAATATATATAATACATATAGAGAAGATCTATTTACTCTAAAAGAGATAGAGACTTGTTTTTTTATTAACCTATTTATTATTTAATAATAATAATAATACATTAAGTTTATGTTTGGATCTACCAATGGAGAAGGTGAAGCAGGAAAATACAATAGAAGTTCACTTTTTTTAATATAGGGATTTTAATTTTCTCAAGAAAAAATCTATTTTCTTATTTATGCAAAGAAAACAGTGGAAAATATATAATATGTAATACATAATTAATTATCTAGAATAACATACTCGATTATATGATAAATGTTTTTTAAAAAATTATTAAAAAAAGACAAATTATAATCATAATAAATAATTAAAACAAATATTAAAATAATAAATAAATTTATTTTTAGTTTTTATTTATTTATTCTATTTTTATTCTATTTACCTTAATGTAAATATTAAAAAGGCCACTCTTTTTAATTATTATTCTTAGAACGAGAGGGAGTGAATCCCTTCTCGCATCTGTCTATCTATCTATCTCTCTCTATATATATACTCACACCAATGAATATTATTTACTCCTATAAAAGTTTAAGAGAATTATTACTCATATTCATTATTTTTTTAATATAATAATTTTTTATATTGCACTATTTTATAAAAAAATGAAACATGAAGATGAAAAATAACTTTATTATATTTATTCAATAAAATGAATCTCTTTTATCAATTTATATGGATATTAAAATTAAAAATGTGAAGGAATAATATTATCATCATCATTGATGTACTTTAAAATAATTATACAATTATTAAAATAAATAATAAATAATTATTTTAAAACGATTTTATCCAATAGTTTCACATTTTTTTAAGTACATTATTTTGGATAAGAGAAAATAATTGATTTGAGCACGCGATAGAAAAAAAATAAAAAATGCTTCATTGAAATATGAGAAGGTTAATTTTTAGATTTGAGGGACAAACTTTGTATATTGGGCCTGTTTGTTATTCTTGGTATGGTGGGCCATGTTAAGTCCAATAGCTAAGTGATGTTCAATGTGTAACTGTAACGGTTGGTTTTAGTGATGTTTGGTAATTTTAATAATCCATCGAACTTTTATTTCTTTAGCATTCTTCATTTAAAAATATTTATGGACCGAAATAAATTAAAATATTTGAAGGTTAATATTTGTCATGTTAGTTACTAAAAGCAGAAAATGAATTCTTAAAAATCTCATTGATGACATTGATTGAATCTAAATTTTATCTACCGTATACATGTCATCATCTCAAGTAAATTATAAATGCCATTTATTGGACTTTAAATTAAGTTGAGATATTGCATACCTGAATTTAACTTATAAAAAGGTTTTCTTTTTCTAACCTAGGTAACATTTTTAATTGATAAATTATAAATATTTTAATAAGAGTAGTGATATTTTGACAACTAGAAACCATACAACTCTTCAAACAACTCACTTTTATTAATATAATAATCTATAGATTGATTTAAAAAAAATAAAAATAAAATAAAATTATTATTATAATATTAAAATAAAGTTGTTTATCAGAGTGGTATGGATTTGGATTGTGAAAATATCATTTTCTTTTAATAAATAAAAAATATATTAGTTTACGTATATTAAATAACTAAAACGATGAGAAAGGAGGTGGTACTATAGGAGAGAAAAAACCCTAGGAGTAAGTGAATTGAAATTGAAACGGAACTTACCAAAAAATAATAGAGAAAAATTATTTATTTAATAATATATATATATAGAGAGAGAGTGTTTAGCGCATGCCAGCTCAGTCACAAGTGTTGTGTTCATAAAACTACGGCGCTACGTACAGCTAATACAACACTCGCGAAAATTAAGAATTTTATTTTATTTTCCCCTTTTTTTCCTTCTCAAATCTCAAAACCGAAACGCACTCACTAACACAACGCGACGACGACGACGAAGACGAAGACGACGCACTTGTGCAATCTCTCGTTCGTTCCTTCTCCGATTCGAGAATCGTTCAATCAAATTCAAATGTGCAATTCGTCCCCAACGTGCTTCCAGATTCGCTTCCGCTGACGGTGATTTCGAATCCAATCCAACCGAATCCGATAATGTCTTCCAGCTTCAGTCCCTCGCGCCCGCCGCAGCAGTTAATCGGCGTCTCCCGCCTGAGATCCTCCAGCCTCAAGAAGCTACCGGAACCCTTGCGTCGAGCCGTCGCCGATTGCCTCTCCTCCACTATCTCTCCTTCCAACGAACCTTCTAGAACTCTTCAGGTCTCTCTCTTCCTCATTTTCGCTTCGTGATTCGTGTTTCGTACTTGATGTGGAAAATGAATTTCGCACGACACCGTTGCCGGAAATTGTTTTTTATTATAATTATTAATTTTAAAAAATTGGACGTTACTTACCATTTTGTTTTTCACTTATTTTATTATGTAAAAACAGGAAGTTATTTATCCTCGTGGTTGGGGAAGAAAGTGGGATTGAGTAGAGCCTTAGCTTCTTTAACGTTCTAAGCTGAATACGAATCTAGTTAATGAGCTGGGGAAGGGGTAATTTGGTCAATGTTGTGTGGTTGGTTTTAGGTTAACTTGTGGGAAGGGGCATTACTCCTGTACATACTCTTTCTCACTCGGTATGCTACCTATTTAGCATTGAAGGTTTCTCGTTATATTTATGTTCTGATTGGACTTTGGATAAATTTTTCAAGAACTATTTATAGGAGGAAGAATTAAAGAAAGTATAATGAATTAAACTTCGTTGAGTTTAAATTAGCTTGGAGTTAACATAAGCCTTGAGAGACTAAATTAGTGAGCTATTATAAATTAACTTATGCATATAACTTTTGTTAATTCATTTTATCTTCTTGTTTTCTTCTCTTATAAGTATAATTGATAATTTTAACATTTCTTTTGCGTTAATTATAGAATTAGTATTCAGTAAATGCTTTGGAAGTCTTTCTAGCTTCCCATAACCATCTTCATAGGCACCACAGCAACTGGCTGTGTGAAGTCCTGGAAGCTAGTTAATCTACTTTCGTCTTTACTTTTTAAAGGGTGGGCTATGAAGAAGGATGGCGGATATGGTTTTCTTAATTAATGTGTTGATTATTTCTTTATCAACGTGATAATAGAAGTCTTTCCTTAACTTTGTTGCTTCTATGCTAAATGGCTGAGTAATGCTGTGCATGTGTGCGAGCAAAAAGTACTGTCTGAGTGGAATTTTGAAAGTTCGTCAACTGCTGCTCATGTCCTTAACTTTTAAAGTTTAGGCTATGAGGAACTCCTGATATGGTTTTCGTATTTAATGTAATGATTGCTTCTTTATCATATATGTATGTGTGTGTGTGTTAATAAACGATTTTAAACAGCTGACTTAGGTGCAAGAAGTTTTAAAAGTACTATCTTTGTTTTCAACTCATGATGCAGTCTGCGTATCAGCTCAGCAAGGAAAATATTAATATTTATTGCAAAGGATGTAATACAGATGTCACATTCAATATTTTCTTGCATTTATTGTACCATCTGTTCTGAGATAACATATATATATATATATATATATATATATATTTATATTATATTCAACAAGTATGATTGTTATCTGAAGTAAGTCAAGTATTAATACATGTAGGATGATTACTCAAACACTAGCTTCCTATTATTGGGGTTCCTTACTATCTGCAACATAATTTTTGCTTAAAATATGGCCTGATTTTAATGCCATGCATAACTGTCATTCTGGTTGTACAGTGACCAAATCCCATTTGACTGCTAATTATCGTACCATTGTATTTGATATACAGCAGCCAAAGTCTAAACTTTAGATATTTTATTTTATTTATAGCTTAAATATATGATTGCAGGATTATCTGAAAGCCCCTGCAGCCACAGACTTGGCTTATAATGCAATTCTGGAACACACTATCGCCGAGAGGGAGCGCAGGTAATTGTTGCATTTATTTATTGCCAGGGGGTTAGTTGGTGATACTTTCCATATTTGTTAAAACCATAGTTCTATAAATATTCTGCTATGTACTTGAGACAATGTCATACCCTAGTGACTAATTGGATCGATGAAAGATGCGGAGTATATCCTTATAATTTTGATTTGGTAGTAGATGAGAATTTTTTTGCTTCTTTTCTTGGTTAAGAAGGTAATGCACCTCTGTTCATGTGGATGGTGTTGTATTTGTGAAACTTGTTGTCCAATTGTTTTTGTAAGACATTGATGGAAACTCTGGAAGATAACACTAATATAATGGCATGTGTAGTATGTATTATTATCATCACTGTTACTGATATCATCATCAGTACCGGCAACAGAAAAGTTCAAAGAAGATAAACTGAAAAACGAAAATGAAATGCAGATAACCCTAGGCTTTTGTGACACCTCCTTCCCTTTCTATTTACCTTGAATAATTCCTGGCTTTTCCTTTCATTTCAATTCTCTTTTATCCACTTCTCTGACTAACTGGGTCTTCCTATGTGCATCCATGCCTCCTGCCACATTGCTGGCTGTAACCCTTCTCCTTTCAATCAATGCACATGCAGCATGCATTACTCAAGTGAGACTCTAATTATATGCTTTCTTTGCTTTTCTTCCTCAAATATATGTGTTTAGTTGGTGGTTTTCTAACATTACCTGTCCCCAAAATCCATTTGACCTTGTCCTCAATATGAAAGTCATAAAATTGATCTTGAATGGATTTGGGATTTCCAGGAATCCTCAAAATCTAGGAGGTCCTGCCATCAAATCCTGTTAGTCCCCTCAGGGCTAGCCCTGAGTTTTAGGACCTCAGCTGCTTGAACCTGAAGTTCTAATTCTTAGAAGCAAGCTAGTTAAGGATGACAAGAGTATAAGCAGAAACTGATTTTTCAGTGAAGATACGTTTAGATGTGTAAAACATGTCTGTTACCAGGATTTTTCAGCTCGAATGCCACCTTTCCTTGTTCTACCTCATTTAATGAATGGTCGTGATTAAACCAGGGACTGAGATTTTTATTGGTTCTTTTTGCTAGTGATCAAAATCTGTAAATCTTCTGATAAACAAAAATCACAGACTTGATAAATAGTTCATTTGGTGTAGTTCAATTATTATTTCCAATCATATATGATATATGGTAGGTTTATGATAAATATTGTAAACAGTTTATATCAATACATTACCATTGATAATTTCTTTAAAAAAATATTAAATTCAAATTTAAATTAAAAATGAAAATGATATATTGAAAGAGATTAGGGAATAAGAAAATTTCCTAAAACTGCTCCCGTTGAAGGAAAACTTCTAAAAATATTGTTGTTGAAATTAAACAAGCTTTTGAGAATAGTTGTTATAATTTTACATATAGGGAAGGGAAGATCTCCCTTTTTTTTATCTACTTTTAGCTTCATTTGTCTACTATGGGACCTGATTTTTCAATTCATCCAAGATCTAGTTCCTTTTTGGTATGAATCTGTTAATGCTTTCCTCAGTTGAACTATTGTAATTGACTTTGTACTAAAATTTTGTTCAGCTGTGTAGACTGTTGCTTAGTGTGTATTACTGTCAGTTTGGCACCTCAAATATTGTTTCTATTTCCTTATTTCAAATTCCAGAAGCTTCTAATTTGTTATAATATTTTCTGTCAGTCCTGCGGTAGTCACAAGGTGTGTGGCACTTTTGAAGCGGTATCTCCTAAGGTATGTTGCCAGTCACTTACATAAGTTGATACGCAACTGATTACCAGATTTCTATTTTTGGGACATCATCTATTACTCTAGTCTAGTGTCTTCGATCCTCATTTCAAAGAGTTGCATTGCATGTTACTACAATGTTCCTTATTCCAATACAAGAATTTATTTACACAATTTTATGTCAATCATTATGTTAGTAAATAAAATGCCAAAAAGTGATTGGTATATAGTTTTTTTGCATGCTTTGTGATGAAATTGAGCTTCTACTCTTAGAGTACTTTGTTGGAAGGATAGTATTTATTTTTATCAATCTTACACAAAAAACCAGTGGCCGATCTTGAACAATGATTTTGGGAACCCCAAATAACATATTATTAATAAATAATAAATGAATATGAAAAAGTGGAAGAATATGAAAATGTAAGAGGTTAAAATTGTAAATATACAAACAAGTATATTTAATGGTCATTAATTTTGGGGATCCAAAATCATAAATTTTACATGTAAGTTACAACAGCCCTCCTAACCTCCCAAAAAGCTCCGTCATTGTACAAAACAGTGATGTAAACTAGGTGTCAATAAAGTCCATTATGTAAACAACAATGATGATCATTAGTTGATGATTAAAGGTACTGCAAAAAGGGCCAGAGCATGATGCTATTTTGTTGCTTCATTACATTCTACAGCAAGATGCCTGAATTTTTAGGGAAAGAGATTCTTTTGAAATTTACTATGCCGATGTCTATTAAAGTTTTATATATATATATATATATATATATATATATATATATATATATGAAATACTGGACATTAAAGAACTCATAATAATAAAAATTTACTGCTCTGATGTGTATTAAAAGTTTCTGTATATTTACATATATATGAAATAATGGACATTAAAGAACGCACGATAATCAATAATAGATTAATATGATATATCCTTATGCGAAAATAGCATATCTATTTCCCAAGACATTGGCAATGCCTATCATTAGTTTATTTGTTAAAAGTTTTGATTATTTTCCACTCAACTTGCTTTTCAGTCACATTCTTGAACACTTTGATTATCAGCTTACTCATGAAAGAAAAATAAGTTAATTCAAAGATGTTCTAGCATCTAAAACTCATCTAAGCTTCATAGTTCAAATAATTCGGATAGTTATAGAGTAATAATATGATGGATGTTTGACTCATCAATGTTGCATTTCACTCATTTTCAAACTGTTTCAGTGTTTTTTGGAGTTTTGTAATGGATTTGCCGGTTCAACCTGCTTTGGCGATTAAAAAAGAGGAAAATAGTTACAAACAAGAGAGATCAGTCCTGTATGGGAGACATTTGATGCCTGCTTAGCCATATCTGTGCATCAAAGGTCAAGGTCTCTCACTTCGTTATATGAAGGGCACCTGAATTTTATTGAATTTTTCATTTTTGTGGGATAAAAACACAAAAATGCATTTAAGCGCATAGATTTTTTGTCTAATTGAACAGAAAGAAGTACAGAAATGGAGGATAAAGTATCTTCTAAAAAAACGCAAAATCTAGGAAGAAAAAAGAAACATTCATATTTTTTTTTTGGCCAGGGGGATAAGTTGGCTTTCTGGTCCTGGAATTCATTGTTCCCTATATTAATCACTGATTTAGTAACAGACAATTCTCTGTTCTCATAGGCATGGGGAATAAGTTCGTGAATCCTTTTTCAATTTTGCTAATTTTCTTTCTGTGTAAATAGTCTTTTATTCATTAATTGAATGCTGTTTACTTATATTTATAGAATAACTGGAATATGCAACTTGTATCTTTCCTTATTTGATTGTTTCTTGTACGATAAACAATCTTGTTATAGTTGCTATTTATGCATGAAGTATTTACAACTTATTACTACAGATACAAACCAAGTGAGGAGACGTTACTTCAGATAGATCGTTTTTGTTCAACGATAATTGCTGAATGTGATATTAACCCAACTCAGCCGTGGTCACGAGTTTTGAATCGTCAGTCTGGTGTATCAATTGCAGCCACAAATACATCTCCTTTACCTGTATCTACCTTTGCTTCTGAGGGACTTGTAAAGTCACTAAATTATGTTCGTTCACTAGTGTCTCAACACATTCCTAAGCGGCTATTTCAACCAGCTTCATTTGCTGGACCTCCTTCGTCCGGACAGTCACTGCCATCATTGTCATCTTTCCTGAGTAAATCGTTCAATTCCCAATTAATTCCTGCAAGTATTCCAGAATCACAAAGTTCCACAGTTGTTCCAGATGCACTAGAGAAGGATTCAAGTTCTCTATCTGTTTCAAGGTTATCAAAAATCGAAAATGCTGATGAAATGGATGAACAAGGGTTCATTGCACATGATGTTCTGAAATGGCGCTGGCTTGAGCAACCACCATCATCATCCATAGGGACTCAAAAGTAATAATCTGTGCTTTATTTAAGCTGGTTTTGGTGTCCTGTTAGTGGCAACTGTGGCTTATATCTCCACTTTACCGTTTATTATTCAATTATCTTCTAGTGCTTCAGAAATTAACTTTGTTATTTAACATGTTTTAATGCAGTGATCGTGCTGTGAATTCCCAAGACATGACATCACATAGTTTCTTAGAAATAGGTGCTGCAGCTCTACTTGTAGGAGACATTGAATCTAAGATGAAGGGGCAACCATGGAAATTTTTTGGAACTGATGATATGCCTTACCTGGATCAGCTATTGCAGTCTTCCCCTGTAACGCCTATTACTGATTCTGACTCAGCTCGCCCCCATCTGAGAGCAATAACAGCATCTAAACGAACAAAACCAGGCTCTCGTCAGATTTGGCATGTTCTTCTATGGACTTGCTCTGATATTTTTCTTTTTCTATTTTTTATCCAATTTCATGCCCCTGTCAAATCTTTCATAATTTGTTGTTTTAAGCCAAATATTATATTAAAAAAGTTGAACCAACACTTTCGTAATAGTTTAGAGTTGTTGTGAAATTGAAGTGCTAAAAGCAATGGTTTGTACAATTTTAGGTTAGCCTTCAAAAGACAAATGTATTACATTCTCATGTTCTTTTCTGTACTCAAAATGTCTGCATGCAATACATAAGGTGGTACTCTCTGGTTCATTACCACTCATTTCCATAAGTACTGTGATGTTCTATGAACTATCATGCAGTTTATGTGGGCAAAATTATGTGATAAGTATTTGAATTGCTCCTATACAGTTTGATACACTTTTTACCCTCGAGATGTGTAAAAATCTGTTTATCTTTTCACAACTTTGGCATGCAAAAATGCTTTTCATGATTTTCTGTTCTGAACACTTCCATTTCTACAGGGAGGATTTTCCTGTGATTACATTCCGTCCCAGAACTCGACAGCTTTTCCAGTATCGTCATTACAGGTTTAGATCATTTGACTCTAGAAAATCTTCAAAGGAATTGGATAGCAAATGTTTGCACCTGTTTTTACCACATCTGAAAATGGATTCCATAAAAAAAATTGGGCATTTCTTTCAAAGTAATTATTACTTGATCCTAAATTGGTATATATGATTTGCATTTGTTTATTGTGCTGTTATTTTTGCTGCCCTTATTAATGGTTTGCACTTTCAATTTATTATTGTCTCTAAAAATTTACACACTCTGTGAGGAAAGAATTGGATGGAAAACTGTTGGGGATAGTTAGAGCTGTTAATTAAAGGGGAATAAAGATCAAATGAGGTGACATGATGTAAACCAAAATAATTTTTGGAAAATTAAATGTCTGTAATAGCGCCTCAAAAGGCCCTAACGTCTTTTTCCGAGGGCTATTTTCTGAATTGCCCATAGTGTAGCTATTCTGTCTGCTAATGCACTGTGACAGCTGCAACACTTAATTGTTCCACTACAGCAGCGACTATAGTGGCCAAGGGCCACTCTGCCACTGTAGCACACTGTTGAAAACCCTATATTTAACAACTTTTGGGGAGATGGATGCAGAAATAAGGCATAAAATGGGAGGACAGGACAACACCACTAATGAGCAACCTGTTTAAGAGAGGAGGCTCGGCCCTATTTGTCCAAGCATCCTGAAGGAAAGTGGTATGGGAATGGATTAAAATGAGGTGGTCCAGAGTTTCTGTCCTGGGCATGGGAAATGGAGTTAATCCATTTGATGGTTGTGATCTTTTTGGGCAGATTGCTGAAGTAACATGCTTTTTAAAATGCAGCGAATTAAGCCCTCAGAAAGGTTCTGTTGGCAGTCATTATTATGGAGAGTTTAATGCAGTCCACTGGTTTAGATTCTTAAACAGAATGCTTCCAATATGATTTGGGAGGGGTTTGTGTCAACTTTGATTTAGTGTTTTGATTGAGGAAATTTGAGGAATTTAGAGATCGACTAGGTTGGGGAGATTGTAATACTCAAATGGGGAGAAGCATTGTGGGGAGATGACCAGCAGGAATTCTCAAGATAGTTGAATTTCTCATTTGCACCTACAGGACAAGGTTGTTGTTAGGAAAAACAGGGACAGTAAAAACCGTTAGAGACTTCCAGAGCAGTTAATTAGTTGAGATCAGTTAGATAACTTGTGGGTAGGGGGGATAAAGAGAAACCCTTGAGGGTGAATTCCTTCTCTAATATCAATTGTTCAATAAAATTATTTGTTTCTTCAAATTTCTCATTTTTCATTTCTTGGTTCTTAACATTCTGCATGCATATTCATTCAGTTAACAAAGCTGCAGCTTTGTTATCATAGTTTTGTTGTTAATAGTTGATATATTTGTGTTTCTACATCTCACAAAAATGTTCTCTTATGCTGACCAGTGAGCAACAACCTCTGCGATTGAACCCTACAGAGGTACATGATGTTATTGCTGCAGTTTGTGCAGAGGTTTCTATCCCAAATGCCAATGCTGTCAGAGCCTCAACTAGACTAAATAATAACAGTGGAAGACCATCAACGGATGTGGCTGTGAGCGTCCTTATTAAACTAGTTATTGACATGTATGTTTCAATTAATTGTTGTCTTTTTATGTTTTACTCCTTTCTGGTTACCAGCCCTGAATAATTTTTCTCTTATTTCTACTGTATATTCCTGATTTCTATGATCAAAATATTAATCTTTTGAAAGTTTCATTATCTCAAAATCTAAACTTGATGAGTTGAATTGTATTCTAAGTAGAGAAAAGAGGAGGGTTTGATAGCAAAATTGAAGAAAAATGTTGTGGGATTATTGCTTATTTTTACAGAAATATTTAATTAGACTTTTCAAATTAGAATATATATATATATACACACACACACACACACACATACATATTTCTCTTTTATTGAAGTTGGTCCCCTTCCCCAAGTAAAAATATATTTCAAAGAGCAGCCAGAAATTCTTGCAATTTGAGGGATGCCGTACTTAGAAGCAGTTTTAACTAGGTGTACAAAGAGATGGAGAAGAAAAATAGACAGGGTTTAACATTGTTTGACGTGCAGGAAACTGTAGGTTCAGACATGAGACATTGAACTCTCTGATTTGCAAAGACTTCATACTCTTAATATTGCATATTCTCAACAAACCTAATTGAAAATTTGTTTTTTTATCAACGGGGAGACTGGTGTGTTCTATTCACAATATAAGGAACTATATTTTTGGTACATGGTTTTCCAAAAAGGAGGGAGGGTTTTATAGAGATCTACGAATATATAACTTGTTGACTGCTAAATTATGTTTACATAAAAGCATTGTCAAGATATTGCTATGTAGTATATCAAAACTTTTAAATCTTTTCAATGTCAGGTACATTTATAATGTTTATTTAACCACAGATTAATTTTCTTGTCAACTGATTGATTGACTAGTATGTTTTTTCATATTTTTATGGTTTTAAATTGTTATGCAAGCCAATTATGTGTAATGATCATAGAAAATATTATTTTCCAGGTATGTTTTAAATTCTCAGACAGCTGCTCCGCTCATTCTTTCTATGTTTGAGGTGATGCATAAATAAAGCACTTTTTCTCTGTCATGCTATGCTATCTGTAATATTTTGGGTAGTGATTTATTTGAAATGCATATTTCAGGAGATGCTTAGTTCTTCCAAATCAGCATGCAGGGTTCGTGCTTTTGATTTAATTCTAAACCTTGGGGTTCATGCACATCTCCTAGAACCGATACTTGCTAATGATGCTTCTACTATAGAGGAAGAATATACTCAAGAATCCTATTATGACAGTGACACTCAAGTTATGGTGCAAGGAGGCAGAAAAGCTAGTTCGCAGAACAAATCAGATGCAGGCTCTGCATTTGATAATTTTGAGTCTTGGATTTTAAATATCCTGTATGAGATACTACTTCTTCTTGTTCAGGTATCATTGGGCAGAAAATGAAATTGTTGAACAAAATCATTTCGTGTTTCTAAATTATTTTTCTTGGCTGGGATCATCTGATTGAGGGGTGCCAATATTTTATCTTCAACACTTGTCACGATATATTAATTTATGTGTACATGATATGGTGTAGATGAGTTTCTATTGGAGAACTATAATGAGTGAGTAAGCGACATTTTTAAATGGATTGAAAATATAAAATTACAAGACAAGATAGTGGAAACAACTTTTGACATAATTACTGTTTTTAATAATTAAAAAAGGACTCTTTTGAGGTAGTGCTCAAATGTCTGAGTGGGTTTGCATTAGTTTCAATCACATATCTTGTTTCAAAATCTCAGATTGATTCTCTTAGGTGGATAAAGAAAAAGCTTTTATCATCTATTTCATATGAATTTTCCTAAGATAATTATGTTATCTGTCTGTCTACTTCTGTTTTTCAAGCACAATGGTTTAATCAATGTGTTGCCATAAATAGTCATTTATGCTGATCAATTGCTTTATACAGTCTGAAGAAAAGGATGAATCTGTTTGGGCATCTGCTCTCAGCTGTTTGCTGTATTTTGTCTGTGATAGAGGAAAGATCTGGAGAAACCGTTTAGTAGGGCTTGACATAAGGGTGAGAAATAATATCCTCCTCTCCTATTCGACTCTACCTGTATTTCATGGACTTTCTTTTTTATTTCTTACCACATTCTGTTGGCTAATTATTTTCTTCCTTTTTGGGAGGTTGGACAGTGAGTCAGGGGAGAGGATGCTTGCCAATTATTGAATATTGGAATTTATTTTAGATATATAGAAGTTAAGTTTTCTATTTAAGAGAGTGAAAGAATGGTGACGGAGGATATTTTGTTGAGCAAAACAAACAAGTAAAAGATTAATAATTAATATTTTTTCCAAAGTAAACTAGATAAAGTTAAAAGTAGTATCACAGAAGGAAGAAGTATAACCTGATTGAAACATCTTTTTAAACCAAGGGGTCATGCAGATGCTTTGAGAAATGAAAAACTAGAACAAGATTAAGAGATTTTGTAAGCAATGTTTTCACTGTGGCTGTGTTTCACGGGGAGCATATTCTTCTGCCACCTTATTTCTTTCATGTTCTTTGTTATGAGCCATTGCCATCCATTGGGAACTAGTGATTGGTGCTAGTTTCTCATAGTTGCCTTACCAGAATATGCATACTTAGTTTTTCCATTTGACGTTCCAGTACATCTGGTATTTCTCTCAATTATTGTCATCAACAAAGCCAATCTTTCAAAGAGGAAACTTATTTTGCCATCTGCTGTTCCAGTAGATTTGTTATTTCTCTCAATTTTTGTCATCACCAAAACCAATCTTTGGTGTCTAGCTATTAGTCACACAATCATTTGCTTGGTTGAACAGTTGCTGCTTGTGTTTATTACCCCTAAATGCTTCTAGAAAGGTTGAACATTTGATAAGCTTTTTGATTTTAGATGCACATACTTAACTGGTATTTGTTCTGTTTGACTGGAATTATTGAATGGGTTGTAACTTATGAAGAAAGATTGATAAAAGGGGAGGTTTTTTCTCATCACGCTACTATATTTTTGCTTCATTTGTTATTTAAATATTGTTTCTAAAAAATTATCCATGCATTGTTTTTGGCTATTTTCTTTATTGTTGTTATTGGATTGGATTATGGATTAGTGTTTGTATGAGGAACTAAAACACACAAACTATAAGGTTGTAGTACTTTCATTTCTGTGCTGTAGATGTTCTTTAGTTTTTCATTATCCCATTTAGGGGCTTAAGGCTGCATGTAAGGAGTATGTTAATCCTGGGTGTTTTATCCTGAGTTTTTATTGCATAGCTATTCACTTACTTCTTTGTTGTTGATTGTTAATACTCCTTATGTCATTATCATATAACTGTCTAATTTAGTTACTTCCAATCTGCTGATAGGTTCTGAAGGCCCTTGTAAAAATCAGTAGGGAGAACTCTTGGGCAGAATTAGTTCACTGTAAGCTTATTTCCATGTTAACCAATATGTTTTATGAAGTTCCTGAAGTTGCTGAATCTGTACCCAACAAACCAAAGTTTCTTGTGGATCAACTTGATCTGATCGGAGGAGTTCAATTTATTTTTATTGAGGTGTGCATATCTTTAACCTCAATCTTGATATAACTCCAATTGAGTTCATTATCACTAATACTTTTTCCCCTTTTTACTAACAGTACTACTTTGTATAATTATTGTATCCATACTGCATAAATAAGGCCCAATATGTTGTTATCTCATCAGTTGACCTCTAAACTAATAGTGACTCTTCGATCTGTAGAAAAGCAAATATATTATGGGTAATAATGATGTTCATTCTTTTGAGTATTCAACACATCTATTATGTTGAAATAACAAAACTAGTGTTGGAAATGGTATAGTTTCCTGCTTCAGATTATATATATATATATATATATATATATATATATATATATATATATATATATATATATATATAACGTTCGGTTGTTGTTTTATAAAATCAAATGCCACAAATGTGTTTAAGTAACTAATGTTAAGTTAGTTGAGTTGAGAACTAAAAGTTGTTAAATTAAATGTTAAAATATAAATGAAAATTATATCATAAAATGATTACTAAAATATAAATTTGCTTGCGTATAATATGTTTATATAATTTTTTGTATACATAACTCTATAATTAATCATGAGCTCTTATAATTGTTTGTTGAAACAGCGTTTAATATTTTCATATTTAATTATAACATTATGCATATTATATATTCTACTATTAATAATATATATTATATATAATAATATTTTCAATAAAAATTAGAATAAAATAAGCATACATTTAGTATATGTCATACTTTTATGTTCATTGGTATAACAATAACTGTGAGTGTTTTTAAATGTCCCCATGTATTACTATTCACACTAATCAATTATTAATTATTATGAATAGTAATACAATTTTACTATTCTCACTTGTAAAAAAGAGTGTCGCGAGTTATACTTGAAATAATTTGTATAAGACCTAGAGGTAAATATTGTGACACATTGGGCTGTGGCATTTCCAAATTTACCTAAACAGGAATGAGTTTGGTTGACATAATGGGTTAATGGCAAAGAATGATATGTGATAATAACAAAGCAGATGCAAGGTAATCACCACTATCAAAATTATTGCTTAAGAAGTCTGATTTTTAGTACAACTTATATTTCATAATGAACCAAGTCATAAAAATTTTAGGACAAGAACTTTACACAAAAAGGCAATTATTTTCTATATGAAAACAGGTCTGCACCAAACCTTAAAGATAAATTATTTTTCTAGGATCTGGACCTGACGTTTACACATCTTCTGGTAGTTGTAGACTTCATTAATGACTGCAATGGACTGGATACAGATCTTGTCGTGTTGCTTGATTTGTCATTAGGGTTGTGATTGCTTGATCCTAGAGCCTGTCTGGGTACAAAGTTAGAAGTTGCTTTTGAGAGCATCCCTATTAGGAATAGAAAAAAAGAACTCTATTTCTAGTAGAGAAGCTCTTAAAAGCAGTCCTAGCTTTTATCTAAAGAGGACACTTATGGGATAAGACTTTTTTTATTGTGATTGCTTGATGTTCCCAGTGCAGATTTATCATTTGTTTAGCTGTTAAGATTCCTGCTTTTTGGTTTTACAATAAAATGTTGACAAAGCCTTAGGCCAATGTCCTACTTTCAGTGTTAGTTTCAAATTATATGATTTCCCCCTGCTTTTTGGTATGTTGGATGCAGTATTCCCTAGCAAGCTCAAGAGAAGAGAGGAAAAATTTGTATTCAGTGCTTTTTGATTACATTCTGCATCAAATAAATGAAACATGCATAGCTGCTGGCGGCAATGAATATAGTGACGATGAGATCCAACCTCTTGCTGCTCTGCTTGCTCAAACAAATGCACCTGAGGCATTTTATATTTCTGTTAAACTTGGGGTAGAAGGCATTGGAGAGATTCTGAGAAGATCTATTGCGTCAGCCCTGTCCAGTTATCCCAACAGTGAACGACTTAATATGGTACATCCCTATTCTTTTGTTTTTAATAATTTAAGGGCTACTCCTTTTCATGATTCTAGTGAGCGCTTCTCCTCTCCTTCATTTTCTTCCCCTCTCCTTTGGTGAACGTAATAAGTCTGAATGCTTCTTTGAATGTCAACAACCTTCATTTTCTTACAAAGCCAGGTTAAGAGTTAACAATTTGGGCTATGGAGAAAGCATGTGAAACAGTTTGTCCGGTGTTTCTCATGGATTTAGTTAAGAGAGTTAAAAGAAGATTTATAATTCAGTGGGATGCATCATTCCACTCTATGATCTCATATATATATATATATAGGATTACAACATTTAAAAAACAACCATCAACTACTAACCACTACTTAATAATAATTCTAACACTCCCCCTCAAGCTGGAGCATACAAATTGTATGTGTCGAGCTTGGAACAAATAAATTTAATTCAAGGTCCTCTTAAAGACTTTGTCAACACATTTGCAAGTTGATCATTGGACCCGACAAATTCAATACAAATTTTTTAGACAATAATTTTTCACGAATAAAATGACAATCGAGTTCTATATGTTTGGTCCTTTCATGGAACACCGGATTAGAGGCAATGTGGATAGCTGCTTGATTGTCACAATACATCTTCATCTGTTGGATCTCACAAAATTTCAGTTCTTGAAGGAATTGTTTCACCCAGATTAGTTCACAAGTGAGAGACGTCATTCCTCTATATTTAACTTCAGCACTAGACCGGACCACTACATTTGTTTCTTGCTTTTCCAAGAAATAATGTTGCCTCCAATGAGAACACAATATCCTGTAGTGGAGCGTTTGTCCATAGGGGATTCAACCCAATCAGCATCACAATACCCAGATATTTGGGTATCCCCTTTATCTTCATACAACAGACCTTGTCCTAGAGCCTTTTTGAGATATTTTAGGATGTGAACAACAAAATTCCAATGATCAGTACAAGGATTTTGCATAAACTGACTGACAACTCCAACAACAAAAGATAGGTCAGGTTTAGTAATGGTAAGATAAATGAGTTTCCCAACAAGTCTTTTATATCTCTCAGGATCAGAGAGCAGTTCACCTTGATCCATCATTAATTTCTCATTTGGATCCATAGGGTTGTCTACTGGTCTACAATCAATCATGTCTGTTTCTTTCAGGATATCTAAAACATACTTTCTTTGGGAGACTACAATGCCTTCTTTAGATTGAGTCACTTCAATCCCTAGAAAGTATTTGAGACAACCAAGATCCTTAGTTTGAAAGTGATTGCATAAATGTTTCTTTAGCAGAGAAATTTTATCAACATCATCCCCTGTAATGACTATATCATCCATATATACAATTAAATAAACACATTTTCATGAAGCAGTATAATAAAAAATAGAATGATCTGTTTCACTTCGTTTTAGTCCAAAACTTTGAACAGTGTGACTTAACTTTCCAAACCAAGCACGTGAAGATTGTTTGAGACCATAGAGAGAATTATGTAACTTACAAACTAAACTAGACTCCCCCTGAGCAACAAAACCAGGAGGTTGTTCCATGTAAATTTCCTCCTCAAGATCCCCATGCAAGAAAGCATTCTTGATATCTAACTGATGAAGAGGCCAATGACGGATAGTTGCCATAGCAAAGAAAAGTCGAACAGTAGTCATTTTGGTCACAGAAAAAAAAGTCTCATTGTAGTCAAGACCATAGATCTGAGTGTAGCCTTTTGCTACTAATCTAGCTTTGAGTCGATCAATTTCACCTTTTGGTCCAACTTTAATGGCATAGACCCAACGACAACCAACAGTCTTCTTCCCAGATGGAAGAGGAACTAAGTTCCATGTACCATTATGCTCAAGAGTCTGCATTTTATCAATCATGGCTTGTCGCCATCTAGGATGATCAAGTGCCTCTTTCACATTTTTAGGAATAGTAATAGTGGATATAGAAGAAACAAACGAAAAATAGGAAGGAGACAATTTGTGGTAACTAAGAAAATTGTAAATGGAATGTGGATTATGAATAGAGCGAGTACCTTTGCGAATGGCAATAGGCCAACTTGAGTTATCATTATCAAGAATTGTGGTATTAGGGGATGATTGAGAAGGATCTACTGAGGAAGACTCATCTTGGGGCATGAGATTGATCATTTGGCTCCTATGTTGATAGGTAATAAGAGGCAATGATGAGGATTCCGGTGTATTTTGTGTGGAATTTTGGGTATCAGGAGGAGGAGGAGGAGGTACAAATGGCTCCACTAAGGGTATAAGTAGGATATTTTGGACCGAACTAATATCCTGCATAGAAGGAGGGAAGAAGGGAGTTGATTAAAAAAAAAGTGACATTAGCAGACATGTTGTTAAGGTTCCAACATAAAACCAATTGACAATATGTGGAGTAGCCTAACATGTATTTAGACCATACCAAATGACATGAGGTAGGCAATGTGGGACTTTCAACACGCCCTCTCCAACGAAGCCTGCCAAACCAGGCAAAGGGTAATTTTGACCCAACTAAAGGGTAACTTTTGGCCATGACAATAACCGGAAAGATGTTAGGTTTTGGCTCTGATACCATGTTAAAGTTCCAACATAAAACCAATTGGCAATATGTGGAGTAGCCTAACATGTATTTAAACCATACCAAATGACATGAGGTAGGCGATGTGAGACTTTCAACACATGTACTCTTGGTTTCAGGAGAATAATATCGATATTCTTTTTGAAGATGAGAATATCCCAAGAAGACACATTTGATGGCTCTAGCTGATAGTTTATCTAAACCTGGAGACCTATCATGAACAAAACATACGCAACCAAATTCACGAGGAGAAATATGAAAGAGTGGCTCCTTTGGCAATAGAATAGAATGTGGAACTTTATTCTCAAGAGAAAAAGATGACATTTTGTTAATGAGAAAACATGCAGTAAGAATAACATCTCTCCAATGATGAACAGACATGTTTGTACCAAGTAATAAGGTACGAGCCGTTTCAACCAAATGTCTATTTTTTCGTTCTACTATACCATTTTGCTGTGGTGTGTGAGGACAAGTAGACTAGTGTAAAATCCCTTAGGAACTTAAGAAAGTGGAGAAATCAGTAGAAAAGTATTCTTTGGCATTATCACTTCGTAAAACTTTGATTACTTTTCCAAATTGATTTTTGATTTCATTAAGGAAATACTTAAAGATAGGTAATAATTCAGAACGGTCTTTCATTAGATAAATCCAAGTACACCTAGAAAACTCATCAATGAGGTAACAAAATATCTATAGCCTAAGGATGAGACACGACTAGGACCCCAAATATTAGAATGAACAAGAGAAAAGACAGAATCACATCTAGATTTAGAACATTTAGGAAAAGAGGACCTAGTATATTTCCCTAGTTGACATGATTCACATTCAAAATCTTGAAGAGTCTGAAGTTCAAGAACCATTTTTTTTAATCTTGACAAGTGAGGGTGTCCTAAACGTTCGTCTAATAGTTTTAGAGATAAGGATGCAACACATGATACAAATGATTTAGTCCTAAGGTAGTATAAACCTCTAGATTCATATCCTTCACCAATCTGTCGACCCGTACCACGTTCCTGTATAACAAAAGAGTTGGCATTAAAGGTTATTGAACAATTTAATAATTTGGTTAATTGACTTAGGGAAATGAGACTGAAGGGACATGAAGGAACAAAAAGAACAAATTTTAAGTTTAAAGACAGAGAAATGGAGATTTGACCAATTCCTTTAGAGACTACTTTAGATCCGTTGGCTAAGGTTATGAGATGAGGAGTTTTAGAAAATGAGAGAGAAGAGAACAAAGAGATATTACCAGATATGTTATCAGAAGCACCTGAGTCAATAATCCATGGATTTTGACTTTCCACATATTGTGAAATGCAAGCTATTGATGAATTTGGGGTTGTTGATGACTGTGCTAGACTACTAGATTTCAACCTCAAATATTCTTGATATTCTTCGTGAAAGAACTTGGGTTCAACCATTTCAGATTTGGAAATATTGACAGTCTTGTCAGGAAAATCGTGCAAAGAGTAGCAATTTTCCAGGGTATGACCCATTCTCATGCAATGAGTGCATTGAGGATGTTCTCTACCTCCACGTCCTTCTCTAGTGCTGCGACTTCCTCTTTCACGAGTAGAAATTATAGAGAAGATTTAACAAGTTCTTGATTATTTTTTCCTTTGAGAGTTGGAACACGAAACAATCTTGTAGTCAAAATTTTCATAGAAGAAACTTCTTATCTATTTAAAATTTGATCTCTAACATGATCAAATTCTGAATTCATAGCCCGAAGAGTCATAACCATATAGAATTTATCCAACTTTTGTTTTATCTCCTCTAACGAATCTACCTCTAGGAACATCTTTAATTATTCAACTGCTGGTTGAGCTTCAACAATAAAGGTCATCATATCTTTATCCACTTGCTTGAGAGAGGTTAATCGATTAGCGGAATCATAGAGGCGTTGGATATAATTTGCAAAGATATTTTGAGCCTTTTTCCAGAAAGAGTTACATGTTTTGAAGGATCTGAGAGTGTTCAAAATATCTGGTTTTACTAATTGCCACAATATAACACAATTGATAATCAAGCTTTTTCCATTGTTGAGCCTGATCCTTTGGTATCTTACTTCCGTCTTCTTCTAGATGATCGTGAAACCCTTGTCCAAGGAACCAAAGTTCCACTGAAAATGACCAAGACATGTAATTTTTTTCATTTAATTTCTTAGTTATTATAGTGAGAGTTTCGGAAAAGGAGGTTGTAGGTCTTGACGACATGTTTTAAATAATGTAGATGTAAGATACAATGGAACATGTAAGAAAATTGTGCAATTTAGAAAACTGACGAATGGCAGCAGGGGACAGCTGTAGCGGAAAGTCGTCGGATGACAACAAAAAAGTGACCGGACGAGAGCCAGAAGATGGCCGGAAAGGCAGAGCAAGACCAACCTGCTCTGATACCAAGTTAAGAGAATAAAGAGAGTTAAAAGAAGATTTACAATTCAGTAGGATGCATCACTCCACTCTATGATCTCATATATATATATATATATATATATATATATATATATATATATATAGGATTACAGCATTTAAAAAACAACCACTAACCACTACCTGTAATAATTTTAAGGGATTGTATATAGGAATTTGCATTACAACAAACAGAAAAGCTCTGCTACTAAATTTGCATTACCTGTAAAATGTAAATCCAGTAAAATTATATTTTTTCTGCCGTTTTGTCTTTGACTTGTTAAATTTATTTATGCATCAGATGGCATCAACAGTTTTTACCAAGTTGCTTTAATCACATTATATTCATAAAATTTGTCTTTTAAGGTGATTGTGAATTATTGTTCAGTAGATGGCATATCTAAATTAAATTTGAGGGGGGGTGGAGGGGTGTGGGTAGCCAAATTAAAGATGCATTTTTTTATCCACTTCTATTTGCAATATAATTAGTTGCAAGCGTAAATGATTTCTTAAAACAAAGTTTGAGAGCAGGTGCAATTAGTTGCTTTGCACTCATGCATTTACTTTACAGTTTGCTCTATTTTGCTACAGAGTATCAGGATTCACATGCTTTATTAATGATTATGAAGTTGTTGTCAGATTTTCTCATATATTTGGCGTAAAATAACTCTTGTTTAATTTCTATATATTCATTTTGTACCTTGTTGGTTTCTTTCAAATATTTGCAGCTACTGGAAGTTGTAGCAGAGAAATTTGATGCTGTAATAAGTACATTCACTCATTTGGACAAAGAGTTCTCTCAAATGAATCAAATAACCAAATCTCTCAAGTTTCTGGAAAGTATGGAAGGTGTTGTTCTGAGAAATGGCATTGGTTTGCAGGCAAAGCACTCGTGGTCCACTTTACATTCTCTTCTTCATTCTGAAAGAATTTCTTACCGTCAAAATGGGTATATCTGGTTAGGCGATCTACTTATTTCTGAAATTAATGGAGAAAGAGATGGGAATATATGGTCAAGTATCACATACTTCCAGCAGAAAGTTGCTCAAGCGGGAACTCAAGATTCTTTAAATACGTCAGATGTTCCTTTGCCCATTTTACTTATGTGTGGCCTTCTAAAGTCTAAATACAACTACATTAGATGGGGATTTTTGTTTGTCCTTGAAAGGCTTCTCATGAGATGCAAATTTTTGTTAGACGAGCATGAAATGCAACAATCAAGCAGCAGAGATCTGGGTCATGGGAAGAAAGATTGGCATCTTGAAAAAGCCAATGCAGTGATTGACATAATGAGTGGAGCCTTGTCTTTGGTGTTTCAGAAAAATGAGACAGATCGCATTAATATTCTGAAAGTAATTACTGCTTAACTCAAACATACTTTTTTGACAATATGCTCATTTGTAACATTAACTGTCTGTAAAAGTGTTGCAATCTACACTACAAAACAACAAAAGCCTTATCCTATCCCGCTAGGTGAAGTTGGTGGCATGGATCACTTGATACCATTAGTTTCTGTCAGAGAGTCTGGGTCTTTGGAAATATTAACTGAGATCCCTCTTAACAACTTAATCCAGTGGCCTTCTTGGTCTCTCTCTTTTATCACAAGACTATAAATACAATTACCCTCCTTGTTGGTGCGTCTTTTTCCAGTAGTAATCTCTGTATGTGTCTAACCAACCTTAACCATTTTTTAATAATCTTCTCCTCAATTAATGTCACATAAATATCTCAATTATATACAATCATTTTGTATTGTGTCCTTTTAGTCAACATGCATCCTTCTTTGTCGTTTATGCTAAGCCCCCTCCCCCCCAAACACACACCCACACACACTCACACACACATTTTATCTTATTGCTCCGTTGTATGACTAACATCCACTACCATAGAGTATAATTAGATGTTTAGCAGTATGATTAAACTTCTCATTGAGATTTATAGATACTGTGATCACAATTCATAAATAATCCCCAATATCTTTTTTCTTTTAATATCTTGTGTACAACATCAACATTAATTGCAATTGGATTTATCTTATCATAGAAAGGTAAAAACAGAATGCTTTGCCAATTGGATTTATTTTGAGGAATTGTTTAGGAACTTTTGTTATCGTTTGTTTATCAGTAAACTGCTGATAGAGCGTGATTTTTGGTGATATGATCTAAAACGGTGTTAAGCATTTTATAATAAATTAAATTTCTACAATAACAGACAATTTTATACCTGAAAAATTGTAGATATTGTTACAGATTTATATTTAAGAATAATAGTTTTTTTAAAAAAGTTATGATTACTTGAAACAATTTTTGGAGAATTTCTATTTGGTTTAATTAGTGCTCAACACTTTTCTCTGTTTCTAAACAGATGTGTGACATACTATTCTCTCAATTGTGTCTAAGAGTTCCTCCAGCTGCTGCTATGCCCTTTGGAGATGATGTACACCGCGGCAGAAATTTAAATCGCAGTAATGTAAGCAAAAGGTCTGATAGTGATAATCATGTTGTCAAACAAGATACTTTCCACTGGGATGAACATAAAGAAGAGGCTAATAGGAGATCTGGCTACCATAATAACTACCACCTGGATCACGAGACTGCATCAATGGCAGCTCTTTTCCAAGGACGAGCCATTGTCCCAATGCAATTAATTGCACGTGTTCCTGCTGCCATACTATATTGGCCACTTATTCAATTGGCTGGAGCAGCAACAGATGATATTGCATTGGGTGTTGCTGTTGGAAGTAAAGGAAGAGGAAACCTGCCTGGTGCTACATCTGATATTCGAGCCACACTTCTTCTACTACTTATTGGTAAATGCACAGCAGATCCTGTTGCTTTCCAGGAGGTTGGTCAGGAACAATTCTTTAGGTGATTCCAAACTTCTTTGCTCATTGTGACTTAGTTGGCTTTCTTTACTACATTACCTTTATACATTAACATATAAAGCATGAAATTTCTTGCATCTTGCAGGGTACTTTTGGATGACACAGATTCAAGAGTGGCATATTATTCTTCTGCCTTTCTTCTGAAGGCATGGATTTTAATTGATTTTTGGTGTTGAAAATGTGTTATATCCATATATAATTATCATCTTTTGTAATAATTTCTTATTGCTGCAGCGCATGATGACCGAAAATCCAGAGAAATATCAACACATGCTTCAGAATCTTGTGGTTAAGGCTCAACAGGTACCTTAAGTTTTTTTAATGACGTGCTTCAAGTTCATATTATTAGTAAAGCTTCGATTCAATATTAATCTTGCATTTGATGAGCTTCATCTCCAAATTCTGTCATTTATATAATTCTCATGATTATATTAGTGAAACACAAAAAATGGTGACAATCTGGCTTTCAGAGACTATCCAGTTCCAGTGGAAAATTAAGCTATAAAAGACAAGATTTTAAGACAAGCAAAAAATTAAATTTATCTGGATAAAAGTTTTCAAAGAAATAGTTTGGTGGGAAAAAATAAAAATAAAGATACCAAAAATTAGTTAGGTGGGAAAAATTAAAAATAAAGATACCAAAATTTTCAAAACACATTGAAACTTTTAAAACAATGGATTATGGAAAGATACCAAAAAGATTGATACTTTTTACTGTAGTTGATACAAAATGTTCATTCTTTTGTGTCATATTTTTTACCTGTGTTTAATACGTTTACATGTAGGCACTAGTGTATTAAAATAAGATAATTAAAGAATAATGATTTTCCTACCTTTTTTGAGATTTAAAATTTTTAAAAATATTATCTTAAAGATTAAAACGAATACTTCAATTAAATTTGAGTATATATAACCTTATTAAATTTAAAATAATTAATTCATGGTGAATTCAATTTTTATTAGATAATGCAGCAAAATCAGCTTGATGAAAAGCTGAGATGAAAAGAAAAGGATTATTTTCACAATAATGAAGTTGGACTGCTGATTTGTTGTTCTGTTAAAAGTATAATGTTATGCATACAAGTCATTGACATATTTTTTAATGTTATTTTTTTTATTCATTGAATTCTTAGTGTTTGAGTCAAAGCTACCACAGTGTATGATGGTTCCACGAGTAACTTCCTTTTGTGATTTTCTTAATAATATTTATTATTACTTAAATCATTATGATTACATGTTGTGTTTGCAATGTAGAGTAACAATGAAAAACTGTTAGAGAATCCATATCTTCAAATGTGTGGCATACTTCAACTGGCAAATGATCTTGGGATTGACCTGTGATCTTCAAGGCATGACTTTCTGGGAGGCTATATTATATGGGGTAGGACATGTGCATTGGTTTGAGGAATTATCGCCTTTGATTCTGAGGAAAACTTCCATCATTGGATTGACTAAGATTGAAAAACATATCCAGGACATACTTAAGTTTGTATGTTTCATTCCTGCCACATAATTGCGATTGATTGTCAACATTGCAGAGTACAATTATATCCAGAGAAAGAGAACCAGCCAGCCAGTGGAATTGGGTGAACTCTTTACATTAATGATTACTTTGGGAAGTAATTGAGAGAACTAGGAAACAAACTATATGCCATCAATTTCTTTTGATCTCTTCAGTGATATCACTAGTTTGGAGAGCCATGTTGTATACTTGTGTCTGCCATCGTGCCTTCATCTTCTGCATGTATTTTTTCAACTACTGGGGGAAGCCAGAGTTCTGTTAAGGGATAATTTTGAATGTCCCTGATTTTGACTCAACTGCTGAAAATCTTGGCCTGCCACCAGGTTCGTACCCCTCTCCCTCTTTCTTTTGCTTTTTAGGAAAATTGACACCTACTTTATCTTGAGTCTAGATGATTAGTAATCTGGCCTAGATGTGAATAGACCAGCTAAACTCTGATATTCAAAATCTTGTTACGTGTTTTGACATTATCATTTTGTGTGCATGCAGTTGCTGGCGGGCTTCATTACTTTCCAACCAAAATGTGTGCAGAACTACATGTGATTGTTTCTCTTGTACAGGACTTAGATTCCCACCGAGCCTTCTTCAGTATTTTTTTTCATTCATGAAGGCTGCCTCTATGCTTGCTTTTTTTACTTGGCATACAGGACCTTTCATGGGAAAAACGAAGAACTCATTTTTGTGCGTTGTCAATATAATCACAGGTCAAACAAACTCCTTTGATAGAGGAGGGCCTCATGGGATGTCTACTTTTAGAGGCATCTAAGTTGCTCTCATTTTCTGTAAATATTTTGTTTTGATTTTTTTCCCTTTTATCCCACCTTTATTGCGAAAATTGTAACATGAATTGAGAAATTAATTTGTACTAATGTAGATTATCCATGCAGTATACAGTTTGTGATCTAACTGCCCCTCCCTCATAATCCTTCATGATTTTATATATTTACTATAGTTGCAATTAACATAAAGCTTTGGCCACATTGTAAACGTATGTTTAATTTCTTGGTAAGTATAATGACAGTCATTAAAATATTTACATAATTCTTGAAAAAATAACAATCCCCTCCACTACAGGTGACCATGAAAGATTGATTAAACTAATTTAGATAGCATGACTAACATTATATGAAGGCTGTTTTGCTAAATAAATGCTGCTGTGTGTTATTTTTTCTAATCAAATTTTCATTTTTTTTTAATAGTGATTGGCTAATAAAAAAAAAAAGGAATTTTGATTTCATCCGATTTCCAATGTCAACATAGTTTTTACGCAAACTATCCATCAATTTTTGCTTGACTTCAGACTGCAAAATTTTCGTCTGATGTAAACTGACCAATATTTTTGGACCGGGTTAGACTATGTGCATATTAGTTGGGGTGGTTTTAGATACAACGAGATATGGGTTTGTTAGCTTGTTATGAACAGAACCGCAGGCAGTCATACCACGCCGTTGATGTCGTCATGAGCAAACCTCTAAAGATTCATCAATCAGAGAATGTAGACAAAGGGACGCACGAATGTAGACATTCATCTCTCAGTTATACTTCTGTCACCATCAACTACTTCAGAGACGAAGGAACAAGTTTGAGCCATGGAGGCGAAGTAACAATATAATATACCATGCCAGTGAATTGTGGGGGAGAGGGGGATGGAGACTATTACAAGAAAAGTAGGAGATGATTAAGGGATGGGATTGAAGGTGGATCACACGTGCCACAATAAAGCAGTTGCTTCCTGCACCCCATGTCTTTTAAAAAGACAATAATACTCTCTAAGTTTTATTTGACTTTAAAGATCAGCTCCGTTTCCAGAAATCTTCAGGATTGCCCTTTCTGGAAGTCTTCTATGCTGCAAGGTTGATAGATAAGGGATTTGATGGAGACAAGAGCGTGGCGCTAAGCGTCTCCTTCCAGAATATGTATAACCATTATAGCATCCAGAACACCTTTCTGAATACCCACTACTTTACAGGTTTCTTGATACCCTATCCAGAGCCTGTTAGACTTTTTTGACTCTATTCGGATCGGCCACTCCAAAATACATTTTCGGATTAATTTTCTGAAATCTTTCAGATTGCCCTTTCCGAAAATCATCTGAAACCCCTATTCTGGAAAGTCTGTAAACTAATTGTGGATCGAAAATGAGGGTGACGATGACGACACGGTAGAGGAGGTGGAAAACATGAGGGTGCAGCACGGTAGGGGTGGAGGTGGAAAATGATACTTTGGTCTTTCACTTGGAAACATGGGGTGCAGGTGGAAAACATGGGATGCATGAAGGAAAAGCCCACAAGAAGGTAAAGAAAGGGACGTATGGAGGTATATGATGGAAGAGAATGGACATGTGAAGCTGGATGTGGAGGAGAAGGGAAATGAGAATCTAAATGAAAAAAAGAAAAGAGAAAAAAGAAAAAAAAAAAGAATATGGGCAACTTGAACAGTGGAGAAGGAGAAGGAACTTCTTAGAGATAGAGTGACAAATGGCTCTGATATCACGAATTTCCTCCAAATAAAAACTGAACGCAGCTTTCTCAGATTGTTTCCACTAAGCAGCAGCACTACCAGATTTCTCCGACTTGAGAGGTATTTTGTTCGTGAAAATAATTTCTTTTCATTTTCTACAAATAATTTATTTTCAGTATATTAAGATTTCAAACAATTTTTTTTTTAATTTACTTCTTATATACCTTTTCAAAAAATTTTTACAGAATTTAAATTTCTTATATACCGTCGACGTCATGTTTGAAGGAGATGATAGTTGGGCAGAAAACCCTTCATTTGAATTATGTGAAACTCTAATAATTGCTCGTGATAAAAAAATAGATAAATAAAAGTAGTTTTATTTTCAAATTTCGACCTGTTTTTTAAAACATTTTCTTCAATGAAAATGTTTATAATATTGAACCACGCGTATTTTCAACTTCATTTCTTGTTATCTTCCAAAAATAAAAACATAAAATGTTCAAAGTAGACATTCCCATAGGCTTAGATTGATTTTGGTATAACAGTATTAATTAACATTCCTCAATTTTTTTAGTTGCATACTTATTCCGGTCGGGGAATTGCAACTATTTTTTTCCATCAAACTGCACTCTAATAAAACCACACTTAAACCGAGTTTTTACCTTATCTTACTCGTAGCTGAAACCAACCTCTCGAAGCTCTTATTTAACATTGATTTATGCGAGTTGAGCGCCAGTCACAGGTTAATTGCATCAAGTAAATTTTAAGTCGATAAACCCTTCCAAGCCAAGAGTATGCAGTTAAGTAATCCAAATCCTTAAGCCCCGCAAGACATGCTGGTAGTTAAGCCTCCTTTCATCTTTCTAGGTTTCTTTCAGAAAGATAAAAAATATTGAGCTGCTTGCGACACGATAGAGGGACACATTATTGATCAAGTTATGGTTCAGGGGTGAAAAAAATTGAGGAAATCTATACTGATTCAAAGAAAGATGATACTAATTTGTCTGAATTCTATTTTCGTCAATCCAAACTGACCCACAACCAACTCTATGTCCATTAAATTTTGAAAAATATATGTCCAAATGGCTAACTTACATAGACAGCCAGGGTAAGATTTTGCAACAAAAACTAGAAATCAGAGCACCATACATATTTACTATCATGTTATATCCGATGCTTTTCCTGACCTATTTACTCAAAATACGTATGATTATCTCACTTTCCATTTTGTTTTTTCTGCTTAGCCTCTCGGTGATACCTCTCCAAGTCATCATCAAGATCTTTAGCAGTCACTTTTCTATTTTTGCTCTTTACTTTTGCGTGGCCTCTCGGATTGCGCTGAGACCTCTCCAAGGCATGATCAAGATCTCTAAAATATACCTTCCGAATATGGCCCTGTCCACGGCCCCTTGGAAGGTGGCCCTGTACAAAGTCATTGTGGAACCTCCTACCTCCAACCCTTCCTCCTTTGCTGCAAAAAACGTAGCACAGAACTTGCAATTAATAATAGTAACTGAGAAGTTACTCAAGAAAAGGGACATGGAGGATAAAATGGTGACCATATATAATCACAATTCCATGACATCGACATAGTAACATCTTAGGGCATGTGCTCTAAACTCCACATACTACCCCTTATTTATTAGAAATATTCATGTACTCAGAAAAACATAGCTATTAAAATTTCTAATTTTGCTCATGATCGAAAATGAACATAAGCTGTGGTTTCATGTAACAAGAGAGCAGCTGCAATGTTCAGACTAAATAATGAAGCAATATATATAACTGAGAAGTTCAAATGATCAAGAATCAGAATTTCACACCTTAAAAGCGCATCATTTGGCCTTCCCAGTAAGTTATTTTGACAAAGAGGAGCAACAGCAGGAGTACTAGTTCCAACGAGCTCAATTTGCAATGGTTTACCATCAAGCCTCATATTGTTGTATTTCTTGATGGCTGATAAAGCATCAGAGTGCCTTATGAACACAACTTCTGCTGTTCCCTTTGATCTCCCGTTGTTATCATAATGAATGGAGTATCTTTTCAATTCACCCTCATCCGAGAACAGTAGCTGAAAAATTCATATATGATTTTTCAATTCTTTACATTATTTGCAGACCAAAATACTTAGGGTATCTCTAGTAAAAAAATTTATAAGTTCTACAAAGACAGAAAAACTATATATATTTGATACAGGCCATTTGGGTACTATTTTGGGTGAGCTGTGATTTGGGTACATGTCATAGGTGTTCATATTGCAGTAATGCCTCATTGATGTACCACAAACAAGGAGGAAAACAATTTGAGACATGAACCAACTTCGAATTCATAAACCAGCAGAATGAAAGGATTGTCAGCAAAAATGTCAGTTAATTTAACAATAGAATAAGTAGTAACATTCTCTGCACCTCTCCACAGACGCAAAATTTCAGTAATATAGAGATTTGAGCATGCTACACACTTGAAGCTAGGCGCAAATTAAGGTACCAATAAGTACAAAAGTTGAAAAATTAGTACAAACAAATATAATAAGCACTGCTAAGAATCAAAATCAAAACGATAAAAATTATACGGTAAAATGTATTTAGGTCCTTCAATTTTCAGTCCAAATTAATCTTGGTTCAAATATTTTTAAGACAATGAGTTTGATTCTTACAAGACAATTTGGGAATTTCATCTCTCTTCGTAAGATATAATACACCAGGGTGAGGGATTAATCAATTACAAGAACTAAAAAAATACAAGTACATGCAGCACGACCAATTTTGACCCCTAATCCCTAAACCCTAAACCTAAACCATGTTCTACGAAAAATCATCTACAAGCATCACGAAAGGTACATGGAAAAATTATCACAACACATCTAAAGAAAATATTAACAAAGGAGGGAGAAAAAAGCACGAGAGTTTCTTGTGTTGTGTAGAAGACGATGACAATACCTTAATATCACCGTTTGAAACTCCATGATCCAAGTTTGATATAAAGAGTTTGGTGCCACTTTCGATCATAGCAGCACCGTCATCTTCAAAAACCATTTCCGGAATCATTCCGCGTTGCCTTGCCTAACAATCAAAACGCTGAGCGAACACTGACACTCTCTTTTTGTCGTCACAGTAATAACAAGGAAAACAGAAAACGAAAACCTAAATCACCTGCGGGACGGAATACGGCGTCGTTCTGGCCGGGTTGCGAACATACGTGAATCCCCGGCGAGACGCGGCCGCCGCCGCAGCGGAGCGCCTCATAATGTCGTCGAGAGACATGTCGATGCCGGAGGCCATTCTCATCGGAGTAAAAAGTGAGGGTTTAGAGTTTTGGGTTCAAAGGTAGTATCTGTACGAAGCGTGTTTTTGCTACTGTGTATTTGAACATGGTGCAGTGTGAGTGAGACTGAGAAGAAAAGAAGGATCCATATTCGGTGTATTCGCCATTCACCGCATTCATTTGTTCGGCAGTCTACAATCGTCAGATGATGATCTGACGGTTGATATTTTCTCGGTAAATCAACTTAAAACATACTTCATGATATCATCCGCAGATATTTCATCTAACGATTATTAATGCGTCAAGATATTTTCACTTCATTGACTCCGTTTCCGAGGAAGATTGTCTGTGGTGCGGTGATATTGTACACGTACTTGATCAAACTTCCATTGTTATTTGGACGCGTGTCAGTGTGTGAAACAAACAACAAAAAAATGGCCGTCCATCTATGTCTCATACTATCAACTCAAACCCTTCATTAAAAATTTGCAAATTATGCAAACAAAAGAGTAAAACTATTGCTTTGTTTTATCTTTTACAATATATTTTGTTTTTTAATATTTGTCATACTAAAATAATAAAAACAATAATTTAGTTCTATTGATAAAGAGAATCATCACATTCAATTCTTATAAATATCCAGTCTCATACTTTTTATTTCATTATAATTTTTAATTATTTTTACAAGTTTTTTCATAAATTTAGTAGACAAATAAAATTATTCATTTTTATAAAAATTAATCATTAATTTTGTAACTTTAACTCTTCAAATAAAGCTAAATATTTGAAAATTCCTTTATGTATATTATTTGTTAATGATAATTCTCCAAGAAATAATAAGACCTCTTATTTTGTGATGAAAATATTCAGCAAAAAAACACCTTAAAATTGTTTAGTATGTTTATTTAGAAATAGTCAAACTTTTAATTAGTTTTGAAAGGTTGTTTTTACCCTAAAATGTTTTAACTATGAACTATAAACCAGTTTTTTTTAAATAAGATAGATTTATAACAGTTATATATATATATATATATATATATATATATATATATATATATATATATATATCGTTCCAATTTTATTGATATGAATTTGAAGGAAAAAAATTGTAACTTTTATGTACTGTCGATATAAATATTTTTTTATTCTCAATCAATTAAAATATCTTCAAGATAATTATTAAACAAAATAATAAATATATCATGATCGTTTTATAATTCGACGATAGTGTGTCATTATTATAATAAAGAAATTTCGTACTCTCCCTTTTAAAATTAAATAATAAACCTTCTTAAAAATTTTATCCACAGATTATAATAATAACAGAGAAACACCTCATTTAATTTATATATTTTGGTAGATTATTTTACTTTTCCATATTTTTCTAAACTACCTTATTGTTTTCATTAAAAAATTCAGTTCAAATTAACGACATTAAAACTCAATAAAAGAAAAATCTTAAAAGTATAAAAATGTTAAAAAGAAAATATTTTTTCTACAAATAAAAAAGGGTTTACGTAGAAAAAAAATAAAGAAAGAAAATGACGTGATCCCAAAACCGCAAAAACATAACGAAAGGGAGGACATAAGAGCGAATTCGGATTCTGAAAATCCCCGCCCCCGAGTTGTTTCGTTTTCTTCTCCCCTTCTTTCCCCTTTCCTCTGCGTTTTCTTCGATACTCTTCATTTCTAGTGAGAGAAACGCATACGCACCATGGACCACGCCGTTAACTTTCGAGCCTCCACCACATCCACGGCGGCGGAGAATCGTGACCTTCTTCCGCTTCCTTCCAAAACTAGAGAGGAAGGCGAACTCTCTTCCGACAACGACGACGATGCCGACGTATTCTTCTTTATCAAACCCTACCTTTTTTTTTTAAGTTTCATTCTTCACCTAAGCTGTCTGTTCGTATGATACAATCGTTGACTTTCTTCTTCTTCTTCTTCTTCAGTCTCTGTTTGGTCTGTTTGTCTCTTAGTCACAGATTTTTGCTTAATTATTTATTGATTTTTTTTTATTGAATTTGGAACTCGGATATTTATCTCTGTTAGCTAGTGAATTTATCTAGGTTGCTGTAGATCTGAAGAGTTTCTGGAGAACACTACTCGGTTCTGTTTCTCTCCTATTTCCGAACTACGCTGAGTAGGGTTATGTGTTTATTTATCTGTTTGTGTTTTTATTTGGATAGCAGTAAATATCGAAAATGGAAGTGTGCCAAAATTTGATTGCACGAGTTGCTCTTAACTTCTTGCGAATTTAAATTTATTATTTCTTTGTTTACTTTTTTAAGTGTTATGGTAGCTTCTTTGTTAATGAGTTATTTGTGTGTATCAGGATAACCATGAAAGCTCTACTGTGCCATCCACCCCTGCTGTTGGGACTGGTTCTGTTCCGTTGGTGCAAAAGAGTACCCTTGGTGTTCAGGGTGGTGAGTGCTGCAAATTTTCTATTAAAGCAAAAGATGAGTGAGTTATCAGCCTTGTGGTGTGCATTATCTGAATAGTTGATACCAATCTCTTCTACTTAGAGCATCACCCTTCTCTTTTTGCATCATCTTGAACTCGCCGTGGGTATATAACTTGTGCGGGCTTACTGGTCTGGTTTATGGATTTGAAAACTTTATCTGAACTGTTTCGAGATATGGGAATGGGTTTATCTGATTATGCATGTCTCTATGATTGCTTATATGATCTTTAGTTTTACAAGTTGCCTAAGAGCTTTTTAATGTATTTTCTTTGTAACCTTATTGGTTCTTTTTTTGTGCATCAAGGATATTTACTCTTTGTTTACTGTGCACGACATCTTCCAAAAATCATTTAGTTGCTCATACAATATCTAGAGGGTAAATTTTTATGGCAATCATTTAGTGCACGACATCTTTGTTTACTGTGCACGACAGGTTCCAGTAATGTACAGTTGCAAACTACCAGACAACCAACTACTCAGAAGGACTTGAAAAAGAACCTATTACCTCCTAAATCTTCTTCATGGATTGGTCATGTCGGCACTGATAAAAATCTTGTAATAAGCTTCTCTGATGATGACAGTGGTAGTGAACATGAAACTAAAGGTAATCTATCTAGGTTAGATAGCAGTGTAAAGATGACTAACTCATCCTTGGAAAAATCTAACAAGTTAAAGCAAGCAAGTTTACCCAAGGAAGTGCCCAAGAGATCATCCTTAAGTCGCACATTTGTCTCATCAATGACCAGAGTCCCTGGTTCTAATTCTAAGGGTGTTGTATCCATGCCACCAGTACAGGGATCAAGAGCTAGAAATTTCAATACAATGAAAAAAACTTTGACAATCCAAGAGCGTGGACGGGATCAAGGATTGGTGTCAAATGACAATAAACTTCAGGATTTGCGGCATCAGATTGCACTTCGGGAAAGTGAACTCAAGCTAAAGGCAGCCCAGCAAAATAAGGAGAGTGTTTCAGTTTTGGGTAGGGACAACAGTGTCATGAACCCAATGAACTTGGTGTCAATTGCTAGGAAAAATACTCCAGTTTCCTCGGGACCTGCACATTTAGAGCCAACAGAGCCAGATAGGAAGCGCTTGAAAATTAGCACATCTAATGGTATCTGTCAAGCTGTTGATAGTCAGCAAGAAGTTCCTGCTGTTAAATCATCTTTGCCACCGAAAGACTCTACATTAGAAAACTATTATCCTCAGGAGAGAAACAAGGTTGATTGTGGCCAAAAAGAGATTCCATTATGTAGAACAGAGCCAAAAACTGTCATATCACAAAGGCAACCTGACAATCATCTTGACAACCCATTAGAAAATATGCCTCGTAGATCAAGAGATGGTAAGTACTTTTTCTTTATACCACCTGTATGTTAAACAAATCTGGTCTGCAAATTGGCTAATGAACTTTGTTGTACTATTCTGGATTTTAGAAATTGATGAAAGGTTTTAATTAACTACTTGCACTCTACATCAGAATCCTTAAATCCCTAAAATTAAGAAATGCTTCCTGATTTTGTTTTTATCTTTTCAACAACAATTATGATGCAGCATTTTCATTATCATATCTCCAGATTCACAAGTTTAATCAAAGAAGCTTCCAAGTGCCATTGCAAATTTGATATTAAGCAATATTTAGTCAAATTATAAAATCATAGTGTCCATGCTATGTGAATGTGCAAAATATTACTGTGTAATCCTACTTGACTTGGCTTTTGATTTCAATGACTTGGTAAGTATAACAAAGCCAATAACTTGATGGCAACCTAGTTCAAACACCAGCCAGTCAAGCTTGTTTAAATTATTTTCTGTTTATAATCTCTAATGGTCTAATTATACTGTGTAGGTGATGTCAATTATGATTGCAATCAACCTGAGAAGAGTTGTAGGCTGGTGAATCCTGGTGTTGCTTTGAACCAAAATGCAGCGCTGGCAAATATGAGTTCCAATACTGTGTCTAAAAATTTTGTGAGTTGTAGTTTATTTTACGTTGCATTTGCCTTTTCTATTTGGTGACTTCACTGAAAACTCCATCGTTTGATCTGTTGTAATAGACTGACTCTCTGCTTTTGATTTACAAGTGAAGTATAGACATTTTGAGCTTGTAATTGTGCCTCTTTTCATTGTTTGTTCTTAAAACAGTGTAGGTCCCAGTAGGTCATAAGATCAGCCAAGTTAAACTTTTGATAACATGAAAGACAGTTTTTCTACTATAATTTTTAATTTCTTGATATCATACTTCTGTTGTATTTAACACTGCAGAATAGTGTAGGGTTTCTTTATCCATCAAGTTCCTCCCTGACTAAATTTCTGGTATTGAACATTGAGAAAGAGGCCTATATCATCTTCTTCATCTTGTTTGACTCTCTCCTCTCCTCTATCATGTAGGAAGCATTAAACAATGCAGTTCTTTTGAATCATAATGACACTGTAAATGCCTCAGAGCATACCAATGCAGATTTACAATCATATTTTGGTATGGAAGAATTAATAGACAAGGAACTAGAGGAAGCTCAAGAGCATCGGCACAAATGTGAAGTTGAAGAACGAAATGCTCTTAAAGTTTATCTTAAAGCTCAGCGGTCTTTGCTTGAGGCCAATGCCCGATGCACCAAACTTTATCATAAAAGGGAATTGTATTCAGCTAAGTTACGATCTTTAATTTTGAACAGTTCTGGGTTCTCTTGGCCTTCAGGGCAGCACCAACATCCCGGTATAGAGTTGGATTACTTACCTAGACTTGGATATGAGCTTCCCACATCAAGCTGTCAGAGGCAGGCTGAGTATAATGATATTAATAATCCCAGTTTTAATTCTAATAATCGAGGGATCAATAATAGGCATTCCAATACATCCAATCACCAAGTGGCTGGAGCAAATTTAGGGTCTGAACCTTGTGGTGAACCAGATGCCAGTACATCAGAGCCATTGCCACAAAGGGATACTTATGCTGCAGATGAAGTTTACTCTCCTTCGGATGAATTAGGTACATCAGCTAATGAAAATGAAGAGAGCTCTCCATCTGGACATGTTTCTAATCATCATGATGCTGACTATCTTAGAAAACAAGACTCTGTTTCTAAATTAGTGGACAGAGATATAATATCTAATGCAAATTTTTCAAATCATAACCCCCAGGACACTTTGCTGCTTGAGGAAAAATTAAGATCTGAATTATTTGCACGATTCATGACAAGATCTAAGAAGAGAAGTAATTCGTGTAATGATGTAGAGCCTGCTGCTGAACGTGGGGCTGAAAATGAGGTTGGAAATGAGAAAACCCAGGTGCATCAAAATATGGCTCTTCCACACTCTAGGCAGGAAGGTAATTATTGTAAAGGTTTTACTTTTTCTTATATAGATACAACTGTTAAGTCTGTGTTGCTGATCATGAATTCTAAGTTTTTGTAATAATATGTAAACTGTTTATTTCATATTTTATTATATATGCCCCTCTTGCCTGCAGTCACTTCTCTATATCTTTGTCAATATATATATATATATATATATATATATATATATATATATATATATAATTTTTCTTAACATGAATATCTGTGGTGCCAACTATTTGGATTATTAAAATTTTATCAACTGTTAATGCCAAAAGAAAAACATAAATCTTAGTTTGTATACTTGTGTAGTCAATATAAAATTTTCTCTGTTATAATAAGTTATATATGAATGCTGTTTTTGGTGCATATATTTTACTATAATTTATGTCTTTTGTTAGTTATTTCTAATGGATGTGCTTAGAGTATTAATTATGTATTCTATGATAAGGTTTTCATATCAGTCAATGTTGCGTTTGAGTACAATTTGTTTCCTTCATTGAATCCACGTCATCTTTTCAGTGGTGCATAGAAATTGTTTGTAGGTGCCTGTTGTGGACAAATATATTGTCACTAGCTGGTTGCTCAGTTTTATTATGGTACTCCAAATGCATAGGCAATGATTGATTGGATGAATTTAAGTGTGCTCATCAAGTTTTTGAAATGTTTTGCTAATCAAATAAATATAGGCAACAAACTTCATATTCTCCAAATAGGGGCCTGCTGAAAAAAATTGATAAAGGGATTCTCAAATATTGAAGTTGCATATTTTTTGGGCAAAGATGTAGAAGTACTATGCAGTCAATTTCAGTGTAGCTAGCTATTTACATGTTTTGGTATTGACCAATTATGTAGATTTCAGTTCAATTGCTTTTGATCCATAACTGTGAGGAATAACAACATACTAGTTCTACCTTTTTTGACAGGCCGTTTTAGTTCTACTGAATCAAGTTTTTCTATGAACTTACATGTTTATCACTTGTACTATTGAATATTTTGTTCAATAACTCTAGGCATTGAGAGTCATGAAAGGAGCATTTTTGTGGATGTGAGCGAGAATCAAAGTCAGCAAAACACTGGTGGAAATTCTTTGATTGTGAACCACAGCATTGGTTCAAGAGTTCAAGGAGATATGCCTTGTGAAGGTCGCCTGTCTACAAATACAGTGGACATCCCACCTTTGATTTTTAGGAGTGCATTCAGTGAGCTGAGAAGCATATTTTCATTCAATTCAAATCACTTACAGAGTAAAAATATGTTTATTCATGCTAATGATGGCCGAAATGAAAAGGCTACTTACCTCAGTTCTGATGGAAGAAAGTGTAGCAATGTGTTTGCAATATCAATGCCTGTCACTATTGGAAATTTACTCTCAGATGACAGCTCTTATGGCTACAGTTCTGCAGTTGATCCATTTTGGCCACTTTGCATGTATGAGCTGCGAGGAAAATGCAACAACGACGAGTGTCCCTGGCAACATGCTAAGGACTATGGTGATGAAAACATTCAGCACACTGATTCTAATAATGCAGGTAAAATAAATAGTTATTGTTTGAAACCTATTTGTCTTGTCTTCATCCTTGTCTTGTGAGAGAACCCTATGAAATTTTCCACGTGGTATTCCTCTAGTAATCTTTGGGTGCTTTCCAAAGCCGAAATTTTGCGCATAAGTTTGAAGTAGGTAAATGAACAACAATACTATGTAAAACAGTGTGCATCTGCCATAAAGCTTATATCTAGTGTGAACCATGTGTTTGGGGTTATAATAACTCAATTATTAGAGCATTTAAATCTGGGGCTGCATCACAAATACTGATGATTTTAGTGGGAAGTTATATTAAGTCATTTTTCCATTCGATCTAGCATAGATTAGGAAATTTAATTAATCTTCTCATTTTTAAGTTGCCTATTACTTTTTACTTTGATATTTCATACACTACATTTGAGAAAGTAGTAATTAATGTCAGCGTGGATTTTAAAATGAAACATTGGCATAATTTTCTTTAAAAAATGACTTAAGAAAGAAAAAATGTCCTGAAATATCCAAGGGAAATGACATAAAAATGACAAAAAGAAGAAAAGCTTTTGAGTCTCTAAAATAACTAAGAAATGTTATTTATACAACAAAATATACAGCGCAATCATAGAAATGAGAGAGACAAAAGAGAAGTATGAAATGTGATGGAGAGATGAAGTGAAAAAATGTTGTACATAAACTGTTTTATGAATAACACATCTCATTATCCTATGCATTTACTAACTTACACTCTGATGTCACTGTTTTATAGCCATTTAATATGTTCCATAAACAAATCCTCGTAATTCAGATTTCAGATTAAGCTACTAAAATTTTTCATTGAAGCATGAAAATGCTTTCTTTATTCTTCACCCAAAGTGAAGCACAATGTTGGGAAATCTAGAAATATGTAGTGTATTGATTTGACAATTAACTAATGCTGTAACTTCATCTATTACTATTAGCCATGAGGAGATGTGAAATTAATAAATGGAATTTATTTACAAATTATGAAGTATTTATTTCACTAGCAGCCACTTTGAATAGTTTCTGATATGTTGTTTAGATTAATTCTCTGAAGACTTACTGACTATTTTGGTAGGTTGTCAAGGCAGATTACGATTGCATCAACAGAACTGTAATGGTGTTGCAAAAGTTCCCAAGTATCACAAAGCTACGATTCTACCAACTTACCTTGTTAGTTTAGATACTCTGAAAGCAGATCAATTTGCATATAAACCTTTTGTGGCACATAGATATGCTCAATGGTCGCAAAAACATTTCACCCTTACTTTAGCTACTTCAAATCTGCTTGGAAATGTTTTACCTGCCGGCGGTCCATTGTTACATGGTGGCACTGAACGCATAGAGGTCCATGGGGCATGCAATAAACAATTGTCTTCTTTTCATTGGAGAAGTGGAGCTGGGGTTTGTTGCTTTTAACCATTTTTTTTTCTTTTTTGTTATTACACTTCTATCGGTTTTCTATTATTATCTCTTTAATTATGTTTCAGTCTAAGACTTCAAGGTTATCAATCAGATGCAGAAGTGAGCAAAAATGGGTCAACTGTAATTATATTTTGATTTTTTTTGTTTTTATTTTGGTTTTGTAGAATCATTTTAGGTGTTTATTTAGTTATAAGATTGGTTCATTGAGAACACTTAGAAAAATGCATACATGCCTAGAAGTTTCATTGTCCCTATTGAGGGACCTAATTGTAAAACAAGATAAAAAAATTAATTTTCTATTCTATTCCAATAACACTTCCTTTTGTTCTAGTAAATTCTAAGTTTCTATCCTGTAGATTCTAGGTTACATGGGTGAAAATTTTCAGTCCTTTCTTATCCCTTTAGTGCATCTGTCCAATGTTTTATTTCCATTCTTATATTTTGTGTATTTGAGGATGTCGGTGCATTTACATATATTGTAATATGTTGATTGTTTGTGTAGCTTGATAAACTAACCAAAGAGTTTCTAGTCATGATTATAGTTCTTGGAGATTGATAAACTTGGAGTAGAAGAGTAGTTGTTTTGTATAAGGAAAATTCCCCCATTCAATTTTATTGAGAATTTCCTATTTCAATTATTGGCTATGATGTGTATTTAACGATTTCCCTGATCAACACATTGATTAATCTGGTTTTGATACCTTAGCTCAAATTTATTGCTTCCTTGTATAGCTTTATTAGTACTAACTTTCTATATATTGATTACACACTTAAAATCAAATTAAGCAGGCTATGGCTGATAGCGAACAAGCCGTAGAGATGGCTCTTCTTATTCTCAACCATGAAATTGATAAAGTGCAAGGTGTAAGGAAGGTAACAGTTATATTTGGACTGTGATGATGGTTCGTGTTATAATTTGTTCATGGAATTCCATCTCAGTATTTGGGTTTTTCAGGCCCTATCTGTACTGTCAAAAGCACTGGAAAATGATCCTTCATCTGTGATTCTCTGGATTGTCTATCTACTCATTTACTATGGAAATTTGAAGCCAAATGATAAGGATGACATGTTCTTGTGTGCGGTATGTTTTTCTTTGCTTCCTAATTTTCCGTAGAGTGAGGCACGGAGAGTATCTCTTTCTTCTGAAAGGAAAATGGAGAGTTTTTGAGAATATATTTACTATATAGATGGTAAACTCAGGAAATCTACTGATAGTCTTCTTCATTTATATCCTGATTCCTGATAGGTCTAGTGGTTTGGTTTTTGTGATAACTAATGGTGCCTTTCTGATTTGCTTCTATTTCCACATAGAAGTAAAAATACAAATCCAAATACATGGTCTTCATCATTTTACATATCATAAGAGAACTTTAGTTATACACCTGAATATATTGGCCCATCATTTTAAAATATTGTTAGTACCTATATCATTTTATAAAATGATAGTTATTGGCAAGTATATTCTGGTAGTGATGGGTGAATGGTTGAATTAAAAATCATTTTAAGACATAGTTTTGTTGGGAATGTGGACTATGTTTGTGTGTGTGTGTTCCAGTTTTGGCCTTTTTTTCATGTAGATAAGAAAGACTTTTAATGCAGTGCTTGTTGCTATCTTTTGTTTGAGAAGAATGAGCCTTTTGTTATCTTTCTTGGTCTCTACTACAATTTTTTTTAACTTTTGGTTAGCATGTTAATTCTTCCTTTTGAGAACTGAATGTCTGCTGTGAAAAACACTCAACTCTTGTTTTCCAGGTTAAGCTCTGTGAAGAATCTTATGTACTGTGGCTCATGTACATCAATAGTCAGAGAAAGCTTGATGACCGATTGGTTGCCTATGATACTGCCCTTTCAGTTCTCTGTCAGCATGTATCTGAAACTTCCAAGGACATAATACACGAAAGTGCATGCATATTAGACCTGTTTCTGCAGATGATGCATTGCTTATACATTTCAGGGAATGTTGAGAAGGCCATTGAAAGAAGTTATGGAATATTCCCTACTTCAACAAAATCCAATAAGCCTCATCATCTGTCACTCTCAGATATACTCAATTGCTTAACAGTTTCTGACAAATGTGTATTCTGGGTTTGTTGTATTTACTTAGTTATTTACAGGAGATTGCCTGATGCTGTAGTTCAGAAGTTTGAGTCTGAGAAAAATCTCCTTGATATTGAATGGCCCTTTGTCAATTTATCTGAAGATGACAAGGAGATGGCAATTAAACTTGTGGAAACAGCTGTTGAATCTATTGATTCTTTTGTCTATAATGAATCTGGAAAAAGTGAAGTTAATCTCAGGTCTGCTCAACTTTTTGCTCTCAATCATCTGAGATGCATGGCTGCTCTTGATAGCAGAGATTGTTTAAGAGAGTTACTGGATAAATACATTAAGCTGTATCCTTCCTGCTTAGAATTGGTCCTGGTATCAGCTCGAATACAAAAACAGGATAGTAATGTTGATAGTTTCATGGGATTTGAGGAAGCCATTAACAGATGGCCAAAAGAAGTTCCTGGTCTCCAGTGCATCTGGAATCAGTATATTGAAAATGCCCTCCACAATCAAAGAATTGATCTTGCAAAAGAAATTACAGTCCGATGGTTCCAATCTATTTGGCGAGTACAAGATCTCCCTAATGGAGGGATGAAGATCACCAATGATGGTAATTCTTGTGGATCATTGGGAATAGATTCAGAATTTGTTTCAGACAGATCCATTGCTTATCATAAACAGATAGATACAATGTTTGAATTCCTTAATCTGTCTCTCTATAATTTTTTCCAGAATGATATGACAGCAGCATGCATAGCTTTTGAAAAGGCCAAAAGTGCTACTAGTTTTGGAGGTTTAGAGCAATGCATGAGAAAATATGTGATGTTTCTGGTTTATGATGCGTCGAGCTTGAAGGAGGATGGTCCTGATGGCACCATTAAGAAGATATTGGAGTTATATACAGATGGTTCCTTTCAGGCATTGCTAGTCCCCAAGGTGTTGACAAGAAAATTTGTTGACAGCATCAAGAAGCCAAGACTACAGCATCTTATTGGTAACATAGTAAGTCCAGTTCCATTCGACTGTTCTCTACTAAATTTGATACTTCAATCATGGTTTGGTTCATCTCTTTTACCCCAAACTATTAGTGATCCTAAACATTTGGTGGATTTTGTTGAAGCTATTATGGAGGCCGTTCCCCACAACTTCCAATTAGCTATTACTGTGTGCAAGCTATTGATCAAGCAATACAATTCTTCTGACTCAAACCCAACCAGTCTATTGTTTTGGGCTTGTTCAACCCTGGTAAATGCAATTTTAGATTCCATTCCAATTCCACCAGAATACGTCTGGGTGGAAGCTGCAGAGCTTTTGCACAGTGCTATGGGCATTGAGGCAATATTTGACAGGTTTTATAGAAGGGCTCTATCAGTGTATCCATTTTCTATCATGTTGTGGAAATACTTCTATAAGCTATATATGATCAGTGGAGATGCAAAAGATGCTGTTGATGCAGCAAAAGAAAGGGGTATTGAACTCGATTAACTAAAGATTTAGGAACTGAATGAATGTTAAGTCGGAACATAATTGCTGAGGGGAAATTAGATGCCAGTTTTGCTTTATTTTATCACAAGGCCTCAAAATGCAGATTATTCTTTCAATAACAGAATATTTCTACCTATCGGAAGCAGCACTGATGACGAAGAAATTTCAGGAGTTTGAGGTTAAACCTATTGGCAATGTCCGGGGAAGGTAAACAGGTATGCGTACACTGGCACTACTGTCCGGCGACTTCACAGAAGCAGGCAAATTAGATTGTATATAGGTAGTAAATCTTCTCTGCTTTTGCCGTCTCCCTCTTTGTTTTCCCCCTCCCCCCATTTCACGTAACTAATGTTAGCCTACTTCACTGTTGCATGCCTTCTCCTTTCTCTATCCTCCACCAAACAGCCAATCCTACACAAAAAAGATAAACAAATTTGCATCAACACACTTGAAAGGCCATTCCACCCCCAGGGAAATGTTAGTAACTTACTCGTAGACACTTTTTTTAGCATTTTATTTTTATTCGGTGAAATCTCGTGTTGGCAACACTAAATACCCGAACCTAATCCCTATCTAGTTATGACCAACATGAGATTTTAACCGATAGTGTTGAAAAGAGTGTCAAAGTTGAGTTACTAGCATTTTTCTTCCACATTATTATGCTGGATGGTGGTACCATTTTGGATATTTCAATTTTGTAGACTGATACTTTTTTGTTTTGAAAGATTGTAGATTGTTACCTGACAGAAGGAATGAAAGAAAATATTACCTACGGTCTTGTGCGTGGTGTTATTTTTCTATTCATTATATCCCGTTTTGTGAGGCTGAGAGTTATTGTATTTAACCTATTCAAGTTATACATCGGATAGCATAATATCATGTCATTCCTGTAAAATAAATAAAATAAAAACCATATACAGATTACTATGTATTATAAACTATAATTAAATACATATAATTTCCCTTACAAAGGGTATTAGAACATATTTCCTGAAAACAAATATAATGAAATGGGCAAATCTCTAATATTGTCAAGAAGATTGTTTTATATGCATTTACATCTGTGTTTGATCACTTGGTAATATATAATTATTACAATTTTTAAATCAAACACACAAGAAATGATAAACTAATTATATATAAATAATTTATATTTTAATGTATCAATTTGTTTTACTAATGTATATTAATTATTATATTTCCAATTGAATTAAAACACTTTTTTGTCTCATCAAAAACATTTTTCTTGTCTCATCGAAAGATCAAAGAAATCAAACAAAACGACTCGGCAGCTTCTTGAAGGCATTATTGAACATTTTTATTTGAGACTAAACTTGACTTATCATCGTCAAAATCAAAGTATTTTTAACATTGTATAAGTTAATTATGATTATATAATTATTTTTATTTACATCTTCTAAAAAGATTTATGAAAGAAGTTATCCTATCAAACTATATAACGTTAAAGGGATTAAATTATATTTAGTTCTCTTGAAGGTAAATTCTAACATGATTCCCAATTAATAATAAGTGAATTTGTCTATCAAAAGAGTCTTTTAAATACACTTGCTATGCACTCTTTCTATGACATCAATTTTTATATTTGAAATTACACTCTTTCTATGACATCAATTTTTATATTTGAAATTACACTCTTTTAACACACGTTTATTTTGAATGTTGAATAAAATTTAGAAACTTTGGAGTTGTCAAATCCAAAATATCTGATTTTGAAAAATTAAGGGCCCAACCGGGTTCGAACCGGTGACCTCTTGATCTGCAGTCAAATGCTCTACCACTGAGCTATGGACCCAATTTGATGTTAATATTCATTAAGAAAATAATTGTTATATAATATTCAATACTAGTTTATCACAAACCATGTATAAGTAGCTAGTGTATAACAATTTTTCAAGATCATGTTTGTATCTGGTATTTATTTTTAACAGATAAAAACAAATGAATTTTAACAAATACTACTATTTATTAAAAAATTATGTCAAATTTAAATATTACTTGTCATGTGCTTATATCAGAGAGAAAGAGCTGTCATGGTTCGAATAAGTAAATTTATAGTATTTCTGTAATACTCTTATTTTTTATTTTATATCATAAAATAAAACTCTAATCAGTCCGAATTAAGAATGTTTCTTTAATCTTGAAGTTATATATATATAATTAAAATAAACAAATAAATAAAATCAAAATGTCATTTCTAGTAACACAATAATTAACTAATCAATATATGGTGGTGTTGGATGGGATATTTAAAATGTCTCTAAACATTATAACTTGGCTGAAAAGTAACTAAGGAGAAAGAGAAAAATGATTAATTTTTATTTATAAAAAAATAATTTTTTTAAAGTCTTTATGAAAAAAAAATATTTAAAATTTAGTATTTCGTAGATTTTTTAACTACTTATTAATTTTTTTTTTTAGTTTTAAAATCCGATTTTTAAAATAAAAAATTATGTTTATGTTTCAAATGAAACAGCGAAACGATATTCCCTCTCACGGTAATTTAGTTATAACCGCGAGAATTGAAATCACATGGTTGCGCGAGATGAAGCCAGAGAACCTTTTGCTATTGCGCCACCGCAGCGAGAAGTGCACCGTGGGTTGTCCCGTACTGGATCGCTGCCTCGGCGGCGGCGTCCCCTGCCACTCTATCACGGAGTTCGTCGGCGAGAGCGGCTCCGGCAAGACGCAGCTCTGCCTCCAACTCGCCCTCTCCGCCCAACTACCCTCTTCCCGCGGCGGCCTCTCCGCCTCCTCCATCTTTATCCACACTGAGTTCCCTTTCCCCTTCCGCCGTCTCCGTCATCTCTCACGCGCCTTCCGCGCGTCGCACCCCGACCTCCCCGACCCCTGCGACCGCGTTTTCGTACGCGCCGTCCACACTGCTGACGAGCTTCTCCACTTAATTCCAACCATCGAGACGTTCCTCTTGCACTCTCGATCTCGGTGGCGGCCAGTGCGAATCATCGTCATCGATTCCATCGCGGCTCTGTTCCGCTCCGATTTCGAGAACACGGGATCAGACCTCCGACGCAGGTCTTCGCTGTTCTTCGGAATCTCAGGCGGATTGCGGCAGTTGGCAAAGAGGTTCGGGCTGGCGGTGGTGGTGACGAATCAGGTCGTGGATTTTATCGGAGATGGTGATGTAAGGGTTGGGAATTTGAGTAATGGGCTATATTCGTCGGGCCGACGGGTTTGCCCTGCGTTGGGCCTGGCTTGGGCCCATTGTGTTAACTCGAGGGTATTTTTATCGCGTGATGAGGATGGGCCTGTGAGAAGGAGGAAAATGAGTGTTGTGTTCGCTCCCCATTTGCCGCATTGTTGTTACGAGTATGCTATTAAAGGAGAAGGCGTTTTTGGCGTCGACATGCAGCGGGAACAAGATTAAACTGTTTCACTTATTCTGACCAACCAACGTTCTACACTGTTTATATGTATGTATTTATTATTTTCACAGTGCAAAGTTAAAGTAATTCATTTTTTTGAAGGCTAGTAGTTTGTTGAACATTGTTTTTGTTGTGTATATAATATATATGTATTAACTTTTGAAAATCACGTCTCAAACGTGAAACCAACTAAAACCAAACACATTATTAGTTGATCTCACGTGAATCATACTGTAACTAACTATTAGAACTTTTACCCAGATAATGCTTATTTAAAAGCACTTCATCTAAAAATTGTTTCAGATAAAGTTAAATTTTATAATCATTCCCGTTCCTCTTTTCTTCTCCTTAGAAATTTCAAAATTTGGGTTTGAAATAAATAAAGTTGGCGAGTTGTTACTCTGATTATAACTGAGAAGGACATGCGCCATCTTAAAGATCACCACACACGGGTAATTAATTCCTTGAAGATAATGTTGAATTGTCCTTTAAGTTCCAGTGGTTTGTATTTTTGCATTCAACCACTATAGTTTTAGGAGTATATACTCACATTAGGTAGTTTGAAGCTTAATTTTTTTATTGTTACAGCAATAGAAACTTGCTGCTTGATGACTTGGTCCAACAGCAAAGCATAAGTTATACTACTGGTTTCATACTATGATTACCTGTAAAATATCAAATGAATGATTGAAGTTTACATCTAAAAAAGTGTAATGTACACAGAATAGAATATAAACAACTTTTCTGATACACGAATTATTTTTACCGAGTAGACCCCTTGCTGAAAAAAGTGAGACGATCAGAATGCTAACAACTATTTTCTTTGGTCAAACATGTTATGACAAGTCATGCTCTATTTGCTAGTAGGTTGTTCAAAATCAACAGTGGTTGGGATTTGCTACTAGCCAGAAAGTGATGGTCCTTGTTTATGAGCTCCAACCCAACTATATCCGGGATTTTTCTTCAATCCATGGTAGATCATGTTTGATCTTGTTCTCCTGGCATCGATCCACCTACCACATTGAGCATATATATCTGACAGAACTACGTAATGAACCGCGTTTCTTGGTTCAAATTCAAGGAGGTGATTGAGGGCAAGCTCTCCTAATTTCACATTTGAATGCATTTTACATGCTCCTAGGAGGGCACCCCAGACTTGAGCATCGGGTTCTATTGGCATTCTATTAATTAAACTCAAAACGTCGTCGAATAAACCAGCACGGCCTAAAAGATCAACCATGCAAGCATAGTGTTCCATTTTGGGTTGAAGATTGTGCTTCTCAGTCATGCAGTGGAAAATGTTCTTTCCTTCCGGAATCAAACCAGCATGTCTGCAGGCAGATAATACACTAATGTAGGAAACTGAATCAACATTAACACCGGTCTCTTGCATAAGTGAAAAAAGTGCGAGGGCAAGTTCACCTTGGCCATGCATTGCATAACCTGAAAGCATTGCATTCCATGAGATTGTGCCTTTATATTCCATCTCATAAAAGCATTTCTCTGAATAACCGACTTGTCCACATTTAGCATACATATCTATAAGACTGTTTCCTACTAGGGTACTAGATATAAATCCCATTCTGATTATGCAGGCATGAAAAGCCATGGCCTCTCTTAATATTGACACATATGATACAGCTGGAAGGATAATCGCAAATGTGATTAAATTGGGCCTCATACTTTGTAATTTCATTTGGTTGAAAGTGGAAATTGCTTCCTTGGCACATCCACTATGCAGGTACCCCGCAATCATTACATTCCAAGGTACCTCATCCTTTATATGCTTGGTTAATTGAAACAAGTTTTCAGCTGAGAAAATGCTCCCACATTTGGCATACATGTCTATTAGAGCAACTTTTACATGCATCTCAGCTTCAAAACCACCTTTTACAATATTTCCATGAAAGCAACTTCCTAGGTCTAGGTCATTCAGAAGGGCACAAGCTGAAACAAAACTAACCATGGTTCCACTATCTGGTTGAATCCCAGTTAATTGTAATTTATGGAACATTTCCAAGGCGAGACGTGGGTCACCATATTTGGTAAACCCATTTATCAAAGTATTCCATGCCACAACATCTTTATACTGCATTCTGTTGAATAGCGTCATAGCATACATAAACAATTCGCATCTAGTGTACATTGAGACAAGGGCTGTTGCTACTGAAATATCGGACTCCATGTCTGCTTTAATAGTGTAGCTGTGCACAATCTTACCTAACCCGAAATTTGAAATTTCTGCACATGCAGAAACAAGACTTGTCAGAATAGTTTTATCTGGTTTCAAACCTTCATGCCACATCTCTTGGAATATAGACAATGCTTCTCCAGCAAATCCTGCTTGGACAAGGGCTGATAAAAAAGCTGACCAAGCAACTAAATCTCTTCCTTTAAGGCTCAGAAACAACTCTTTAGCTTTCTTCAACTCACCACATTTGGCATACATGCTCACAATAGGAGTAGCAACAACAATATCTGACATTATTCCTGCATGTAAAGCATAATTATGAAGGTCCTTTCCTTTCTCTAGGTCTCTGGTCTCTGCAGCCGCCAAAAGGGAGTTTACAATCGACACCTTATTCATCTTGATATGTTGTTCTTTCATTTTATCAAGCAATTGAAGCACCTCAGAGAAACAGCCATAACGTACATATCCAGCCATCATCGTTGCCCAAGAGACATCATCCTTAACCTGCATCCGGTCAAATATCCGACGAGCCAAATTCACCTCACCACATTTAGAATACATATCGATCAATGCATTGGAAACTACACCAAATGCATGTCTCCTAACTACATAACAATTAATAGACTTGCAAGAATTAACATCCTCTAATTTAGAAACAGCTGGAGCCAAGTTCAAGATGCTCACAGAATCAGGCTCCACACCCTCCATCTGCATCGTGCGAAATATTTCCATTGCTTCACGTGGGTTTAAGCTCTGAGATAACCCTGAAATCATTGCATTCCAGGAAGCAACATCCTTCACGGGCATTTTATCAAATACCTTTCTTGCACTGTCCAAGTGACCCATCTTAGAGTACATGTCAACAAGTCCAGTCCCAATAAAGACATCACACTCTAACTCCCTGGAAGCTATATCTTGGTGAACGGCAACCCCCTCATGGAAGTCCAAAGCACCAGTACAAGCCTTCAAAATAAAGGTGAATGTGTACTTGTCAGGTTCAAGTCCAATATACAACATTCTATGATACAACTTTATTGCTTCCTGAAATAGATGGAGTCTAGAGTAGGCTCTAATCAATGAGTTCCACAGAATCAGAGATGGGTTTGGAATTGATTTAGGTGTTGATCGAGCCAAGGTGCATTGTTCTGAGACAATTAAACGGGCTTGGATTTGGAGCAAAGGGTTCAAGTGTTTGCATGAACGAAGAAAGTGAAGGTAGTAGTAGGGATGATGGTTGCAATATTGTGGAATGTTGGTAGTGGTTGGAGAAACTACAATGGCATCAGAATGAACATGGTGGGGGTGATGGTATCGATTGTTGTGAATGTGAAGTGAATATCTCGCTGTTATGACTCTCATGCTCGATCTCATTGTCATGGTTCTCAATCTTTCTTTTCATTACAAATTTACAATACTCCTCCATAATAACACGACCACAATACATTGTACCGTTCTCCATACGGTTTTCGAAGTTTCATATCCTTCACAACTTATATATACTCAGGTCAACTTGCAGAATGACCAAAATTAATGTATTTTATTTTCTTTAAGGTCAAAATTGATTTTATTTCATACATTTTAAAAATATTGGCTTTGATTTTTGTGACATGTGATAAAGTTGTTGCATGTTAAATCAGATTGACATATAAAATAAATATGTTATTGGAAGAGAAAGTCTCGTTAAACGTATGCGATTATTCTCTAGAATTAATAGATGTTTCACGTTTATAAAATAATATGTGACAAAAATGAAGAATGAGATTAGAGACAAAACCCACTGCATCTCAAAGATAAATTGAACAAAATCACCATTTAAAATACATGGATTAAAATAATTTTTAACGATATTTTTTTACTTTATTTTTTATAATGAATCATCATTGTTAACATTTTTTAATTACTACGCGTACATGCTGTAAAAACGCACAACTACTGGTGTTTTTAATATGTCATGGTTTTACTTCAGTCAACAAATTTCAACTAAATCTTTATCTAACTTAAATTTAACATTTTACACAAATTTCAAACATTAATTTGTGTTCTCTTTAACTAAATTTCTTACTAAATTGTTCATGAATATAACTTTTTTCGAGTTATTTTTTCAATATGATAAGAATATTATGTTAGTCTCATTATTTAATTTTATGTAATAAATTATTAAATATATGATAAAAATATCGTATTATTCTTTACCTTCAAAAAAACTTTTATAAATATTCCTGAAAATATTTTTGACAAATTAAATAAATTTTAGTTTTTCTTAATAATAATATTTGATATATTTTAATCTTTTATTTATCTTTATAAACGATGTATAACTTTCTTAATTTAAGAGCATAGATTACCTATTTTTTTCTTTTATTTTTTTCCCCTTCAAAAATCCTCTTGTTACATTAACCATTTTCATTTATCAAAATTTCTATATTATACATCAAGTGCGAAAGTAAAAAAATTATTAAAAACATTATATTTTGTGTTAAATAATTTTAAGTCTTCCTTTAACACCCTTTTCTATAAAAGATATTCTTATTTATTAAATAAATTAATATATTTTTTAACTGTAAGGCTTACTTAATAAACCACCAAAATGATTAACATTAAATTAATAAAAAGATATAATACTATTCTTTACTATACTAATAACTTTTTTAATTCTTTAATGTATGTAATTTGTGTTTTAAGATAAGGAACTATTTATCGGCTTATAAGTGAAAACAAAATGTTCTAACCCACTTTAAACTTATTCTTTAATTCATTATTATTAATAATAATTATTGTCTGAAAATTTATTTGTTTGCAAATTTGATCAGCATCATCCAACAACACATTATTATTTATTTATTTATGTATAAAAAATAGTTGTAGAGTTTAACATGCTTAACTTTTAAACTTTAATTGTTTTTTTTAAATAAGATAGTTCCAGTGATAATTAATATCACTCTTATAAATAAAATTTTAAAAAGAAAAATTACTTAAATAGAATCTAAATTTATTTATCCAATTATATTAAATTATTATTCATACATAAACTTTAATAAAAAAATAAATTTATTTTACATAATATTCTTTTTGTTTTTCATTCTTCTCGTTTTTTTTAATTTTTATTTATTTCTTATTTTTCTTTTCACTCTTTTTTCTCTTTGGTTGGTCTTTCATTCTATTTTATTTTTCAATTAAAAATAATATATTTAAATTTAATAACGTGAATCTTTTAATATTATTTTAAAAATAATATATTTAAATAATAATATTATAATTTAATATATTATATAAAAAAATATTATAGGATAAATTTAAGAGGTTACGACTATCATTGTTATTTTTATGTTATAATTATTAAAAAATATTAAATATTTATTAAAAGTATTTTTTTTAATATCTAATTATCATAATTAGATTAAAATATCAAATAAAAATTTATTTAAATTATAAATATTTGATATTTTTTAATTATTATTTATTATGATAAAATAATTTTAAATTATTTATTTATGTCATTGTAAATAAATATTTACTGTCAAAATAAATAAAATTATTTATTTTAATTATAATTTTAAATATTTAATTAATATTTTTGTAGTTTTAATATTATTTTTAAAATATTTATTTTAATATATTTTTATTAAATTTTAATATAGTAATTTAATTAGAATAAGTGGTAGAATAGAGAGAAAAATAAAAAAAAATGAATTAATGAGAGAAAGATGTGAAGTGAATGAAAAAAGAGAAAAAATAAAAAATATTTATGAGAAGATAGCAAAAATATTACATAATGAGTAATAGATCTATTTAAATAAATAAATTTATATAAATTTTATTTAAAAGATTTTTTAAAAAATATATTAATTTTAGGATTGATAATATATAACTTTTTGGTACCAAACCTTTTCAAAATATTGTCATGATTCCAAAAACTCTATATTCCCGAAACAAAAAGCCCGGGACGGTGAAATATTTTGTTTTGGACAAGAATATCCCTGGGGACATTCTCGCTCTGTTTGTTTCTTCTTATTCTCTCCCCGCATCGTACGCCGCCGACACAGCTTCGAGTATTGGCAAGTGCTAACATACGCCTCTGACACCAACGCACGCTCTCTGCTCCCATGTCAGATACTGAAACTGAATCCTTTTCTTTTCCATTCTTAATTATCTCTGCTTCACGTTTTCGTCGTTTCACGATTAGGGTTCTCACTTCTCAATCAAAAATATATAATAATAATTTAATACATAAGACATTGTGGACACGTGTTTGTGTGTGATTGCAGAGAGAAGGCGATGGTGAACGTCATGGAGTGGCAGAAGCAGCGTTGGCAACCGAACGGGAACGCGGAAATGATGTACGTCAAAGTGATGACAGACGAACAACTCGAGACTCTTCGCAAACAGATTGCCGTTTACGCAACAATCTGCGAACGACTCATCGAGATGCACAAAACCATCTCTTCTCACCAAGATCTCGCTGGTTTTGATTCATCTTTCATCGTTATTAATTAATCCTTAGTTATTATCGGTTGCAATGTGTGTTAGTTTGCTTTCCATAACGGTTCAAATTAAACTGTTACTAATTCCGCCATGACGATGAGTGTGTCATTTAATTAACTGCCTAAAGTTTTTCTCCTACTATGCTGCTGCCAAGTTGTGCATGTAACGTATGGGTTAATTTATTTAAGGAATCCAAAATCATTTTTGATGATTAGCACTTGTTTATTGAATTGGAAGAGGCATATATTCAATGTCAGTGAATACACTCTCAACCAATTGGATTTGGAAATCATGTTAGTATATATATTTTAAGATAAGTATTGTAATAGTCAGCAAACTTGGCATACATGATTTTTTTTTTTTATTATTGGATAAGAGTGTGAAAATGCTTTATATTTATGGTATATGCGTTATTTTACTCGTAATAATAATGTTGCTTCATTGGTGTTGTCATTTTCAGGGATTAGACTGGGAAATATGTACTGCGATCCATTGTTGGGGTCCGGTGGCCACAAAATAGCTTCGAGGCAGAGGTGGACTCCGACGGCTATGCAACTTCAAATTCTGGAGCGGATATTTGATCAGGGGACTGGGACTCCCAGCAAGGAAAAGATCAAGGAGATCGCTGCTGAGCTCAGCCACCATGGCCAGATTTCTGAGACTAATGTGTATAACTGGTTTCAGAACAGGAGGGCTCGTTCCAAAAGAAAGCAGCAGAATGTGGCACCTGGTGTTAATGCTGAATCAGAAGTAGAGACCGAGGTTGATTCCAAGGATAAGAAGACAAAGGCAGACGATTTTCAGTCCCAGCTCAGGGTTTCTACTGGGCCTTCTGATAGTTTAGGCTTCCAGAACCATGATGATCTGCAGTACCTGAATGAGAATCCAGAGTCCAACAAACCAGATTCTGTGTTCCCGTCTGATGGGGGTTTAAGATCCACTAGAAATTTCAACCATGTAGCTGATTTCGATGGGCTGCTATCGAACTCAGGTATGTAACTTCTTATCCTTTCTTCATGTCCTTGTCCTTATATTTATCAAATAGAGATAAGATTATTGTTTTCTAATACTATAAAGTTGGAAATGAGTTGATAAGTAGTAGAAAATTTACAAAGAAAAGGCAAATGAAATGTTCTCCCCTTTACTGACACTGCCACTTGTCAGTTGGTCTTTCTCTCTCTTCAATTCTGATCACTCATAACCTAATCATGAGAATCAGGTCCTCCTTCCCTTAGGTGTCTCCTTACATAAACATAAACTTCAGTGACTTTGGGCCACTGGTTTGAATCAACTCTCCTCCCTTCAAAACTCACCTTGTCGTCCCTTCTACTTGATGAAGACATCCACAATTCCCCGGGGATTATGTCTTGTTAAGTTATGGATGCACTTGACTTCCCTTGTGCATCTGTAACAACTTATATGCTAGTTGTTTAAGTGGCCAAGCTAGCTGCCCATTATTTCTCACTTTTCTATAATAACAAAGCAACACGAGTAATCCCTAAGCCCCTTCACACCCACAAGTATGAGCCAATCTAACATATCTTTTTACCTTTTTAGAATCCTGTTGAATACCCCTGTTAAGAGATGGCATACCCAAGTATTCCAACCTATTCCGGATATAAGAACAATTCTTCCTGTCAATATAGCTTGCTCTCTCTCAACACCTGCAGCACCCTTTTAAGATGTTCCTTGTGGCTACTTTCATCTTGCTCTAAATTAGAATGTCAATGCCAAAAATGTAAACTTCCTCCTAAATTAGGTTTGAGAACCTAGTTCATAACTACTTGGAAGGTAGAAGGTGTATTCGTTAAGCCAAGCCATAAACAAAAATTATATGCCCATCTTGAATTCTAGAAGTTGTTTTGGGACATCATCTTCTCATGCACATTTGGCAGTATCCTGACTTCAAATCCAATTTATATGAATATTGATGGCCCCAACAAACTAACAATCCAGCTATGATGGTAATTGGGAACTTAATATTAGGTTTGATCCAGCTTGTTTGGGGCCCAAATGTCTACATGAACCCTCTATTCCCTATCTTCTCCTTTTCTACTTTCACAGGACTACTAAAAGGGTTGTTGCTAGGCCTATAATCACACCACGTTCAGCTTGAAGTACCTCTCATCCAATTCAGCCACGATATAGGAATAGCATACAAACTTTTACGGCAGAAATTGGTGCATAATGCAGTAGTAGAAATTTCCCATAAGTTCTGCAAGGATAGGCAAGTCTCCCACATTTTTGTGTTGAGAAATGTGCGTGATCATTCCTCAACAGGACTCCTATAATTGAGAAATCTGTGTTGATAATTACTTGTATAATTGACTTTCTTGCATTTAAGATTTTCTACATTTAGAGGACAAGGCTCGGATCAAGTTTCTTACATCTACAATTCAACATGCATATTTATTAAGACATCAAGTTATTTATTATTGGAAAGAATATTCACATGTCATCATTTAAATGGAGAACTTGATCTAACTTCTGTCCTTGTCCAAAACTCTCTTTATAATATACTTTGCATATTCGTGCACCAGAAACCATTTTAATGAGTCTCATTTTCTTGTGTATAGATTTAACTAGACTATGGAGTGTAGTGATGAAACTTGAGTGCAGTGAAAATTACCTTCCTTGTTTTAATACGAAAATTTAGCAAAGGGTACGCGAGCCTTTCTTTATCAAAGAAATTGACAATCAAGACTGCTATATTTATTTTTGCAGGGAGCGACTATCTTACTGGAAAAATGGAAGCCCATGAGAACTATGACTTATACCAGCCATCAGACGACTTCGACATGGCAGGTTGACATTCAATGTAATTTCCGACGACTGTGATTAGCTGTAAAGAATTGCTGGTGTGGTTTTTAGGTTGTGTTGACGAGAAAATTTAGACCAATTGAAACTTGAGAACTTATAGCTTATAGTATATAGATACAACGATATTCTATAGTGGTAGTGAACACTTTACTTGATAATGGAATATAATTGGGAGTTCATATTGATACTGTGAAGTTTGCTAATGGTAAGCATATCGGGTAAGAATATATTGTGTGGCTGTGGATTTATTTTTAAATTTGAGTGAAAATAAATAACTTAAGATGAAATTGTGACTTTAAGCTTGAAGAATAAAGCTTATAAAATCAAGTCATATGTGGATTTGGTTTCATTTTTTTCGAGTCCCATGCCCCAAAGACAACGCATGCGCAGTGGCGGATCTTTTTGGGAGCTGAGGGGGGCTGTGACCCTCCCAAAGTTTTGTAACTCCCATGTAATTTATGATTTTGGCCCCCCCAAACTTAATTAACATTTAATATATTTACTTGTATATTTACAATTTTATCCTCTTAGTCCCTCCTCAATTTTGTAACTCCCATATAATTTATGATTTTGTCTCTCTCTAACTTAATGATCATTTAATATATTTAAGTATATATTTACAATTTTATCCTTTTACCCTTTCATCTTTTTTTTTTTCTTTTTATATTTATTTATTATTTATTAATAATATATTATTTGGTCCCCCAAGATCAATGGTCAAGATCCGCCATTGCGCATGCGCATTTAACTCTTGGACTTGTTACATGTTCAAGTTGATGTAAATTGAATAGGGAAAATTACATTTACATCCATCTATGTTTTATCATATTAGACTTATATATATATATATATATATATATATATATATATATATATATATATATATATATATTTTTTTTTTTTCCTTTTATGAACAATAATCTTTCTTAATCTGTGATGTTAAAAAAGGGACAATATAATATTTTTAAAATAAAGATGAAATTTGTGTAGAATTTGAAAACTGAGATATTAGTGTTTCTTGAAAAGAAAATCAGAGGTAATAATATAATTTACTTAATTAAATATATGCAATCAATTGTTTTCTTACGAAAAATGTTAAAAACTTATCGCTCTAAATATGCAATCAATTGCCTTGTACATGTTCAAATTGATATCCTTTAAGACAGTGGTGTGCCAACTTATTACAACCATGCTTATAAAGGAAAAATGTCCCTAAATATGTTCATTGTTAGAGCAGGTGCAGTTCACAATTGTTGAATTGGAAATTTCAGGAGTGAATAATTCCTGAGGATGTAGCCTGATAAATCTGGTCGTCCATTGTTACTTTCTCTGTCATTGATACGGGAACCAAACAGAGTCCTCTGCTCCTTAGGTCAACCTGCAATTTGTCCCCACATTCCTGATGTGAAACCTGCGGCTAAGAAACAAAATTATCAGAGATAAGTAAGAAGAAAATATAATACATCTCCTTTGTGTTCAATATATGTTGCCATTCAATAAGTGAGAAAGCAATTGTAATGCTTATAATTAACAGTCACCTGAGTATGAAGATCTTTAATCGTATTAATGTAAGAGAAGCTCAGCATCTGAAACAAAGTCTGCAATCACAGAATGAAAAGGTAAACTAGAGTAATCTCAAAATTAGTTTTAGGGTCGCCAAAAGGGGAACATATTCTTTTCCCAGTCCAATTATTAAAAGAAAAGTTTGGTTGCATATTTATATCTTTTTCAAGTTTGGTCTTTTCAATTTTAAAAAAATCCATTATAGTATCTTAATTTTTTTTATAATGATTATTAACATAAAGATTGATTTGGTCTTATAAGTGATACTTCAAGGAATAAAAATGAAACTTTTAAAATTCAAGATGAAACTAAAAAAAATATATAATATGCTAAATTTATGTTTTACTCTATTTTTTTAGTTGCTGGATAATATATTTTCTGCCTAGAGATAGAAGTATGAATTATGTACCCGGATTTGTGCTTGAAGAAGCTTGATATAAAGAGAAGCCTCATGAAGAACTGAGGCGGTATCAGTCTGCAGATATCCAGAAATCATAGATGGTGTTAGTAAGAAATGAAGGATAATTGTTTTTGTGTTCAGTAGGGGTAACCAATCATGATTCACTCGCCTTGCCAAAAGGTGAAACCAACTTCTGTAGAGTTGTAACTTTATCGCTAAGCTTCGGATTTCTCCTCATAGGCACAAGCAACTGGAGGCAACACAAAAAGGGTCCAAAGATTTAGGCTTATATGCACCATCTAGTGCCTAATTTAATCAGCAATACACAAAACACTAACAACTATTATCATTGTTTCTAATTCTAAATTCAACTCAGTTATGAAGCATGAATTTTTCACTTACAGTCTTACATTATTGGATGAAATTGAGTTTCTTTGCACCCTTGAGAAACTTCATGTTTGATGTGTTGTATTTAGTACACATTGTTATCTAAAGAATAATATTAATAAACACAAAAGAATAATAGCTTTGCTAATTTTACTTACTTCTTGCCGAGGGATCATCTCTGAAACTTGTTTTGCTTGAGGCCATTTGGGTTCCATTATTGTGATTTTGCTTTTGGTATTGCTTTTCATTTTTTTCCACAAGGACATGTTGTCAGTGTACTCAAATGGACGTTTATTTCCACATACCTGAAAACCCACATTTATTTCAAATTAAGAGTTCCAAATAACAATCAATTTGAGTCAGGGGTTATTAATCAGCTTGAAGTACGTTAAAACATGACCCTTGTTATGAACAATAATTTCTCAAAAAGAAATAAGGTAATGTTAAAGTCCATTTTCTATTAAGATGATTCAATTAGAAAAGGCCAACACATAGACGTACTCCATATTGAGAAGAAGGGTCTTTGTCAAGTAACAGTGAGTGCTGATAAATGTCTTTGAATCTTGGGATGCCATAGAGACTACCTGTCAAAGTATTAGTCTTCAATTATTAGAAATCTTGGATGGTTTTCACTACGATACAAAATTATATTTCAACATTGTCATTGGGACTTGGAAAAGTGATTTTATATTAAGCAGGGTAGGTAGAGAAAAAATAGCTCCTAATATCTGGTATTAAAAAGGAAATGCACCAAACCTTGGTGATGATTGTAGTCATAACTCTGAGACTGAGATTGGCAGGGCTCTGCATTGACTCCTTCAATTAATTGGCTGTCATTATTGAGTATTCTAGACTCCATGTTGAAGCCATTGCTAAGGAAGTTTCTGGAAAGAGAAATGCGATTTCTACTATAACATGGTGCCATAAAAGAAAACATTTCAAGTGTACATTTGAAAAAACTTCTCCATAAATCTTTATAAAAGAAAAAAATTAATTAATTAATTTTTTTCATACACTAAAATTACTTTTTAAAATTTATTCATGTATATTAAATTGTAGAAATCATTTTATGTAAAAGTTAATTTTAGTTATGAATTAGTTAATTTCTTCTTCTTCTTTTTTCTTATATAAGTGGAGAAGTTTTGAAAAAAAGTTAAAGAATTCTTTGGATGCATGTTACATAATAAAATAGCACGAAACTTCATGAAATTGTGACCTCTTTCAACCCGTTTTGGCAAAACAAAAGCAACTTCGATGAACAAGCCTTGTCTGGTCTATTTAATTTGCTTGTGTTATTATCATGTGGAATGGTTGTAAAACCATAAATCACTGTAAATAAAATAAGTAAAACCATAAATTGATGATATCAAATAATGCTTTAATAGAATCCTTGTATTAATGATCATGTTGATTAGTCTTCTGTAAATTACTATTAATGGATGGTTCCAAACATGGAATAATTAAAAATAGAATCTGATTTCACAATGTTCATGATTCTGGCAAGCTAAACGTGGTTAAACTCGAATAAAGAACAAATTTGAATTGTACCTACTTCTTTCTCTTTGATTCGTTTATCATCCACAATAGAAAAACATATTGCAGAAGATATATGCAGTGTTCGGATAACATTGATCCACTTACGTTTGGTCGTTCATTTGCATGGAGCCCTCCAAAATTTCAAACTGAGCTTCATCATCATCTCCTGAATTACAAAAAAATATTGGTGAATAATTTTAGATGTTTAATAAGTTTGCAATTAATAGCTATGATGTTACCATAGCAGTGAAGCCTAGAAGAAACTGATGATAGAAGAGCATTTCTCATTTTTGCAATGTCAATGGAAAAAGAACTAGCTTCTGACATGTTTGGCACCTGCAGATCAATCAAGAAGGAAAGATTGTAGTTCAATCAAATGGGTATGTTGAAAAGAGGATACGGTTATGTCATGAGAAATAATTTATGTCACCACGTGATCTTGCTGATGCATTAACATGACTTTGCACTTCATTGGAAGGGAGAATTATGGTTACAGATTTGTTTACTAATCACAAAGGAGGATTGAAATTTGAAAAAGCCAAAGAAGGTTAAAAACATGCATGCACTCAAACTTCAATGCAGATTCATGGCGAACGGAAAAAGGTTTCTAAATAGGTATACCAGCATTTGGAGTTCTTAGTCACAAAATTGCATGAACTAGCAAAAAGGTTAAATCATCAAACACTCAACAATGAAGAACAGCATCTAACAGACAAACCCATGATGAAAAATGCTGCAGAATGTCATACATGAAAGAAGGGCTAGACATAACAAAACAAAATACAACTCAGTACCTCAGATGCAAATATCTTACTTTCCTTCATTGAAAAGAGAATGTTAAAGATTTGAGCCACTTAAGAGGTAATTACTCTAATTATAAAATTTGGTGATGAAGCTGAAGCTGATATGTTTGGAGAGTAGAATTAAGGGTCTTTTATTGTATGAAAGGAGTAGAAAACGTCCATTGCAGGTAAAGTAATGATGGAAAAGGGTGGATTACGGGTTTTGAGAGTGAATTGCAGAAAGTAAGTGCTAAATTTGTTTTCTGTTTGATTTCGCTTTCATCTAAGCTTGACTTCATTTTGGTTAATCAATGCCTTCTCACAAATGGACAAAGTGTGTATTAATTAGTGTCACACATAAGACATATTAGGAAATGAATTAAGGTGAAACCATAAGGATTTATATTAAGAGGATGTTTGGACTAATTTTGCAGATAAAAATAAGAAGAAAAATATTATATTTTTATAAATTAAAATTAATTTATACACAAATGAAAATAAAAATACGAAGAAGATATATGCTAGAATTTTTATAATTTAGCTTATACTTAAGTTAATTTTCAGTTATGAAAAAACAAATTTTTTTTTTCAAAAAAAATTATAAAGAAACTCATCCAGGTTTCATATCATTTTGGATGACTACTTACAAACTGTCATCTATGCAAAAATTTGGGGGAATGATAATCATATTACCATGAGTGAAATTACAATATATAAAGAAAAATATTGATTTAACTTAAACATTAAGTTTATGTTACTTGGGGTGTTCAATCAGATTAAGATTTCTCAATATTAACATTGATTTCTGATTTGAGTTAATTAATTTTCAAATTTGCAATATTTAATATTATTGATCATTAGTTTGAGTTTAAGCATAAGAATAGCAATGTTTAACTCGTTATTAACCAAGCTTTAATCAAGGTGCCATGTGAAATTTTCCAAATATACTTCAATTGCCTTCTGTTTTGATATATATAATTTCACTGATTTAATTATTATTTTTCACACTATTTCCATGTATTGATTAAGACTGGATTATTAATAGTAATGGGGTTAGGTTCATCATCAACATTTGTGCTTTAAATCTTCTCACTTGAGCATAAAATAATTTAATTTGTTTTAAAACTTTTAGAACTTAAGTTAAATATGATCTTAAGATAAACATCACTGTTAATATTTATATGCGAAAAAAAAAAACTTCTCTTATAAATAAAAAACAAGTTATGTATCTTTTTTTCTTAAAAAAATTGAACAGTGGATTCTATATAAACTCATGAAAAAAAATTCAATTTTACTTCTATAATTACTACAGTGCATAATTTCTACACATTTCTCTTATATTGCCTCACTTTTGTGCACGCCGTGGCGCATGACTGAAACATTGTTGACACAAATTTTCGATTACACCCATTAGCGTTGACGTAGCTACGTGTTTGGCTAAGTGCTTCAACAAGTTCTGTTGTCACTTATCATCACTTTTAACGTAGCCTACGTGTTTGACTAAATGCTTCAGTTCAGTGTGCTCTAATTTAGGCTGGAAAGAGAAATCAGAGCTAAATCGAGCTTCAAGAAGCTAGAAGCTGGAACCAGAAATTGAATAGGTTAGATCACCATTGGTCTAATTGAAGTACATCTTTTGATATGAGTTTAGAATTTGCAAACAAACATTGAAAGATAATGGACGCTGTTCTATGGCTTGGAAACTCTTTAGCTTATCTCCCCGTACCACAAAAAAACGAAAGGTTACAACTTCTGAAATACCCACATGCTTGGTCCTCGAGTTTGTTAAATATATTTGTTCTTCGTCAGCTCTTCATCCTGAACATTCTGTTAACCTTAACCATGATCATAGTGTCAATTCAGACTCTTTTTATGCGTCTCTTATTGATGATTCTACCCACAAGAGACACCTTGATCAGATACATAACCAGTTAGTCGTCTCTGGGCTGCGACATAATGGATTTCTCATGACAAAACTGGTTAATAGGAGCTCGAATCTTGCACAAATTTGTTATGCTCGAAAGCTGTTTGATGAATTTTGCTTCCCTGACGTGTTTATGTGGAATGCTATCATTAGGTGTTATTCGAGGAACAATATGTTCAGGGACACCATTCAAATGTATAGGTGGATGAGATGGACAGGAATCCATCCGGATGGATTCACTTTTCCTTATGTACTTAAAGCTTGTGCTGAGTTGTTAGATTTTGATTTGAGCTGCCTAATTCATGGACAGATAATCAGATATGGGTTTGGGTCGGATGTGTTTGTGCAGAATGGCCTTGTGGCAGTGTATGCTAAATGTGGTCGTACTGGTGTTGCAAAAGTGGTGTTTGATGGGTTATACCATAGAACAATTGTATCATGGACTTCCATCATTTCTGGATATGCACAGAATGCAGAATCTATGGAAGCATTGCGAATGTTCAGTCAAATGAGAAACGCTGATGTGAAACCAGATTGGATTGCTCTGGTAAGCATTCTGAGGGCTTATACTGATGTAGATGATTTGGAGCAAGGGAGATCTCTTCATGGTTGTGTCATCAAGATGGGTCTTGAAGATGAACCTGATTTGCTTATCTCACTTACAGCTTTATATGCTAAATGTGGGATGGTGACAGTTGCAAGATCTTTCTTAGATCAAATGAAGACATCAAATGTGATTATGTGGAACGCAATGATATCTGGCTATGCAAAGAATGGCCATGCTGAGGAAGCGGTACATTTGTTTTGTGACATGATCTCAAGAAATATTAAACCGGATTCTGTCACTGTGAGGTCTGTAGTCTTAGCTACCGCACAGGTTGGTTCCCTCAAATTAGCACAATGGATGGATGAGTACGTGAGAAACAGTAACTTTGGAAGTTGCATTTTTGTTAACACCGCCCTCATTGATATGTTTGCAAAATGTGGAAGTCTAGTATCTGCTCGCATGGTATTTGATCGTAATTCTCATAAGGATGTTGTTATGTGGAGTGCCATGATTATGGGATATGGATTGCATGGTCAAGGACGGGAAGCCATTAATCTTTACTGTGCAATGAAGCATGCAAGTGTATTCCCAAATGATGTTACCTTTATTGGGCTTCTCACTGCATGCAATCATTCTGGCCTCGTAAAAGAGGGGTGGGAGCTATTCCATTGCATGAAAGACTTCGAAATTGAGCCTCGGAATGAACATTATTCTTGTGTTGTTGATCTCTTGGGACGAGCAGGGTATCTGGGTCAGGCTTGTGCATTTATAATGAAAATGCCCATTGAACCTGGTGTAAGTGTATGGGGAGCACTTCTGAGTGCATGCAAGATCTATCGTTGTGTAGGATTGGGAGAATATGCTGCCAACAAGTTATTCTCATTGGATCCATATAATACAGGGCATTATGTCCAACTCTCTAATCTCTATGCTAACTCCCGCTTGTGGGATCTTGTAGCACACGTTCGAGTTCTAATGAGGGAGAAAGGACTAAATAAGGACCTTGGTTATAGTGTAATTGAAATAAATGGGAAATTGCAGGCATTTCATGCAGGTGACAAGTCACACCCAATGGCTAATGAAATATTCAATGAGCTTCAGATATTAGAACGAAAGTTGAAGGAGATTGGATTTGTCCCACATACAGAATCTGTTTTGCATGATCTGAATTATGAAGAGAAGGAGGAGAATCTTAGTTTTCATAGTGAGAGGATAGCTGTTGCTTATGGGCTTATTAGTACTGCTCCTGGAACTACACTTAGAATAACAAAGAATCTTCGAGCATGTGTGAACTGTCACTCTGCAATAAAGCTTATATCAAAGCTTCTTGAAAGGGAAATAATTGTAAGGGATGCAAATCGGTTTCATCACTTTAAGGATGGTTTGTGTTCGTGCGGCGACTATTGGTAAGAATAACGGCTCAACCTCAAACCAGCAGCCGCGGTTAGCTGCCATTTCACCATGTAAGTTGTCTGCTGTCTAGTTTTTTCAAATACCAATTAATTTGGAATCATTGGCAGTACCTTTTCCTCAGTATCAGAAGAAACAACATGGACATTTGATCATAAGTTACAGGTTTTGAATGTAGTTCTCTGCTGATATATGCACAAGAGCTGATACTTCCTCACATTTTGTTATTGAGACTTAAGGCCAGGCTCACTTCAGTCATTTTCGGTTTTCATTTTCAAAGAAATACATTTGTTTCAATTTTTTTATTGGAAACATTTACTAGATTAGGACCAAAAGTGAAAACAAATAAAAAAGTCCTTTCCAGTGTTTCCTCCCACTCTCCAATATATATATATATATATATATATATATATATATATATCTCTGCATGTGTGCACCTTGATCTCATTCCTCTCAAGTGTTCAATCATTTTAGAGGATGAAGTAAATAATTTAATCATATTAAGTCTTTCTTCTATTAGTACAAATATATAATAAATCATGAGTGTGTCAAAATATAAATCAATATTCTTTTCACCAAACAATTGAAATTATTTACTTTTTCTTTTATTTCAAGTCTACCTCTTGGTGACGCTGATTTTGCACTCTGTTCAATATGCTGCTCAAATTAAAGTGATATCAAGTTTGGTCTATTTTTCTCTAGTATTTTGTGCTTCTCTTTATTCTGTAAAAATCTAAGTAATTGTAACTTGGGAGGGTATAAATCGATTCTCCACAATAATCTGATTTTGAATCATCAAATCCGAATTCAAACAATAAAAAGGTATCATATTTCCATGAGTAAATATTCTAAACCCAGACTGATCTAACCTCATTTATATAGCATCTTGAAACAGAACATATCGATTCTTGCAATTTCACATTTCAACTGCTTTTTAACTAAAAGTTTTTGAAGTCTTTTAGAATATGATTCTAGTCATATCTAGAGTTGTACGGAAGTTACATCATCCCTTCAAGTGATGTTCGAATTTATCCAATAAACATTCATTAATTGAATATCACGTGTAGTGTCTGTCCTTATGAAGAAGCTTCACCTAAACTATTCTCATGTCATAAAGCCGGTTCAACTTCAACAGTTCCTCTTTTATTGTTTCAAATTCTCACGAAGGAATGTTCATTATTCTTGTGATTAATTTGATGCAAGGACACCGGAAGACATGGAAAGTTGTTTTATGGTGTAATTTTTTTGTATGGCACGTTTATTTATGTTTCAATTACATCGAAATACTAACAACATATCCTTTCAAACACGTTGTCTGCATCAAAAAGTTGAAAGATGACAACTTTCAATTAACCACCAGTACCATACTTGTTTGGACCATTTTGGTAAGAAGCCATGTAAAAGACAGCTTAAATGTGAATTCAATATCTTTGGTTAGCTAGTGTAGGCGTGTTTATTAGAAAATATCTAAACATGACTCTGTATAACATCAAAGTTAATGTTTTTTTATCATAAAAATTACATTTTGAAAATTAAATTCTAAAACTTTTGCCAATACCTAGAAATACATTTCATAGACTAATTTTGAAAAGGAATATTGCTGAAAAGAAAAATGCAGAGAACAGTGTGTCAGTAAAACGATGTGAAAAATCAGCCCGTGATTCTTATATTCGTTGCAATTATTGGGCTTTTTAGTTTATAGAGGTGGACTTCACTTACATTCATTTGTTCTTTTCAATGGACAGACAAGATACTAGGGAAAAACGTACCAAAACACTACTTGATGGGAACTTCGATACCTTGCTCACATGTCTTATGTGGAAAAAAAGTAAAAAATCCTTCAAGAATGTTTTATTTTATATTGAACATGATTGGATGTATTTTTCTATAAACATTTTTTGAAAAAAAAAGAAAGAAATCAGCCTCTCTATAATTAAAATTATTTTATACATATACAAATTTATTAAATATAAATTTCTTGAAGGAAACTATCTTACATATAAATTAACTTTAACTTGGTTTTTGTTTTTTAACTCTTCCATATATTCATTTGCCTAGTGTCCTATATTTGGCCTTCAAACATATGCTTGATTGGTTTCGTTTGTTGCCACCCAAATGTCACTTAGGTTAGTTTTGTGGAGTGTATATTTATATGTTGCAGAAGTCTTTACATGAAAATTTGCAAGTGTTAGTTTCTTATTTGGTGATGTTTTTGTTTTTCTGTGAATAAGAATACTCATCTAAAATTGACTTTTGAAAAATATTATTTGTTTTAGATTTACACATTTTTATATTATATTTAGATTAATTAGTCTCTTTCATCACATAATCAACCAATCCACATCACTATCGATAACAATTATTTTGCTACTATTTGCCAAATTGTTTGTCCTAATTCTAATCTAATCTAATTAGTAACAATAAGCTTCGGTCAATTGGAGGAGGTGGGTGACAAGTGACTTAGCCAAAATTCTGTATCTTCATCATTATCTGTTATTAATAAGTATTGACAATTTCAATTATTACTATTAATTTATTGAAACATTTTTTTAAATTCTGTTATATTATACTTGTTAATATGAAATTTGTCTATTTGTTATATTATTAATTATATTATTAATTATATATATAATATATATATATATATATATAATATTTTGATGTATCATTTCAGTTTTACATAAATAAATATAATTATATAAAAATTATATGACATTTTAATATTAATTATTTTAAAAATTTATTATTTACGTGAAATAAAAGCAATATTTAAACTAAAATAATATTTTTATAAATTAAAATGCTAAAAGAAATTATAAAAAAAACAATTATTTGAGAGTACAAGAAACACGCAATTATAACAAAGTCCCACTTTGTTTTTTATAAATGAATAAATAATATAGTGGTGATAAAGAAAGAAACAGTGGAGATCTACAAAGTAACGGAAACTGGTGACAGTGTAGAGAGAGAAAGGGCCACGCAGTATACGCGGAGAGAAAGGAACAAAGAAAAGAACCCCAAAACTCTCCAAAACCAAAACCGAAAGCAGAACAACACAACACAACCAAACCCACTTGGTCCTCTCTTCGATCTCCCGTACCCTTTTCGTTTTTTCAACACTTTTCTTCAAACACAGAGAGAGAGGATCCTTTTGAGTGAGTTTGTGTGCGTTGTTGTTGTGTGGTCACGATGGCAGCACCACCTGCGAGGGCACGTGCCGATTACGATTACCTCATCAAGCTTCTTCTTATTGGCGACAGCGGTTAGTTATCTCTTGCCTTCCCTTTTTCTATCTGTCTCTGCAAAATTAAGGAAACAACAAAATGGGTTTTTCTCAGATTTCAGATCTTAATACTTTTTTCTTTTCTTATTTCCTTTTTTATGGGGTTTGGGTGTTCTGTTCCTAGTGCCAAAGGGTAGGTGCTTTTTTTTTGGGGGGGAGGCGGGGGACTCTTCATTGCTGGTTTTGAATTATGATTGTGGTTTTTACTTGGATTGATAGCTGTTAAATGGTTGAGCTTCCTTTATTTTATTATTATTGTTTGGGAATTTGGGTGTTAACTGTGATGTGGGCTTATTTTGTTGTTGACCTTGAACCATTATTCCTTTTGACACGTGATTTGATATATTTGACAATGTCTAAGAAAAAGCGGTGGCACTTGATGGTATAGGCGGTGAAGTTTTGCAAGTGTTTAAGGAGGAAAAGTATAGCTTGACATGCATATTAAGGCACTGATTGGATAGATTTCTCAATAAACGCTTATGGGAGAAGAAGGATAACACTTCAAATGAATTATGATGAGTTAAAATCAGTTTTTGGAGAAGTTATGAGTTTTAAGTGCATAAGTTTATTTTTATTTCTGGAAGAATGTTAATTCATTTTACTTTGTTATTTTCTTCTCCTACTTGTGCTTGTTGAGGAGTATGCATCAAAAGTTTACACGCAAGCACCATCTTTGTAGGAGTAATAAGAACAGAGTTATGAAGTCGCAAAAAGGAAGATGATGGTTAAATTAATGGAGAAACAAATTAGATTAAGATTAGCAGAACGTGATCTGGAAGTCTAAGCAAGAATAAAGAATGGAACACAGAAAAAACAGATCTGTGAAGTTTGAAGAAATAGATGTCAAAGTAGAGGTGGCTTTTATTGGAATGGTGAAGGAAGAAGGATTTCAAATCCTATTATGATTTTGAAACAAAAAATGCGTTAGAAAGTGGGCAAGGAATCACAATTTTACCCAAAGATGCCTAAACAATGTTTAAAGATGACCCACTTGTGTACTATGTTGCTTTTATGCAAAGAAACTCAACAGAAGAAGTTATATGGCTGTTGTAGAATTTTATTGAATGATACATATGGAAACAAGAATACCTACGTCATTGATCTAGAAAAACTGCTGTTTGTTTTAGGGTTGTATGAGAAATTCCATGGAAGATTTCAGAGAAAGAAGGGAATCCAATAATGTATGTTTGATTTATAAATGAGAAGATATGCTTGATGTGGCAATGGCTAGCATGCAAACTATAGAGTCTCACGAATGATTGTCATATATAGTAGGTTTACAGTTTGTTTTTGCACCAAAGGTGGACTTCAAGTCTGTACTACTATGTCAGTGTTATGAATTATGACATGTGCTACGAACTTGAATATGTGAGCATTGAGCATGTGGCACATGCGTTAAATGTGCCTTTGAGATACACTAGTTTCATATAATTATTATTATACTTACTGAGTATTTTTTGGCAAGCATTTTAAATTAATTTCTAGCTTTCTTAATTAGTTAAGAAGCTTATTTGAGTTTATTAGTAACACCATGTGAGACACTCCACCCAGAATCAGGGATCAAGTTTAAATGGATACCTAATTTGATTAAAAGGGGTAGAGGAAGACAAGAAAAAGCTTTTGGTGAAATTATTGAAAAAACAACTTGTTCTAAATTGTTTTATTGAAAATCTTCCTTTTGGTAGAATCCTATGAAGTTTAGTAATCCATGTAATCACCATGGTAGCATCGACTATTCTCTGGTCATTTTAGTATATATAGATATTTCTATGTAACATGTAGAAATGCACCCATAAATAATACACAAATATAAATTTGCATGTATGTTGGCATCTTTAAGTTGTAAAATTAATCCATAAAATAAGTCATAGTTTATGAGGGGTAGTTATTTTAAATTTTAAATATAAAAAGTTCTGAAAATCTGGTACGTTGGTAATTGTTTTAGAATTTTTAGAAATTTTAAATTTTTTAGTATTTAAAAAATAAAAGTGAGAAAGCAGATTTATCAGTGTTCAAAGTGCAACATGCCACAAGTAAAGGTCCATCCAGTATCATAGTATCTACAAAATATAAAAAATGTATGGACGCTGCTCGTCCAAATATACATATATATATACATATATACACACACACACACACACATATATATATATATATATATATATATATATTGAAGTTTGTTTTATGTATTTGTGCATGTGAATGTGTGCATATTGATCTAGTGTCTTTTTTTTTTTTTTTTTATATTTCACTTGAACTTTTTTCTTCTTTTAATATATCTTGTCTATCAATTGCAGGTGTGGGGAAGAGTTGTCTGCTTTTGCGTTTTTCTGATGGTTCCTTCACAACCAGTTTTATCACTACCATTGGGTTAGTATCTGCTGGTTTATTCTTATCCTTCTGAAAATGCTGTAGGATCTGCTTATTACTGTCTTGTGTTATCTGCGATTCTTGTATCAATGTTTCTAATCGGCAGTGACAATATATTATAGTCTAATTAATTAATTAATAATGCTGCCTAGAATATTTGTCCTATTTGACTATATTGTGTTCCGAGTAATTAATAAGACTTCCTGGAATATTTGTTCCATTTCACTTTAATGAAATGTCTAAACTTCATGCTGCATATCAGGGTATCACCATAGTCTATAGCTTATTGTCTGTTTAGTCTCTATTTCACAGAAGCTGATGTATATATTTGTTTGTTGAAGTATTTATTAGATTAAATGTATCTTGTTGGACATTTATGAGATTAGTTGTAGACCTAGTTCCTAGAATGCATCAGTTTATCTTCTCTAGGATTGATCATGTCTCTCTATTAATTGTATCTCTGAATCTGTATTTTTATCTCCTATAAATAAGAGAACACAAGAAGATGATTTCAGGCTCTCAAAATCAGTTCTTTATTTTCTTTTTTTCTATTTCAAGTTGGTATCAGAGCGGGTTCATCCCACTCTGCTTGTCTCTGTTTTTTTTCTGGCATTAATCGCCGTTCACCGCCGTCTGCCGCCGTTCGCCGCCGGTGTTGTCTTCTCCGGCGCCTTTTTCCTCTTTGACATTTGGGTTTGGCTCGCCTCGAGGAGCGTGACCCAACCCCAGTGTTCGCTTCCTCTATCTCTGCCTCACGCGCCACCCTCGTCCGCGGCTTCCTCCGCGCGTGAGCCTCACGCGTCGCCCTCTCGGTGGCTGTTTTGCTCCAGGCCACCTTTATCCGGCTTGCCTCGTCGCCCCTGGTGCCAGATCTGCACTTTGTTTTGTGTTCTCGGTCACAAAACGTGGTGGGTCTGCGTTTTTTTCTCTCTGCCTCTCTCGGTCCTCTCTCTGACAACACGCTGGTCCTTTCTTGTTTCCTGGAAAATGTCAGGACCTGTGTCTGTATCTTTTTCTGGGACTCCGACTATAATCACAGAAAAATTAAATGGAAAAAATTATTTGTCTTGGGCTTCCTCTGTTGAGCTCTGGTTTCTAGGTCAAGGAGTTCATGATCATCTAGAAGAAGATGGAAGTACTATACCAGCAGATCAGGCTCCTTAATGGAAGAAACTAGACTATCAACTTTGTGCATTATTATGGCAATCTGTTGAACCACATATTTTGAGCACTCTTCGAGCCTTCAAGATATGTAATTCTTTTTGGAAAAAGGCCCAAAATATCTTTGCTAACGATATTCAACGACTTTATGATTCTGCTAATAGACTAGCCTCCCTTAAGCAAGAGGATAATTGCATGATGTCCTTTGTTGCTGAAGCTCAGTCAGCTGTTCAAGAATTAAAAATGTTCCTCGAGGCAGAATCATTAGAAGAAAGGAAAACGAAGCTGGATAAATTCTATATGGTAATGATTTTTAGGGCTATGGATTCAGAGTTTAATCATGTTAGAGACCAGATTCTAACTGGAGAAGAAGTTCCTTCTACGGAGAGTTTAATCACAAGGCTACTTCGTGTTTCTTCTATCAAAAGCAAAACCAGTCAGGAGCTTGCTGATTCTTCCGCCATGATTTCTGCTCGTGGAAGAGGTAATCACAACTCTAGAGGACGTGGTGGGAAAGGACGTCCTCAGTGCTCTCATTGCAAAAGAATGGGACATACTAAGGAAAATTGTTTTGCTCTGCATGGCTTTCCTGATAAGGCAGCTAATACCTCAAAATCTGAAGTTGATGAGCCCAAGTTCTCTCATGAAGAGTATCAAGAATATTTAAGGATGAAATCAACTAATTTGGCTCTAGCATCTACAACACCAAATTCGTCAACTGCTTGCATTTCACAATCTGTGGAAAGTTAAAATCCATGGATTATTGACTCAGGTGCTTTTGACCACATGTCTGGTAATACCTCTTTATTTTCCTCTCTTTCATTTCCTAAAACATCCCATCTCATATCTTTAGCTAATGGATCTAAAGTAGCCTCTAAAGGAATTGGTCAAGTATCCATCTCTTCTTCTTTAAACCTTCAAAATGTTCTTTGTGTTCCTTCTTTTCCATTCAGTCTTGTTTCTGTAAGCCAATTAACCAAATCATTGAATTGCTCAGTAACCTTTAATGCCAATTGTTTTGTTATCCAAGAACGTGGTACGAGTCGACTGATTGGAGAAGGACATGAATCTGGAGGCTTATACTACCTTAGGACTAAGTCATCCGTATATTGTGTTGCATCCTTATCCCCAAAGCTGTTACATGAGCGATTAGGGCATCCTCATTTAGCAAAATTGAAAAAAATGGTTCTCGAACTTGGAACCTTCAAACTTTTGAATGTGAATCCTGTCAACTAGGGAAACATACCAGGTCATCCTTTCCAAATCATTCTGAATCTAGATGTGATTACGCTTTTAGTATTGTTCATTCGAGATATATGGGGACCTAGTCGTGTTTCATCTTTTGGTTTTAGATATTTTGTTACTTTAATTGATGGGTTTTCTAGATGTACTTGGGTTTATCTTATGAAAGATCGTTCTGAACTATTGCCTATCTTTAAGTATTTCCTTAATGAAATCAAAACTCAATTTGGAAAAGTAATCAAAGTTTTACGAAGTGATAATGCCAAAGAGTACTTTTCTAATGATTTTACTGATGTCCTAAATTCTCAAGGCATTTTACACCAGTCCACGTGTCCTCACACACCACGACAAAATGGTATAGCGAACGAAAAAATAGACATTTGGTTGAAAGCTGCTCGTACCTTATTCTTTGGGTGCCAATATGCCTATTCATCATTGGGGAGATGCTATAGAATGTCATCTTCTTTTCTTGATAATAAACTTTCACACTCTATTCTATTTCCAAAGGAACCAATTTTTCATGTTTCTCCTAGGGTATTTGGATGTATATGTTTTGTTCATGACATGTCTCGTGGCTTAGATAAACTCTTACCTAGAGCTATCAAATGTGTCTTCTTGGGGTATTTTCGTCTTCAAAAAGGATATCGGTGTTATTCTCCTGAAACCAAGAGGTACTACATGTCTGCTAATGTCACCTTTTTTGAATCATCATCCTTCTTCCCTTATTCTATGCAGGATATTGATTCTGTCCAAAATGTGTTTCCTATTCCCTTAGTTGAATCAGTTGTACCTCCTATTCCTGACACCCCAAATCCCAACCAAAATACTCTAGAATCAGCATCACAGCCTATCATCACCTATCAACGTAGGAACCAGGTGAACAATCCCATTCCCCAAGATGAGCCATCCATAACAGGTCCTTCACCATCATCCTCTATTACCACGGCTCCTGATAACGATGACTCCAGTTAGCCCATTGTCACTCGCAAAGGTACTCGTTCTACTCATAATCCTCATCCCATTTACAATTTTCTTAGTTATCATAGATTGTCTCCTTCCTATTGTTCTTTTATTTCCTCTATCTCCTCTATTACAATTCCCACATCATCACCTATCAACGCAGGAACCAGGTGAACAATCCCATTCCCCAAGATGAGCCATCCATAACAGGTCCTTCACCATCATCCTCTAATACCACGGCTCCTGATAACAATGACTCCAGTTGGCCCATTGTCATTCGCAAAGGTACTCGTTCTACTCGTAATCCTCATCCCATTTACAATTTTCTTAGTTATCATAGATTGTCTCCTTCCTATTGTTCTTTTATTTCCTTTGTCTCCTCTATTACAATTCCCAAAAATGTGGTCGAAGCGCTTGATAATCCTAGATGGCCACAAGCCATGATTTCTGAAATGCAGGCTCTTGATCACAGCAAAACATGTGAGCTTGTTCCTCTCCCTTCGGGAAAGAAAACAGTTGGTTGTCGTTGGATCTATGCTATTAAAGTTGGGCCCAATGGTTAGGTTGATCGTCTTAAAGCAAAGTTAGTGGCTAAAGGGTATTCTCAAATATATGGACTTGATTATTGTGATATTTTTTCTCCAGTAGCCAAAATGACCACTGTCCGCCTGTTCCTTGCCATGGCCGCCATTCGTCATTGGCCTCTTCATCAATTGGATGTTAAAAATGTTTTTTTGCACGGTGACTTGGAAGAAGAAGTTTACATGGAGCAACCTCCTGGATTTGTTGCTCAGGGGGAGTCTGGTTTGGTTTGTAAATTACGTCGATCCCTCTATAGCCTAAAACAGTCTCCACGTGCTTGGTTTGGAAAATTCAGCTCTATTGTTCAAGCTTTTGGATTAAAACGCAGCGTGTTTTATTGTCACACTGCCCCTGGCAAACATGTTTATTTAATTGTGTATGTTGATGATATTGTCATCATAGGGAATGATGCTACTAAAATATCTCAGCTAAAAGAGCACTTGTGTAGTCATTTTCAGACCAAGGATCTTGGAAATCTAAAATATTTCTTGGGTATTGAAGTAGCTCCATCAAGAGAAGGTATTGTCATCTCTCAAAGGAAGTATGCTCTAGATATTCTAAAAGAGACAAGTATGATTGATTGCAAACCTGTGGACAGTCCTATGGATCCAAATTTGAAGTTAATGGCAGGACAGGGTGAAGTTTTCTCTGACCCAGAAAGATATAGAAGACTGGTTGGGAAACTTATTTATTTGACAATTACTAGACCTGATTTGTCTTTTGCGGTTAGTGTTGTCAGCCAATTTATGCAAGCTCCTTGTGTGGATCATTGGAATGCTATCATTCGAATCTTAAGATACATTAAAAAAGCTCCAGGACAAGGATTATTATATGAAGATAAGGGAAATACCCAAATTTTTGGGTACTGTGATGCTGACTGGGCTCGATCTCTTAGGGATAGGCGTTCCACTACATGTTATTGTGTTTTCCTTGGAGGAAATATCATTTCATGGAAAAGTAAAAAGCAAAACGTTGTTGCCCGATCCTCTGCTGAAGCTGAATATAGGGCAATGGCGTCTCTTACTTGTGAACTTGTTTGGGTAAAACAATTCTTGCAAGAATTGAACTTCTGTGAGATTCAATCTATGAAGATGTATTATGATAATCAAGCTGCTCTTCACATTGCTTCCAACCCAGTATTTCATGAGAGGACTAAGCATATTGAGATTGACTGTCATTTTATTCGGGAGAAGTTGTTGACTAAAGAAATTTGTACTGAGTTTGTTGGTTCTAATGATCAGCTTGCAGATGCATTAACAAAATCTTTGAGAGGACCTCGAATGGAATTCATTTGTTCCAAGCTTGGTACATTCAATTTGTATGCTCCAGCTTGAGGGGGAGTATTGAAGTATTTATTAGATTAAATGTATCTTGTTGGACATTTATGAGATTAGTTGTAGACTTAGTTCCTAGAATGCATCTGTTTATCTTCTCTAGGATTAATCATGTCTCTCTATTAATTGTATCTCTGAATCTGTATTTTTATCTCCTATATTAAATAAGAGAACACAAGAAGATGATTTCAGGCTCTCAAAATCAGTTTTTTATTTTCTTTTTTTCTATTTCAAGTTTGTTGATGGAAATAAAACCAAGTTATGTACTGTATTTGGCAGCATTGATTTTAAGATAAGAACCATTGAACTTGATGGCAAACGCATTAAGTTACAAATCTGGGATACAGCTGGTCAGGAACGATTTCGAACTATTACAACAGGTATTTTTTTTTTTTTTTGCAACCTAGCTAATTGGATATGTTTGAAGTTTAAACACATTTTATTTTAAGTTTATACATATAGAAGGCACAGAAATTTAATCGCATTTCATAACCCATAAATTTAAAGTGAACATGTAGTTCCTTTACGCATACACTGAAGACAATACTTTAGTTTAATAGGCTGGCTGTCTTGTTACCCAATAATTGATCAGACGTTACTGTCATTTAAGTTCCTTATGTGGATAAATGTCCTACTTTAATTCCATGCTACTTGGTTTTGTAGCTTATTACCGTGGAGCCATGGGCATCTTACTCGTTTATGATGTTACTGATGAGGCATCTTTCAACAGTAATCTCCTTCACATTCAAATTCTTCTGATGTTTTTCTGTAATTATTTATGGACAAGTACACGAGATTTCTCATATACTTCTTTTCAGCTGCAGCTGACCCTTCAAATTGTGTTTTCTTCTTTTTTCCCCTCTTTCCCCATTATCTTGTTAACATGGACCATCTTGCTCTCTATTTAGGTTGAACTATGTGGACAAATGATTCTATTTTTATGGTTAAGTTTCTTTTATCCATTTTTCATTCCTTCGTTTTTAACATATCTTTCTTTATCTGTTAAGATATTAGGAATTGGATTCGCAACATTGAACAACATGCTTCTGACAATGTAAACAAGATACTTGTGGGTAACAAGGCTGATATGGATGAAAGTAAAAGGGTATGTACCTCGAGGCTCCCGGCTTGGAGCAGATGATATATGATTGACTCTACTCAACCCACATTTGTTCACTACTATAGTGCTATGACTTTGAACATTTTTTGTGCTTGTCTCTTTAAATTGGTGTTGTCTATATTCCATGTATTCCAACAAAGGGTCTTTTTTCTCCTCTAGGCTGTGCCTACCTCCAAAGGTCAAGCTCTTGCTGATGAGTATGGAATCAAGTTTTTTGAAACCGTGAGTAGAGCGTGTTTGATAATCACATTATCATTTAATAAAATATGTGTCTTCATTATAGTTACAATGGAAGGTCTCTCTTGCAGAGTGCAAAGACAAACATGAATGTGGAAGAGGTTTTCTTTTCAATAGCGAGAGATATTAAGCAAAGGCTTGCTGACACAGATTCTAAGGCCGAGGTATGTTTACATTTTTGTCTTTCATTTTAACCCAATTTTTATTTCTTTTCCGAAAGACAGATGTTGCCATCATCAAATTTTGGTGTTTTAAAGCTTACTAAGGGAAAATCTGAGGGGTTTTAATTCTAACTTTTGAAGCAAGTGCATGGCAGTGTTGTTTCTTTCTTAATCCTGAATGATGATAGTATCTTCTTTTGTGGTTCAGCCTCAGACTATCAAGATTAACCAACCAGACCAAGCAGGCAGCGGGGGTCTAGCTGCTCAAAAGTCAGCTTGCTGTGGTTCATGAAAAAAATAGAATCTGCGGTTAGAGGGTGCAGATTCAACACTTGCCCTTTTATGGGTGCTATAGTTATTTTGATGACCTTAGAAGTGGGAACATGTATTTGTCCTTGTATTTCCCAACTGCAAAGATTGTGTTTTGAAGTTAGTGTTTAAAATTTCGCTTACTTAGTTGTTGTCGGATTTGTTGTGATTAGTTCATTTACTCTACTCTTCTCTTTCATTTGTACTCTATTAAAAAAATATCTTTCGATTGGATTGAGATTGATTATTACAAAAACTTTTATCTGTTGCAAACAATATTCCAAACGGTCTTATAGTGAATGTTTTGCAAGTCTTTCAAAAGTATCTTTAGAACAAGCACACGAAACAAGTTTTTCCTCAAGTGTGGTTGGATTATATAAATTAACTCATTAACAATTGAAACTTTCTTATATTATTATTAAATGTGTATTTCTACACTTACAATATATCTGTATATAATACAGCATTAAAAATAACTTATGTGGATATTTTTGCAGTAAGATTTTAAACATAGTATATATTTATCCTTTAATTATTTTGGTGTCGGGAAATAGTTGAAGTTTGTGAGTGGTAAATAAAATAAAATGGTGGTAAGATAGATTACTTCAAGATTTTCCAGTAATCTTTGGAGATTTTTTTATTTTTGAAAAAAAATGTAATCTTCATGATCTCGTTTTCTTGGAAAGAAAATTTATATGTAGTAATTTGAAAACTAGTGTTAGTCAATTTATTATTAATGATAATTAATTATATTATTTTTTTAGTGAATATATAAATTTATAGCAGACGAATCAAGCTATTTTTCAAATCATAATTAATTATTTTTATAAGTGATATTTGAAAAAGTTTTAAAATAATCAATTGTTTCTTCACATAACTTATTTTTAATTAATTCTAAATTTAAGACAATCTATCACATACAATTTATGATTTTTTTTCCTATTACAGTATTTTTATTTGATTATAAAAAATAAATATTATAAAATTAAATAAATAAGTAATTCAAGTTCAATTTTCTAAAAATGGTTAATCTTAATACTTGATCATATAATTAGCCGTGAAAATAGTGCATTCACATCATCAAAATAATTTTATGTAGGAAGGGTTTGTGACCAATAAATATAATCTTACTGTTGAATGAAAAGTAATGTAAAATGAGATTATAGTTATTTTTTTATCATTAAAAAATCATTTATCATAATCTATCAGAAATGAAAACCAATATACATATTTAATTATGAAATATCGGTAGGTTATTGAATATTGTGAATTACCTGAAAATAGGATATTCTAAATTAAGCAATCAAAGAGTTTTATAAAATATTTTTTATGAATAAAAAATTTATAATTACTTTAAAAATATATCATATATTAAAAAAATTACTTATAAATTATAAGAATGATTGATATTTTTATGAATATAATCTACTATAAAGAATAGAAACATGATTTGAATTGAAATATTGATACACTCTTATTCTGAAGTTAATTTTCAATAGAAAATCACATGATTATACAACAGAAGGGTGTAAATAGGAGCCATGAAAATTGAATAAGGGTTCGAGAAAAGAGAGAAAGGGGCGCACAAGGCTCGTTCATTCTCTTGTTGGTGAGACTGGCTACACGCAGCCAACGTGGAAGAGAAACCTAAATTCGTTCAAAGCGTTGAATTTTCTATCATCCCCGATAAAATAGCAAAACACTCTTATCAATCCTAACTCACTCGCTTCTCTTCAACGCAACTAGGGCTTCTTCTTTATCAGTTACCTTAATATTTCATCATTCTCTTCACTCCAATTCTTCACAGCACAATTCAACCGTTCTCGCCTTCCACTCGATCCTATGTAAATTCTTAACCGAACAGCATTTTATTCTTATTTTCCTTCTGTTATTATTTTAAAAAAAATATTTTTTTTGTTTAACTATTCTCTGGGTGTATGTGTATTGTTGTCACAGATGTGTTGAGGCGATAGGATCTCATTGGTGATAGTGAGAGGCATCATCTTCATCAAGCATGGCATGGTTTAGAGCTGGAACAAGCATAGCAAAACATGCAATTAGGAGAACCCTTTCAAAGGGTGGATCCGCATGCCTTGTATCAAGGGCAAGGATCCTTCCATCATCGTCAACATCACGTAGCAGAAGCTTCCACAGTACGGTTTTCAAATCAAAGGCACAAGCTGCACCTGTTCCACGTGCGGTTCCTCTTTCAAAGTTAACTGACAGTTTCTTAGATGGCACGAGCAGTGTGTATTTGGAAGAACTTCAGAGGGCTTGGGAGGCAGATCCCAACAGTGTTGATGAGTCGTGGGATAATTTCTTCAGAAACTTTGTGGGGCAGGCCGCAACGTCACCTGGACTTTCTGGTCAGACAATTCAGGAGAGTATGAGGTTGTTGTTGCTTGTGAGGGCATACCAGGTTAATGGCCACATGAAGGCCAAGTTGGATCCCTTGAATTTGGAAACAAGGGAAATCCCTGAGGATTTGGACCCTGCACTCTATGGCTTCTCTGAGGCTGATCTTGACAGGGAATTCTTCCTGGGGGTGTGGAGGATGGCTGGTTTCTTGTCCGAGAACCGCCCCGTGCAAACCCTTAGATCCATTCTGACAAGGCTTGAACAAGCCTATTGTGGAAGCATTGGATATGAGTATATGCACATTGCAGATCGGCATAAGTGCAATTGGCTTAGGGACAAGATTGAAACACCCGCCCCTACACAGTTTAATAGGGAGAGGCGCGAGGCTATCTTTGATAGGCTTGCTTGGAGTTCTTTGTTCGAAAATTTTTTGGCCACCAAGTGGACCTCTGCAAAGAGGTTTGGGCTTGAGGGTGGAGAAACTCTAATTCCTGGAATGAAGGAAATGTTTGATAGAGCATCTGATCTTGGGGTCGAGAGCATAGTTATAGGAATGGCACATAGGGGGAGGCTGAATGTTTTGGGAAATGTGGTTAGGAAACCGCTGCGTCAGATTTTCTGCGAGTTTAGCGGTGGCCTTCAGCCTGAGGATGAACTTGGACTCTACACTGGAACTGGTGATGTTAAATATCACCTGGGGACGTCGTATGATCGCCCTACTCGGGGTGGCAGAAGGATTCATTTGTCTTTGGTCGCAAATCCTAGTCACTTGGAAGCTGTCAATCCAGTTGTTGTTGGGAAAACTCGTGCCAAGCAGTATTACTCAAATGATGTGGATAGAACCAAGAACATGGGTGTGTTGATTCATGGAGATGGAAGTTTTGCTGGACAGGGTGTAGTCTATGAAACTCTGCATTTAAGTGCTCTCCCAAATTACACCACTGGTGGGACTATTCACATTGTGTTTAACAACCAGGTTGCATTTACAACTGATCCAACGTCTGGCAGGTCTTCGCAGTATTGCACTGATGTTGCCAAGGCTTTGGATGCTCCCATCTTTCATGTGAATGGCGATGATGTGGAAGCAGTTGTTCATGCCTGTGAACTTGCTGCTGAGTGGCGCCAGACTTTCCACTCCGATGTGGTTGTCGACTTGGTGTGTTATCGTCGATTTGGCCACAATGAGATTGATGAACCATCTTTCACTCAGCCTAAAATGTACAAGGTTCGCCCTTTTATTTGTTCTGTTTTTCTTCTTTTTCTGTGCATATTGCTTTTAGACAAGTTAATTAATTTGCCACCTTTTGGGGCTGATAGGTAATCCGAAGCCATCCATCAACTCTTGAGATCTATCAGAAGAAGCTTTTGGAATCAGGGGAGCTGTCACAAGAAGAAATTGATCAGATACACAAGAAGGTCACATCAATTCTAAATGAAGAATTTTTGGCTAGCAAAGATTACATTCCAAAAAGAAGAGATTGGCTTTCAGCATATTGGCTTGGTTTCAAGTCTCCTGAACAGCTTTCACGTATCCGAAACACTGGGTACACCAAATTTATGTTCTACCTGTTCGAATCTTTTTTATTGTTTGAACAAAAATGCTGAAGTCTATGTCGCCTATTCCATGCAGTGTGAAACCAGAGATCTTGAAAAATGTTGGGAAAGCAATCACGACCATCCCTGAAAATTTCACACCTCATAGAGCGGTGAAGAGGATTTATGAACAACGAGCTCAAATGATTGAAACTGGGGAAGATATTGACTGGGGATTTGCAGAGGCACTTGCTTTTGCCACCTTGCTAATTGAGGGCAACCATGTTCGATTAAGTGGTCAGGATGTTGAAAGAGGAACTTTTAGTCACAGGCATGCTGTGGTTCACGATCAGACAACAGGGGATAAATATTGCCCCCTTGACCATGTTATAATGAACCAAGATGAAGAGATGTTCACTGTTAGCAATAGGTAATATTTCTTCGAGTTATATATAATTATCTTGCCCGTTTCTGCTTTGTTACTGTTATATCACTGGTGTCCTTGTTTTTGGATATAGTAAAGGTTGTCCTTCTGTTCCATTGACTCTGACTTCTGGGTGTTATAATTTAAGAAGTACGTCACAAAGTTACAATGACACTGTTTCACTTAACAGTTATTATGTATTCCCTGTTTTTCAATCATTAATTAATAGAATGGTCTTTTGTGATGATTATAACCTATCGATAGTCTCTTATGCTTCTATACGTAGAAAATACTTGTTTATGCATGTCAACCATTTACTTCTACCTTAGTCATTCATGAGGCGTAAGCATCTTAATTTTGGATTAGTACTTCTCAATTTAGTTTTAATTTGTAGCCTGATTTTTTTTGTGCACTGTATAGAATTTTGTTTGAATTGATTAATGAAACAGGAGTGTATAAAATGTGGGTTGCATTTCATATATTGTATTTAATAATTGGAATAATATGTAAGTCCCAAGTAAAGGTTATTGATCATTTAGGAATGTCATATGGATTACTCTAATGATTTACGCATGGCATTTGCTATCTTATTAATTATAAGTAATTGAAAATGCCAGATCAGTTTAGCTTTTCATCATGTAAAAAGAATTCCTTCAAGATTACATTTGATACGAAACTTTTTGTAAACCATCTGCAATTTTGGTTGGACTTTGCTTCTTTGTTAATATACTTACTTTTCTAGCCTCTAATGTGCTTTACATATTCATGGCTTTGTTCTTCAGATGTTAAACACTTCTTATGTGTCTTCTTCTGGAAGTCAAGATTGCATCTTAAAATATTATAAAAATGGCAGTGTAATCCACTTGATACATTAAAAGGAAAAAGGAAAAAAAAAAAAACGCTGGTTACATACATTTAACCCATGATTTATTATTTTTGGTGTCTTATCTAAGAATTTTTTTAAAACTATGCAGCTCACTTTCCGAGTTTGGTGTTCTTGGATTTGAATTGGGTTACTCAATGGAAAATCCCAATTCATTGATAATTTGGGAGGCTCAGTTTGGAGATTTTGCTAATGGTGCTCATGTGATATTTGACAACTTCTTGGCTTCTGGTGAGGCTAAGTGGCTCCGTCAGACTGGGCTTGTGGTCTTACTTCCTCATGGTTATGATGGCCAGGGTCCAGAGCATTCAAGTGCAAGATTGGAACGCTTTCTTCAGGTTCTTTTGTGAATCTATGCTATAACTTATAATGAAAATAGTTTTGAGCTTTTGTCCCATCTGGTTGCGAACTTTGGCTGTTGTCTGCTCTCCACGCAAGTTTTGTTGTATATTTTGGTTAATGAGATTGATGAAAAGCATATTGGTGGTTCTAGTGCATCCTATTATATATATATATGTGTGTGTGTGTGTGCTTTGGGATTGATATGTCAACTTGAACTATAAGTGGCACTGTGATATAAAAATTAATGTTATGTGTTCAAGATTCAATTGGAAGGTATGCGACTTATGTTTCACATTGGAAGTATGAGATTCTAGTTTTGTTGACGAGTCCTTGGGCTCTCCAACTATAATGACTAAATTTTGTGGTGTGGTTCTCCCAAGGTTCTTGTCAATCTGCATCCTCTAATTGTTTCATGCTGATACTATAAATACTGATTGTGCATAGTTACAGTAGTATGTGAGGGATACTTTGGTTTGAGAGAGAAAATTGAAAGAATTTGGATAGATAAGAAATGCTGAGAAAATATGTACATTATTTATTATGAGTGAAATATGAAATAAAGTGGAGAAAAAAGGGTAAATTTCTCTCATTTGTTTTGTTGAATAAAAAATGAAAAGAGAAAAAATAAGTTTAAACAAATACTTAGGCATGTAATATATATTTTATAAAAATAATATTAATAGGAAATGTGGAGATATTTAAGATAAGTATGGAAATAGAATTTGGAACTCCCTTCTTCTCAGGAATCTTGTCAAGATTGGAAAATGTGACACCCAATGTCAATGGAGCGACATTCAAACTGAAACCAGACTTGTGGGCTATAGTACAGAAGGAAAACCTTAAAAAAGGAACTATCTTCTGTGAAATTTAGCTTGTTGTGTAAAACAAGCTATTAACTTAAACAATGCTATCTTACTGCCTATTTAGGAACTGCTTTTTAGTCTAGTTGTATGTGTTCCATCTCTCTATTTGATCTGAATAGTATTGAAATAACAAATGTTCACTAATTTTTATGGCAGATGGCTGACGACAACCCTCATGTTATCCCTGAGATGGATCCAACTCTTCGAAAGCAGATTCAAGAGTGTAATTTGCAGATTGTGAATGTCACAACTCCTGCTAATTTTTTCCATGTTCTAAGGAGGCAGGTTGGTACAATAAATTGATTTATATTTGGTAATTAATGGGGCTGAGGCCCAAAAAGTAGGGAAGCATTGGATGTACTGCAGGAGTAAAGAACCAATATCCATCCTGCATAACTCACTTCTGGTGAAGATTTTGAGATTTCCAAGCCATCACAATACCCCAGAGAAACTACTAACTTCTGAAAACTCCTATCTAACCTCCATGGGATTGATTCTAGTTTCCATAATCACTAGCAAATCTGGATGTTGGAATCTGAAAAATGCACCCAATAACAGAAGAAATCACTAATAGCAGTTCTACAACAGTTGTGAAGAAAACTACTTTTTACTAGTCTATGATCAATATTCATATTAGACTCCCAACAACTGCCAAACCAGTAATATCCATATCATTATGTAACTCCAGAATATGGTTATCATGAGTGGATGAAATACACCTAACTCATTGCTAGTTTAGGCATGTACTCAGTACTCTTCAATGTCGAAATTAGAATTAAGATGTTGAGCCAGAGGTTCTCCATTAGGGATTGGATGCTCAGCCTGCTCTTCATCTGTCTCCTCTTCTTTTAAACTTCATCCTGTCATCATGATCCCTTTCATCACCTAAAACCATATCCTTACAAGTCTTTCTAGAGTGTCCTTTGGTGTCTTCCATTGGTCCCTCAACCACACCTTTGGTGCCTTCATGCTCCTAGCCAACTGATCTGCTTACTCTGTTGAGAGCTCTTGTTTTTCCATGATAGGGAGAGCTTTGTTGTCCTCTAATTTCATACCAATTAATTGGTTTAATGGTGGCTTCATAACTTAACTTATGTTCCTTATCATCTATACTCTGCTGCGTTTGTTCTTGCAGGTACATAGAGAATTCCGTAAACCTCTCATTGTAATGTCCCCTAAGAACCTGCTTCGTAGTAAGGCTTGTCGATCAAATTTATCTGAGTTTGATGATGTTCAAGGCCACCCAGGTTTTGACAAACAGGGAACAAGATTTAAGCGTCTCATAAAAGACCCAAACTATGACACAGATGTTGAGGGGGGTGTTAGAAGATTAGTACTTTGCTCCGGAAAGGTATGTAGTACTCATCCGAAACTGACTTTTCATTATGAACTTCCATCTGGTGGACTCGATTAAAACCATATTTAAGCTACTTCAATTACTTTAAAATATGTCTGGGGTATGCATTGCTTGTTAAATATGCTTTTTGAAATTATAAAATGCAACTTTCTCTTGCAGGTTTACTATGAGCTTGATGAACAACGAACAAAGGTTGATGCAAAGGATGTTGCAATATGTAGGGTGGAACAGCTTTGCCCTTTCCCTTATGACCTTGTCCAACGAGAGCTTAAGCGATATCCAAGTATGTACTTGTAGAATTAGGAAATGTTGCTTCGAATTCTGATTTTTTTTTATATAATTTGGACACCTAATTTTGTTATTTGTCCGTCCGCTATAGACTGTTTAAATTTCCTAACTTTATTGATGCATCTTTTACTATATAGTTTCACCCACTGGGAGATAATTTTACTTTTTGCTATTAAGTAGGGCTAACTATTTTGCAATAGGAGGGTATATCTATTTTTCCACATTTTTTATAAAAGAGTGTGTTTTTAGACTTGTGTTATTTGTGAATGCATCTTATATTCTGTTTTGATTCTTATATAGATGCGGAGGTTGTTTGGTGTCAAGAAGAGCCAATGAACATGGGTGGATACACTTACATTTTGCCCCGACTTGTATCTTCAATGAAAGCTGTGAGTAGAGGAGGTTATGATGATGTGAAATATGTTGGTCGTGCTCCATCTGCAGCCACAGCCACTGGTTTCCTCAAGGTTCACCAGAAAGAGCAGGCTGAGATTGCTGAGAAAGCCCTTCAACAAGACCCAATCGACTTCCCTTATTGAAAAAGCTATTGCCGTTGATTATGCATCCATCTTTTTTCAGAGTGGTAATAATGCATTTGGTTTAAGTTATCCACATAAGGAGCTATAGGTGGAAGGAAGGTGACTTCATGCATTCGCTTTAGTTTTGACCTTTTATGTTTTTTTGGTTCCTTACAAGATGTCAACTAAGCTAAATTTCAACATACGCACAGGTGGTTGCCTTACTGGTTGTATTGAGGCTTTGATATTTATACCTTTGGTCATACTGTGTAATTTGGAAACTCATCTTCAATAATTTTTTGACAATGTAATTTCATTTTCCAGAGGCATGCCTTGGTAGTATAGCCTCCGGATCATGGTCAACAGTTCCTCAAATAAGATTTTTTTTCCCTCAAAAGTTCTCTTTATACCATAAATTCAAAATCAACTTTGACATGGTTCCCCAGTCAATTTAAGTTCACCTATTTATCTTTGTCCGGTAATGTCCTCTTGATCAATGTGTTGTATTTTGCTAGTAGTTGGATAACGTCGGTTCCCAATTCAGACATTGGGGATCTGCAACAATATACTCTAACAACCCTAGCGGTTAATATGTTACAACCAAATTGGAATTGGAATGGTGACATTGCAGTATCCCTCTAAGCTGGAACTACCAAGCTTTGTTGTGCTTCTTCAAAAAGAAATCTAAGTTTAGAAAATAGGAATGGAAGATCGTCAAATTGGCCAAAGTTTAACCTTCATAATAGTGTAATCCGTCATAAATTTGTGGATGCCGAGGTTGATAATACGATGTCTTCTACCTATAAAATCTTGTCTCTTGTTTCTTTCAGACATTAAGTAAAGCTTATTTAATATTTTTCAAGAAAAAGAGTAATATGAATATGGCTTTCACTTTTGGTCGTGATGATCTCTCCAAGAAAACGTAATGACATGTTTTGAGTTGTTCATAATGTTGGTCTGGCAGGTGGAGTCGACGAGGTTTGTACGTGGAAGGACTAAAATATAAAGATTTAACAATTATTAAAATAAATGTTACTTTGTTTCATCAAGTAAATAGGTGTCAACCACTGGTGGTCCAAAACTAGACTAGTAAACCAGAAAGCGGTTGTAGAACATGATTTTCGTAATCGGAAGTGTGAAACAGTAACACGTTAGATCTTGAAAATAATAGCATTGAATCTTGAAATATAAACACGTCTTTTGATCTCTAAACATACATTGATTTTATCACTTTAATCACTTTTTTTAATTTTAACTGATGATAAATTGCACTTTCATATACTTGAAGAGAAATGTATCAACACGTTTTATAATTTTGTGAACTAACATGTTGGTTTACTTAGATTTAAACGTGTGGGAGATATTAATATCTATACGAGTTCCCAATCAGGGGATATTAGCACTTGGCAGTTTACAGGAAAGAAAGATGTTAACAGTGTGAAGTTTGACGTACGTTAGAGGCATATGCATAAGCAAAAATTATAAAATACTGCAACAACAGTGCCCGACAGGAACATACAAGTGATTGTCAAATTTCCACACGGAACAGGAATACACCCTCTACTCTCCTATGTAACAACCACTATTCAACTTTGTTAAGGTTCCAACATAAAACCAATTGGCAATATGTGGAGTAGCCTAACATGTATTTAAACCATACCAAATGATATGAGGTAGGCGATGTGGGACTTTCAACACACCCCCTCCAACGAAGCCTGCCGGACCAGGCAAAGGGTACTTTTGACCCAACTAAAGGGCAACTTTTGGCCCATGACAATAACCGGAAAGATGTTAGGCTTTGGCTCTGATACCATGTTAAGGTTCCAACATAAAACCAATTGGCAATATGTGGAGTAGCCTAACATGTATTTAAACCATACCAAATGATATGAGGTAGGCGATGTGGGACTTTCAACAAACTTCATACATGGTAGATGGGATGGGATGGGTTACCACCCGCAAAATTGACATGACAACCTTAATATTGGATGGAATCTCTTTAAAGATTCGCTAAGGAACACAGTTAGCAAAGAATTAGTCAAGGGTGACACATCAGCAAATTGTGATGGCACGAATAACACTGAACAACAAAAAGACATCTTCATTACCATAAATAAAACACTCAAGTTCCTACAAGAGGTATCCGCTAAAACTTTTCAGTTTTAAATGGTCTTTTAAACTATCAAGATGCCAATCACTCACTATGAACAGATTACATATCTACCACTGCTCTGAACTTTCAAGAAGAAAATTGAACTCAAGACGGAATTATCACTTCATCCTTTCCATAGATACGTTGAAGCTCCCTAGTAGCAGCTTGGTATGATGCTGATAAGGGGGGAAATCGATTAGATGTAAATAGATTGAAGAATTTGTGTTGTTTTTATATCTATAAGCATGGATAATTGAAGCAAAGACATGGTCATCCAGATGTTCTCAACAACAACTAAGCAAACTGAAAACTCTTGTTACCTTTCCATATTCGAAAGTTCTTTTGGTTGATGGTAGAGCCAGTCACATTTTGAATTGCATCAAAAAGCATCTCCTGAGGAGTGTTTTTCAGCTCTTGAACAACCGCATAGATGGTTTTTCCATTCTCAAAGTATATGTGATTATTAGGGTGTTTTGTCTTGGCACCAGCATGACGCTCAAACTCATATGCATTAAGAGCCTTCATGACAAAATTTAACATATAAGCACAATCGCGTCGGTAATGCAGATTATCAGAATGTTAGTGATTCGAAATGCCAACCTTTGACTGCTTGCAGTCATCACATGAACACAAATACCCAGTTCCTTTGATGATTCCTTTAAGACTTTTCTGCCAAGCATATTCTTGAAAATGTTAAAAACGAAATATAAACTACAATAGCTCAGAAATGAAGACGAAATTAAAAAACACTTTACCTCCCGAGACCATGAAACATATTTCACCTGAACACCATCAAAAATACCAGTTGACAGTAAACTTTTGACATTTGAAGGGAAGTTGTTAGTTGGAGCCTTCTTGGTTGTTGTCTTAGGCTCTTTGTTCTTAACGACAATATCATTTTTAGTATTGGGTTTTGGAATGCTATTTATAAGTGATTCAGTGTTTGATTCAGTCAGATCGTTCTGACTATCCAAACCTTGAGCTGAGTTCTGGCTTCCTATCAACAGATCATAGCCACTGATGATTCCACCAGAGGGATTTGCTTCAGGGTCGTCATGAAAACCTCCAAAAGATATGGTACTGCTCTGACCCTTATGGTGATTTTGGCCCACAGGTAAAGAGCTAGAATCTCCTCTGTCATATGATGAAACTGTTGATGCAATATTTGAATCCACCTTATCATATGTTGGACCCATTGATATTAGATGATCAGTACCCTTGTCATAAGGAGCGACGGTAATGAAATTTTCTCCAGATTTACCATATGTTGGACCAATTGATATAAAGCTCTCATGCCCCTTGGAATATGAGGTGCCCAGAGATATTAAATTGCCATCATCTTTCTCATATGATTGACCCATTGATATGAAACTTGCATCTCCCTTGTCAAAGGGCTGACCCATTGATAAGATACTTTCATCTCCCTTGCCATAATTGTGGCCCATCAGCATAAAACCCCCATCCCCTTTATTGAAGGTATGAGCCACTGAAAGAAGATTGTCATCAGTCTTACTACTTATTCTGGTCCCCATGCCAATGGTGTTGTCATTTCTATTGTCATAAGTAGGACCCAACGAAATATTGCCATCATTCTTATTGTAGCCATCACCTACTGAAATTGTACTATTATCTTCCCTGCTATAGGAGTGGCCCATGGATGAAGCAGGCATGCAATTGTCAGAATCTCTGACTTGATTAACTTTAACTTTTCTGATGCCACCAAAATTGAGACATGATGAAGGGTCTGCAATGGAATGAGATATTGACAATCCCACAGAAGGATCATTACCATATTGATGCTCAAAATCCTTCCTTCCCATGTTCATATTTCCACTCACAATAGATGGCACGTTCTTATCAACCAAATTCACAGTTCTAGCAAGATCAGATCCAAAAAGACGGTCAGAAAATTGACCCGTGACAGAGTGAAATCCTGAATTGGTGTCCCATTGGGAAACATTCACATGTGAAACTCCTGAAATTGGCCTACCACTAACATCTTCAACTGCTTGTTTCTTGTTGCTGAATATTTCAGGTTCACCTGTATCCATAAACCACTGATGACTACGCTTGGGTTCAATTCTGGAAGAATTGTCATATCCCACATTTTCTTCAGCCATGCAGCCAGCATCCCGTGGCATCCAAAAGCTTTTATGCTGATAAGACTGCAAAATTTCACAGCTTAGCATGTTCATCTTATTTGACAGAATGCAATATTGAAAAATAAATAGATACCGACTGTTGAAGAATCAAAGACAAAGATCGTGGAAGAAATGCAAACTTTTTAGCATAGATATCCTTAAAACAAATTCAGTATCAAAATCATTGAAACAGAAAACCACATTAATTATCACATAGATAATCAATATATAGCACTTCAGGATTTCATAAATACTAAGAAATATAAAGAGTCAGCAATTCTCAAACACGCTACATGTAACCTCAATTTCAGAAAATTAAATTTGGAACTAGTCTTAATACATGATATTTAGTCAGAATTACAATTACTAAAAACCTAAATATCACTGATCTTCCAGCAGAGAAAACTTACTATCTTATAATAGATGCAAAAAGTACTTTTCAATACAGGTCCATTAGAAACAGTCGTTCATATAATTTCAACACAATTTTTTTGAGTATGACATTTTATGGAAATGAGCTGCTCCTTTTCTTTGTTCATTCATTAATGAAAAATGCATCAAGGGAGAAGATGTGAGATTCTCCACTTAATAGGAATGTACCCAGCCCAGCAGAGTGGGAGGTACAATTGTACAAGTGAGAAACAAAATCGGTAAAATTCAAGACAGTGAGAGGAAAGAGAATTTGTCATGGGGAGGCAGCAGTAGCAAACACATATACAATATAGAAAGTGGGCAGTGTAGGCATTTGGTTTTGTATAGTTGAGGATTACAGATGAGGCTTGGGGCATCTCAGCAAGAAGCAATATTCCTCAGGAGGACAGACCATGTGATTCTCAGTCCCTATCTAATTGCCTATATTCATTTTTCTGTGATGATATTGGCAACCCGAGTTTTGCTTCCATTTATTTTTATCATCTGGTTGTCTGACCATCTAGATGCTCCCAGAATGGAGTCTCAAGTGGAACCACTGGAAAAAGGATGAGTGAGATATGCAGCAAGCTGGGACAGGCTCGCTCCATAATATGAAAAATATAATCCATACAAAATACTTGTCAGGGAACATCTTTTATGTGAATCAAATTGCTGCCTCCTCTTTGAAGACAACAAAATAAAAACTCAATATAGCCACCTATTTTTATCTAAAATATGCTCCTCTGCTTTTTTTATAAACATATTCAAATTTAAAAACCTGAAAATATACCAATGAATATATAGAAGTATATTGGCATGAAAAACATCTAACAAGTACACTGATTGATATAAACCAGAGAAGCCAATAATTGAAACTGATATACACAGACAATTTTAGTGATTCAATCAATCATTTAGTACTGATATGATAAACTTCAAGCCACATATGACCACAAATATAAGAGAGTGGTCAGTAATTTATTAACCAACAGAACTAATCATACAAATCAAACCACATTTCCAAGTTGTGTAAAATAAATACGTTAATTATCATAAACATGCTTCAACTGATCAATACTTCCCAAAAGTTTCTTGTGTATAAATTGAATAGCCATCCACAATATGTTTCCATTTAATAATTGAAATGCCCAAGCTACAACAAGCTTTCTATTTAATTCACTCTCACAAAATTAAGACCAAAATATGCTTTCTGATAATAACAAGTTTCTTTCAGAAAAAGAAACATATTGAGAGTATAATAACCACCAAGTGAGATAAGGTCTCCCTCTAAACTGAAAAATAAAAGCCAAGTACCAGGTGGCTAAGACATGCAACAAAGCCAACCAACAGATTGCATACAACAAGAACAATAAATAATCCTTATCTACAAATATTTTATTGTCAGAGCCTCTGACATTCTCTCAAGGACAAATCACCACAAGCAAATTCAATAATCTTTTCAATAGGTACTATTACAACTATCCCCTGAATACACTTGTTCCTAATCTTACATTTTCCTAATCATTAATTTTTGCACGTGCTGAAATTTTCTACTACCCAACATTCCTTAAGAGAGAACCATAGCTCTAGCAGTATCTGGTAGAATGTTCCTTCAGACACTGAAATAAAAATTTATACACAAAGCATTTCCCCATTTCATCCACTGAACGTGAATCCATAGTTATTTATAGTGCACCACAGCAGTACAGAGTGGGCATGGTTTGCTACAAAGTTTGAACAGTGGTGTGGTACATTTTCAAATAGCAGCCATAACAGCCACAATTACAGCAAAAATAGAGGTTGTATCAGTGCTATATTGAGGCTTTCCAAAACTCAAATTTTGCCTTCAAAATGACATCGTTTTTCGGAGGCAAAGTTGAAATTTCCTCCCCCTTTTTAGAATTTAAAAGAATCCCTAATTGGATGTTGTTTTCCATATTTCTCTGTGCAACACCCACTTTCATTTTTTATTTAATATTGAAGATGTCATGTATGAAATATGAATTTGCCTTTTGAATTGTTTGTTTCCTTGACATTTATTGCTATTTGCTTGGATGTTTTGTTCAAAACCTATGCCTTCATTGGTTAATTACAAATTTGTCAGTGTTCTTGATGGCAAATAGGAGTATCCATGGATCAGTTTGGTTAAGGTTAGACATATATTTTAATTAATTCGTATCGCTAGGGTTTGGCTTGATTCCTACAATATTTGTCAAGAACCTCAACCAAACAAACCTGATGTGTTCGCATTTGTTGGAATTGAATAGCCTGGTTTAATAACAAAAAAGAATCAGAATCCTCGTAAAACGGATAAAACAAATGTTGGAAAGTGTTTGGGTCTGCATTGCACGACAGCCCAGTTTATCATAGATGAGGCAAAAGATCTGTGGTGGATCTGAGTCAGGGAAGGGAGGAAGGACGTGATGTAGGCTAGAAGCAAATAGTTCTGCAGTTGGTATCCACTGCATTCAAGAGAGAGGTCAGCTTTCATTTTACTTTTTAGTTTGTTTAGGACTTTAGTTAAAGGAACAGAAATAACTGGCGGTGGGCAGGAGCAGTGGCAGTGGAAAAGGGAATTGACAGCAGATTTATAACAGTATATCATGTTTGGTTTGGATCAGTTATTTCAGATTTTAAATTCTTCAACCAAGAAGCAAAGCTACCAATGGGTGATTTGGAACCGAGGCCACCCCTATAATCACGCGGTTCATTATAAAAAACTAGACAAAAACATTATAAAAATGACATCTGGACTTCATTTAACAGATTTCACAAAATGTTGACATTTTGCATTTACAATAACAATATTTATGATGCAGTAGAAAAGTTAGTTCATGAATGAGCTCCTAATACAGTAACAGACTATAAACGTGTATATAGATACATTCAAATACTGATGGCTTCCCTGAAACCAGGTGAAAAGCATGATTCTTCAGCAGCAACAAAGTGTTGCTTTGCTTCTTTCACTATGGCATTGAAATTGATTTTCCCTCAACTCACTGCCACCCCAGATAACCCCGCTGAGTCAATAATTGTATGACGAGTTCCCATAGAACTATGTATAAAATCCTCACTGCTAAGTCAAAACCCCTTATCAGATTGAATAAATTTCAAGTATATTTTACATAAATGATTCAAAAAGAAGAAAGACACAGCAAGAGTATCATCAAATCATCATGCAAATCAGGCAACCACAAAATCATATATCAGACCCGGCATTTGCATGCAAACAGTCTATTAGAATCCTGAACCTACCATTTCTTTGTTTGATGTTTTCAAACATGTATAATCTGACTCAAGAATTCACGGAGCCACCACCCAGTGAGTAATGCAAATCACCAACGTAAGTCCAATACACCGACTCACCATAAAACCCTGTCAACTGGAAACAAAAACCAGAAGAAGATCAACACTGCCGTACCACCAAATGAAATATTTGATGTTGATGAACTATTATATGTAAAACAAAACAAAAATAGCAAAAATAAAAAAACCTAGAATGAGAAACGGAATCGATTGAATCTGCGATCTCGCATAAACCAAGGGAAGAGGTTCGAAGCACTAAACTATAACTATCGACACAGAGCTATTTTCCGGTGGAGGCGCTCCTCCTTTGATGGCAACTGGTTGTTTCACTTCCAACAGAAGTGTTCGAGATTACGAATAATGAGGTTTAGAGTGTGTGAGGAGGGTGGATCCAAGATATAGTGCGGGGACATGTAGGGTTGCTGAATTTGCCATCCTTGTATCTACCGTACACGTGTATATATTGTGCTGCTTCCATCTTTGGAGAATCTGAACTATCCTCAGCTTCTTGGAAGGCGTGGATACTGTGCACAAGGTCGCATTTGGTGATGTGCCACGCACAACTTGCTGATAGGTTGGGTTTTATTTGACATTCTGACGTGGCATTGTATTATTGGTATATCATGCAGGAACACATGCACCTCTGAAAATTTTCAGGTGAGAGACACTGAAATTCAAAGTAACAACTGTGTTCATTGTCGCAAATGGTGTTCAATCAATTATTAAACAAAAGTCTCTCAAAGTGGAAATAGGCAAAAATTTCACTCTTGTACGTAATAAAACTATTTTTCAATCTAGTTAGTAAAAATACGGTAAACTTTATACTATTATTGTTTAATTATAAACTATTATTAGTATAGATTTTCAAATAACTATTATAGAAATTAATACATTTTTCTATAGAATCATTCTTAATTAAATATAAATACTTTTAGTGTCAATAATAATTTACTCTTTTAATCAAGTATTTTAAAGTTCATTTTTAAAAGTTAAAAAACTCAAATTTGATATTAAATATGATAATTTTAAATTCAATTTTATTTATATTAATTTAGTGATTATTTATTTAGGTTATTATGCATAATTATTTTTGTTGTAAGTTATTTAATAATTCAGATCATGATATTGTATATAAAAAGTTCAAATATTTATCTCATCTTAGGAAAATTAATGAGTTCTGATTTTAATTTATCTTACTTTTAATCCTAAAATTGTTATTCTGAGATGAACAAATAATATTTATTTTAAGATTTTAATTTTTTTACCTAATATTATATTACAATATGATTATGCATCCTTTTTACTATCATTTGATATTTTCTTCAACATATAAATAATCAACTATTCATATAACATTAAGGTAATGATCGTAAATAATGATTAATGTTAGAAAAAAAAGTTAAAATTATTTTCAAAAATAAAATGAAAACTAATTTACATAAGTTCACAACTTAAGTTGATAAAGCTTGATAATTAATAGTATAAATTTATTTATCTTTTAAATGATAGTCTCATAATTAAGTTCCCAATAAGACAGTTACATTTTATCTTATTCAAGAAAGATGGTTTCTCTTAAGTTTGTAATAAAAATAAATATATTATATAATTTTTAATTATTAAAATCTTAAAATTATAGCTAGAATATTTAGATAAAACAAAAAAGTATACATACATATATATATCCATAAGAAACATTACTTTTCATGAGCCAACTACAAAATCCAGGGATGATGTGTGAGGAGACAAATTGCATTGCATCATAGAATCTTATAATATTTCATAAAATGTGCAATTAATTATTAATCTAAAAAACAAAACAGTTTTTTTTATATCTGGTTCATGGTTCCTGCAGAACTAGGTACAATGTCCTGAGTGTGAGTGAGTGGGTGCACGTCACTTCCTAACATGACCAAGTGCTGCATCATTACCACTTGAGAGTTCAGGGTTGAAACTTGAGGATCAAGATATCAATTACTATATTTTACTAAAAGCAACATGTGTGTTTGTTAAACTTGAAGATATTTTCAGTTGGGTTGGTCCAGCAGCTTCTGTGTAGAATAAAAACATTATACTGTCCAAATAAAATAATTTGGATTAAAAATAATTCAAATTTAACCCATTTTGATTTTATTAAAATTCCAAAAAAAATATTTAAATATTAATATGTCTCATTTGGTTTCTTCCATCAAAATTGAAATTGGATAGACGATGCGTTATAGTCAGAATCGAATAGAAACTTTTATGTTATCTAAAATAACAATTAATGAGTTAACATGTGAATCCATTAATATATATTTTAACATTAATTTTTTTTAATATATATGAATAATTTGTAGATTTTATTTATAAATTAATTTTTATTAGATAAAATTAAAAAATATATTATATTTATATATTAAAATACTTAGTTATAATTAATAATTTAAGTTTAATTGATTATTATTTGTAATATTTTTAATTATACTTTTTTAATTTAATTTTAATATATAAATATTAAAAAAAAATAAGTTAGAGGGTCAATCTACCTTATTTAATTTTTGGCCTGCTTAGATAAACTAGAAAAAACAAGATAAAATTAACAATTAATTAATGGTACTAAATTTAAGATAGGTTGAGAACGAGACTCTAATTGATATGTTTGAGACTAGTTATATGCAGCAATTAGCTGCAATAGAAAGAAGGACTATTGATGATGATGAATTGGGTAGGTCCTTCTTAGCAATGTGAAAGGAGGTGGTGGGTACTTTACAGAAGAATGTTATCCAAATTCTTCATTTATACATTGCATCAATTTGACCAATCATGTAGAAAAAGCTCACTAAGCACACAATCTAAACCCCACAAATCATAGTTTGCTAGAACACATGGAACACATTTAACCAATAAACGAATAGAGTTTGTGGATATTTTGAGATAAAAGTGTGTGTGGTTAAGTGGAGAGAAATTGAGAAAGTTAGAAGGTTGGTGGTGGGAGAAAATGAGGTAGAAAATGGTGAATGAATGTGGGTGGAGGTTGGAAGATGAATGGAAGAAATAGTGATCCAAATCCAAAGAACCTAACGGATTAGAATGCATGAGGCCCATTGACTTACGTGGTCCAGATCAGACCTACTACAGGGAGCATAGGTCGGTCAATTAAATTAAATAGTCTTAATAACAAACGCCAACATTTTTTCCTACACGTTATCCCTGTTACCAGTACTAGTTAGAAGCTAAAAAATTTTCGTAAGTACCATGGACAAATAATATTTCCCAAAAACTGGGAGCACACTGTATTAACAAGTTTTCTTTTTATCGAATTAAGGAACCATGTTATTCAGGTCGAAAATGACATTAAGGATCTCATAACTTAATTAAATCATTATTTTGTAATTTAATAATTGTTGTTAATTATATATATTTTTACCACTTTTATTGTTGGCTACTATCTCCTGTGTAATTTCCACTATTATCTTCGTCAGCTATTCAAGCTTTCAACTTTGAAACTTTACTTAAAAAAAGATATTGAAAAAAGACAATATTGCTTTAAAACTATAGCTTAGTGGTTTCCGTACGGATAATTTTATTTATTTTGTTTAATTTGAAATTGATATTGTAAATGTGGATCGTGGAACATGATTTCTAGATGTTTGGAATTCAGCGTTCACGTGTACTGTTGCTTCCAACTCAGGTCCTCTGCTGCTTCCTTTTTCATACCTTTCCCAACACTTTGCCTTAGAATTTTCCACCACGGTTTGAACACACTCAGCTTTAGCAACAGTTTTGCCACCTCACATTTCCTAAAACCCTAGCTGCCACTCCTTCCGTCTTGTTTGGCTCAGCAAATCTGTCACGCTTACGTACCCGCACCAAACTCCTTTCACACCAAACGACTCCTAAGTAAGTAACCCTTCTTACACTCACTTGCTTATTTCACAAGAAATCAACAACACCAACATATGTGCGCATTCTTCATGTCACATTCGTGTGTACATACGTAACTAATAAAATGTTCAAGATATATTAAAATAATAGTAAAAATTATATATATTCAAGTCTATGCTAAATTTATATTACGTAACATATTGTTTTCAGATCTCAAACAATCGTGTCCACACAGTCTTCATTCACGCAAAAAATATTAATTATCTATTTCAAAGAAAGTCAACTATAATTGGAGTAGTGTTCAACACTCTCAAGCTATACCAAACCTAGAAGAATCCTTTATAAATACCAAGCCCTTCCAGTCTCCTAGAGTTCCATTCCAATACTTTTTTCCCTTTTCATACATTCATTTCCACACTTTCTAGGCACCCCATATTTCCATTAATTTTTATTTTTTTTCGTTTCTGGTTTATCTGTGATGAAGAGAGAAAGAGAGGTTGATAGTTTAACCATGGCGAATTGTTTGATGTTGCTTTCTCGCGGAGGTGAATTTGAGGCCACATACTCAAGTTCTTCTATGAGCAACCGAGTCTTTGAGTGCAAGACATGCAATAGGCAATTCCCTTCATTTCAAGCCCTTGGTGGCCATAGGGCTAGTCACAAGAAACCTAGGTTGATGGCAGGAGATAGTATTGAAGGCCAATTGCTTCATGATTCACCCCCAAAGCCAAAGACTCATGAGTGCTCCATTTGTGGATTGGAGTTTGCTATAGGGCAAGCCTTGGGAGGTCACATGAGGAGACACAGAGCTGCAACTTTGAATGCAAACATGCAGAATTCCACCACTATCAGCAGTAGTAGTGGTGGTAGCAGTAGCGATTCTTCAACCAAGAACAAAGTTCGCGACAAGAGAGTTTTGGTTTTGGATTTGAATTTGACACCCTTTGAGAATGACTTGGAGATTTTGAAGATTGGAAAACCAACTACTTTAGTTGATTATTTGTATTAATTGATCTGTTGAGTACTGTTAATTATACTTAGGAAGGTATAGTTTATGTATCATAGACAGATGAATGTTTTGTTTTTTAATCCATGGTTTATATATATTTGTTTAATTACCATATATATACTGTTTGAAAAATTGTTCATATATCGGGCATAACTTAGAAACTGATGATATTCTGAGTCAAAGAAAAAATATATACACCAAAACATTTTACAGCTTCTGCTAATTTTTTTTGAAGATTACGAGACATTGACTAAGCCAATTGAGCTTCATACCATGAATGAAATTTTCTTCTAATTAACTTCCACACTACTATTCTGCCTTTTTTTTACATATATACAAATATAAAATTAGGGTTATGAAATATCGCTTTGATTGTTCGTTCAGTTCTTGTCATGCTGTTCCATTTTTTTTCTGCCACGGTGAAATTTTAAGAGGTGTCAAATGTTTTAAAAAATATATATATCGATAGTTAAATATAAAATAACAAAATTGTATATATTATCACCATTTCTATACGAGTTATTTAAAAAATGTCATTAAAATTTAACGACTTCACGGTGAACGAGAGAATACAATTTCTATAACTAAATTTTAGCAATCATATGCTTATCAAGAAAAAACGTTATTTGTAATTACAAAATTAATTATACCAACAATTCTTATAATATTGTAATAATGTTTTTTTTTCCACGTTTTCTCCTTAAAATAACAGTAATTCTAATTCCTTACTATTGTAAAAATTGCAGGCGAAACAATTATCTTGTTTATAAATATTGTTTAATTTTACACTATTTTTTGTGAAATTCTAAACGTTTGGTATGGACTTATGTTCCTTGCAAAACATTCAATCAACTTGCTTAAGGGTATTTTATATCCGAGTGAGATTTTGGAAAAAAAAAAAACGATTGTATAGTTGTCCTAGTTATCAAATACTTAGTTTTTAAAAAAATTCTCATAAGTGGAAAACTAATCCAAACATTCTTACAAAAGTTAAGAAAAAAAAAAAAACTTGATCTTAATTCCCAGAAACACTTGTGTATATAAAATGTTGTAAACAATAGAGATTACATAAACATAGAGATAGATTAGATTATTTTTTATTCTACTTGGCCATAAAGTCTAGAAAGAAATTTCCAAATACCTAGTGCCGTGTTCTTCAATACAGATAGAAATACATTAATCTTTGCAGCTGCCATCTAGAAGTTTATAATTTATTGCTTTAATCAATTTGGGTTCATTGACACTGTTAATTGAAAACGTATAAAAATTTATTTTAATACTTTATACAGATGTTGGCAGATAGAGGTTGAGTAAACCTAAAAGAGGAACACATAAGTTAGACCAAACAAATATACTAAACCATGTGCTTCACAAGTGTTTCTTGGTTCTGTTACGTCTTTTAGAAAGAGGTGCAATTTCTTCCGAAAATTAATGATCCCACCACATCAACAAGTTTTGTATACGCTGGCAAATTGCACAGGATACACAACGGTTGTCCAAATACTTGGACTTTTGTGGATAATATTGACGATGGTGACAACTTTTGATTCTACCACAAGCTACACCAACTAGAGACACCACCAATTGTTCCACAAAATGCACTTTTTTTCTTTTTTTTTTTTTAATTCCGACCATAGAAATCACAAACTTGTTAACCTCAACTCACTAAAAAACAAAACATGTATAGCAATTACTGTACACTCAATAGATATTCAATTTTAAGGTATTTTGTATGGTTCATATACTTTAGTTCTTAAATTTTTTGAAAAAAATTTACCATAAAAGCAAAAAATATGCGAGAAAGTTTAAGGTCCAGTTTTATGTATTGTAAAAAGAGTTTTAAAGGGTTGATAAAAATATTATTTTTACAAGTTTTTATGTGGAATTGGATGGCAAAAATGTGACGTAGAATGTGGTTGGGAAAGTTTAATTGGTTGGATAATAAGAAAATGGTGGTATGCGTAATAGCGTAACTAAGAACAGTGGACTTTTGTGATCAGAGTCATCGTTATCGCCATCGTCGTCTTCGTCCATCACCTCATAGTAACTGTCAAACTTTCTCGTTTCTAATTTCATCCTTTTGCTTAGTCAAGTCGCATTCCAGACTTTGATTCAGAAATTTAAGTAGCTACAGAACTTTAGTAGTATTAATTATAAACCCTAAACCAAGTGACAAATTCAAGAAAAAGGGTTTTCTTGGATGCTTCGTTAAACTATTTATATTAAATGAGCACAATATGTGGTACTGTAACTATTATATTAATTCCATAACTGCCTCAACATTATAGTCAAACACGAATTAAGAATTTGCGAATCATTAATTGTCTAACCGTGTCGGCTTGTTAAGATCTAGATCTTCCACTTAAAAATCAATTCAACTTTTCTACCTTATCAAACACACGTTACTTTCGTAAAATAATTGTGTGCTTAACTATTTTATAAATTAAATACCAGTCATTGATTGCTTTTCTGTATCTAAAAATATTTATATTATCTTTCACTAAAATTACACCTGCATTTTTCCTTGACTATCGTTTACATGAATCAAGCACTCCTTTTATTTATTTCATAAGTTGTTACTAGTCAATATATTTGTAATGTCTTAATGAGAAAATTCTATAGAAGGTGTAACGAATTTTAGGTTGAAATATGTATTAAGATAATGCCGTGTCATTCCTTCATCAATCACCCATAGATATTGACTTGCCTTGCCTTGTTTGGATTATACACATTTGATCCAGTTAAGGGTAATACTATTCTTGTTCTACAAATAGTGTATATGTTGATATGAATCACAATGGATAATTTAGGATCTTTAAGGTCAGAACATTGTAGAAAATTTGGGAATTTAGTGATAATGTGGAAGGAAAGAATCACTCTTTCCAAGGAAGACAACACACAAAGGATGTGAAAGTCTTTTGATACAGCCAAGTGTTCTTGAATCACTCAAGAACTTAGGAAAATCACTCTTACTAACATAAAAAAGATAAAATCTAATATTTCTAAAAATAAAACTCAACTTGTTATTTCTGATAAAAATGGTTCAGCTTATAAAGAAGTTTTGTCATCAGAGTTACAAATATTCATTAAAGGAAAATAAATGTTAATAATGATTTATTAACTTAGGAATTGAAAACTACTTAATGATTGATTGTAACTGAAATTGTGGCATTCAAAAGTCAATCAGCTATGCACGTCTGCCAAAGACTGATAACTAAATTTCTAATTGGGCCCTTATTACAACTTGCAATAAAACTAAATTAAAGTTCATTAATTGATTAATCCAAAAAACAATTTGGCCAACCAACAATACTTGTTCACTAGTGCAGAATAGGGCTTTTACGTCACCCAATTGTCGTCGCATGCATGTATATTCGACGTAAATAAAACGCGGTGACAATTTTGTAAATATGAGACAAAAATTTTACGTCGCACATCCCAGTATGCGACGTAAAAGGCCATCTTTTACGTCGCGCCCTCCAGGTGCGACGTAAAAGATGGCTTTTTACGTCGCGTGCTGGGATGCGCGACGTAAAAAGTCTATTTTATTTCCCTCCAGACTCACTTCCTCGTCTCGCGCAACCAGGGTTTTTGAGAACGACGACAACAGCTACCTCTGCACACCATTTTCGAGCAGTTTTACAGTGAAAAGCATCTACATTATCGTGTCATTTGACGAACTTGATCTTTCTCCCCGATTGGATTCGAGTTTGAAATCAGTTTTCATCTACACTCGAGGTTAGTGTTCTATGTCATTGCTATATGTTTACATTGAATCCGTGATTGTTTTTGGGGATCTCAATCACGTTATAGTATGAATGTCTCCACTGGATTGTTATTGGAATGTAATTATTTGTTTATTTGTTTGAGTGCATTCGGTTTACACACTCCATTGTTGTTGGAACGTGCTTTGTTGTTTGTTTTACATATAATTTTTAAATCTCTAGGAGTGACGAAACTTTATAACATAATATGAATCGAAGTTGGATGAATGCACGTCGTATTAGTGAAGAGTACGAAAAGGGAGTTGAAGAATTTTTGAAATTTGCTAGTGAAAATGGAAAAGCTATGAAAGGGACATATTATTGTCCATATGTTCGTTGTTTGAATCATTCTTGGCAAGCGGGACATTCTTGGCTTGGCCAAGACGTTTGGTTATGCCACTATCAGCACAGACCAAGGTAATATATATATATATATATATATATATATATATATACATATTGTCTATTTACTCTTTTCTAGTATTATAATTATATAAATGTTTAATTAATTGTTATTATTTGTTTAGGAGGACTTGCGTCGTGCTAAGCATAAAAAACAACCTATTATTGATGAGGATATGACGGAATGTGATGATGATCCCATCTCTATGTTGTTAGCCGTATTACCACGGTTGAGGAAGAGACCGTGTCGGATACAATGGGATGTTAGAGTGTTTGGAATTGACAATTCCAGGTGTTCCATTGTACATTTCCTTGCCAGATGCTTTAGAAATTGCTTGGGGAAATTGCATGTTAAACATTTCCATCATACAATTGTGGGCAATGTAAGTCATTTTCATTTATGTTTCTAAGATTATAATAATTATATTCAACTTATAATTAATTGTTTTAGGTACCTTGACAATTTGAGTGTGGAACAAGAAAAATCCGAAGTATACGGATTTATTAAGCCTCAATCCATCCAAAAATCTGGAAATACAAAGGTTGGAATCCAACTAGGGATGGCAATTAAACCCATACCCGTGGGGACTGACCCGTCCCCGCCCCGAGTTTGACGGGGAAACCCCGAGTTGACCGGGGGCGGGGTCGGGTTCGGGTTTTCCCGCTTTAAAAGTCGGGGCGGGGCGGGGATGGGTAATGCAATCCCCACCCCGACCCCGCCCAGTCCCGCCCCAACTTTATATTTAAATTTAAATTTTAAAATATTAATATTTTAAAAGTATTCCATTTTCTTTTTCTATTACATATAAGGTTATTTTTTTATATTTCACCAAT